CCCAGGCACCCCTCCAGCACATTTTCTTACCCATTTCTCTAGCAGGAACTAGATTGATTACCTCCAACTCCTTCATTTCTCAAACAGTTCTGTCATTAACATTCCAAAACAAGTCTCTGTGGATCTGTGTGAGACTTTCTCTGGAATATTTACAGAAGAGTGGGATTGCTGGGTCATAGGATATATGCATATGCAACTTCTCTAAGGACTGCCAGATTGCTCTCCAAAATAACTATACCAGTTTATGTCTACAAATTGTATGTGAGGGTTTCCTTTTTCCCAAATCCTTGCCAAGACTTAGTATTATTGGAGTTACTAATTTGTTTTTAATCTGGTGAATGTATAAGAGGGTCTCTGATTGCTTTCATTTGCATTTATCTGTTAATAGTATCTGTACTTTTAGCCATTTGGCTTTTCTTTTTCTTGAATTGTCCTTTATGCTCTTTACTTGTTTCTATATGAAGTCCTTTTGTCCATTAGTATGGGGAATTATAAGGATGGATTTTCTTTTTTTTTTTTTTTTAAGATTTTATTTATTTATTTGACAGAGAGAGACACAGCGAGAGAGGGAACACAAGCAGGGGGAGTGGGAGAGGGAGAAGCAGGCTCCCCGCAGAGCAGGGAGCCCGATGCGGGACTCGATCCCAGGACCCTGGGATCATGACCTGAGCTGAAGGCAGTCGCTTAACCAACTGAGCCACCCAGGCGCCCAAGGATGGATTTTCTGATCTTAAATTATCCTTGCATTCCTGCAGTAAATCTTTTTTTTTTTTTTTTAAGATTTATTCATTTATCCTAGAGAGGACAGGGGAGGGGCAAGGGAGGGAGAGGACCCCAAGCAGACTCCCTGCGGAGCTCAGGAGCTCACCCCAGCATCCCCAGATCATGACCTGAGCTGTGAAACCAAGAGGTGGACACTCAACCTACTGAGCCACCTAGGCACCCCTCTGCAGTAAATATTCTTGATCAGAGAGAGTGTGTGTGTCCTTTGAAAAATTTAGCTCCTATTTTGGATTTCCACATCTATATGTTCATAAGCAAAACGGGCTTTATATTGTTCTTATTCAATTGAAATTGAGGTGAGCCCAGCCTCCTAAAAAGAGTTGGTCAGTTTTTCCCTTGTTTTCTCAGTCAACTTTTATGTGATTAGAATTACTTTCTGTTTAGAAGGTAGGTAGAACCCACCTATAAAAAATCCTCTGGACCTGAAGCCTTTCAAAGGTAGAGGTCTTTCATTAAAACTCCATTTTCTAGGAAATAAGAGAAGAAAAATTTTTAAAGGAGAAAAAAATTTCCGGCACCTGGCGGCTCAGTTGGTTAAGTGTGTGCCTTCAGCTCAGGTCATGATCCTAGAGTCCCAGTATCCTACATACATACAGAGTCCCAGAGTCCTATACCAGGCTCCCCGCTCAGCGGGAAGTCTTCTCCTTCTGATCCTTCCCCCCTCACTGTCTCTCTCATATAAATAAATAAAATCTTAAAAAAATTTTTTTTAATCTTTTTTTTTTTAAGATTTTATTTATTTGACAGCATAAGCAGGGGAGCGGCAGACAGAAGGAGAAGAAGCAGGACCCCTTCGGAACAGGGAACCTGATGCGATGCGATGTGGGGCTTGATCCTGGGACCCCAGGGTCATGACCTGAGCCAAAGGCAGTCGCTTAACCCAATGAGCCACCCAGGTGCCCCCAAAATTTCATTTTCTTTCAACTCAGATCCATCTAGTTATTTTCTCTTTTTCATTCTGTTTTGTTTATTTGCATGTTCTTTTTTTTTTTTTTTTAAGATTTTATTTATTTTTGACAGAGACAGCGAGAGAGGGAACACAAGCGGGGGAGTGGGGGAGGGAGAAGCAGGCTTCCCTCGGAGCAGGGAGGCCAAGGTGGGGTTCAGTCCCAGTTCCCTGGAGTCATGACCTGAGCCGAAGGCAGATGCTGAGCCACCCAGGCGTCCCTGCATGTTCTTTTTTCTTTTCCTTTATCAGTTTTGCCAAGATTTGTTTCTCAATTTTTAAATGACCCATAGTTTGATTTTTTTAGTCTTTTCCAGTGTTTTGGGGTTTTCTTTCTCTTTTCTTTCTTTTTGTAAGATTTTATTTGTAAATAATCTCCACACCCAACGGGGGGCTTGAAAGCACATCCCTGAGATCAAGAGTCAAATGCTACACCAACTGAGCCAGCCAGGTGCCCTTTAGTTTTTATTTAAATTTGGCCCTTTAGCTCCTTCCTTCTTGTGCTTTTCAGTCTGCTTTGTTAGTCTTTTTCTAGCTTCCTGAATTGACAGCTTAGCTCAATTATTATCACACTTTCTTATGGTGGTGGGGTGTGGTGAATCTGCAGTCATCTTCAACCACCCCTCATCGCTTCCTGATGTGCCGATTGTGTGCCATAAGGGATTCTCAGCCTGGGAACTGATCTTCCTAAGAACTGTCTTTCTCAGTTGTTCCCATCTAGCCTAACCTGAGTGGGAGAGTGGCAGCAGGAGACCACTCACAAGAGCTGTCCTGTTGACCTCTGTTTTTATCAGCTCCCCACTCTGTCCAGGCCTGGCTTTGCCGTGATGTATCCTGCTATCTCCATCAGGGACTGGGCTTGCACTGCTGCTTCTCTGTCCTGCAGTGGAAAGTGTGGGGAGGGTGAGCAAGGATGGCAGGACAACAGACCTCAGAAAAGGCACAGTTAGAAACTCTAACCTGGCCCTATTTCCCTCTGAGCTGCCTTGTACTTTCCCACACACTAGGACCCAAATCACCATCTATTATTTCAGTGTTTTTCTGAACTTTATATTCAGTTCTAGGATCCATCAACCTTCTACGAATCAACTGTGGCTCTTCTAGGATTGGTTTTCGGGAAGGGGGCCAGTCGCTATCTTGGCTTCCTGGCTTGCCTTGTACTTAGGAATTGAACCTGATACTGAGATTCAAGATGTTTGGGTTTAAAGATCATAATAAATATACATGACATGTATTAATCAAACCTAACTGGGTAGAGGTGCAGCAGTTGTACCTTTAGCTGGTTAGAAATGAGAACTGCCAAGGACTGGCCGAGAACAGAAGCCTGAGGCTGTTGGTGTGATTTTGACATCTCTGCTTCTCCATTGAGGTTGTGATCCCATCTTCTCTAATCTCTGTCCTGAGGAGCATAGTACCCTCCCTCTTGTGCTCTGGTATGGATAGCAGTGCTGGTTTGTAACTCTTCTGCCCGCCAGCATTTCCCATTAATCTTGATTTATGCAGTCCTCTAATTCTGGGCTGTGTGGATATGATTACCTTCTCTTGTCTATTTGTAGACAATCTTTTGTCTGTTTGGTAGAAAATCTTTTTGGTCCTGTGTGTAACACATAGTGTTAGATATTCCTGGTTGGCCTGCTCTGTGTGCCAGCTAAACAGTCTACATTAAATTAAACTCAAGAAGTTTGCTTGGCATGCTTTTTCACAGAAAACCTCCTCCCTGAACGAAGGATTTAAATAATAAAAAACATAAGAGCCGTAGTGGTCTCTGTGGGACTTAAACTCTGTTGCATCACTTGACCTTAACCATAGGTGCATGGTGAGGGAGGGAGGTGTCAAAAACCACAGTTTTAGGAAATGCCTCTGGCTAGATTAAATTAAGCTAGGTAGAGAGGTCCCCACGTTGAAGTTTTCTCTGTTCATCTATGAGATACATCTGTTTGAATATCCCACTGACAAACAAAAGGAGTAAAAAAAAAATGATCCTTAATTTTTCCTTCATGCATCTATCTCTTCTCAGCTTTCCTGTGATCTTTTCACGATTCCTTCATTTTTTAGTTCCACCACCTTGAAACTTCATATTAACTGAGCATTTCTTTCACCATGTGTTTCAAATTTCTTTTTATTTTGAAAGCCACGACCCTAACTTATTGCTCTCTCAAAAATATGCAGATCTTTCAGACTTTCAACTACACCATGCTATGTACAGTTAATAAATAATAGTAATTGTCAACATCAATAGAGCTGACATTTATCAAGTGCCTACTTCTGATGCTTTATATCCACATCCATATATCCATATCCTACTAATACAAAGACTGTGCTTGGTTCTCATATATAGCAAGTTCCAGGGAGGATGCAGTTAGCATTTATTGACATGCTATTATTTGCCAAGTAGTATGCTAGGTACTTTAAATAGTCATTTATTCCTTGTAGTGCAAGTCTTGGAAGTAGTTACTATCTCAGTTTTACATATTGAAAAACCGAAGCTTAGAAAAGTTAAGGGACTTGACCAGGGTAGCAGAATTATAATTCTAACAAAGAATTTCTTACTTTGAAACGCATGTGCTTTCTGCTGTTCCACACTGCCTTCCAGAAACTGTATCTGACATGGTGCATTTGTTCTTCAGATGCTCAGTAAGACTTGTGTGTCATGGGGCGCCTAGGTGGCTCAGTAGTTAAGCGTCTGCCTTCGGCTCAGGTCATGATCCCAGGGTCCTGGGGTGGAGCCCCGCATCGGGCTCTCTGCTCAGTGGGAAGCCTGCTTCTCCCCCCACTTCCCCTGCTTGTGTTCCCTCTCTCGCTGTCTCTGTCAAAAAATTAATAAAATCTTAAAAAAAAAAAAAGATTTGTGTGTCATGCACTGAGCATACAGTCTCATACCTTTCAGATATAAATCCTGCTCTCTAGGTAGAGATAGGATGCATATAGATGAGTAACTATAATTCAGAGTAGACAGGTGCCTTGAGTGAAAGGTCCAGGTACAGCGCCAGGGGGTTTTAGAAGGGGGAGAGTTTATTTTAGATTGAGAAGTTCAGAGGGTAGACATGCTGGGAGAACTGCCCTCTGAGCTGGGTGGGGTTTGCTTGTGGGAACCAAGAACTTTCTTTGAAGGAGGAGAAAATGCTTGAGCAAATGGAGATGGAAAGTGTGTGTGATTGTGAGCTTCTTGAAGGAGCCCTGCAAAGTATACTTTAGAGAAGGTCTTTGTATACTTACTTTTAGGAGACATATAATATTTCTTTCTTTCTTTCTTTCTTTTTTTTTTTTTTAGCTTACGATTGAGCATGAGTCTTGTTATGATTAGTGAGAATGTAAAATTGGCCCGTGAGTATGCGCTGCTGGGCAACTATGACTCTGCGATGGTGTATTATCAGGGCGTTCTTGACCAGATGAACAAGTATCTGTACTCGGTCAAAGATACCTATCTCCAGCAGAAATGGCAACAGGTGAGACTTGTACTCAGTACTCAGAAGACTTAAAGAGATCGTCACTGTCCTTTGCAGTTACACGTGAAGAGTGTATAACCATACACGTTACGTGGATTTGTATATAATGTTACTTGAAATTTGATTTGTTATATTAGTAATAGTCCATATTCACTGTCATCAGTATTGTGAGTTCTACTCAGTTTTAGTTGTTGGAATCTAATAGATTAAAAAAAATGGTTTTGACATATTTTTCTATATCACATTTTTTTACCTGTTAAAATCAGAATTGACTTTATTAAGCCATTATTGAAACTGCAGATGACAGCTGAATCTCATGGCTACAGTATTTTCTGTAGAATATTCTAAAGCAGACCATATTTGAATCCCATATGAGGAATGTTAGTCACTGGGGAGATGGAAAGTGTAGAACTTACAAGTCCACTTGAAGGTGGCATTTCTAACAAGTTTCAGCTACATCACAGAGGAAAGAAATGTTACAGAATTTGGGGCACCTGGGTGGTTCAGCCATTAAGCGTCTGCTTTCGGCTCAGGTCATGGTCCCAGGGTCCTGGGATCGAGCCCCGCATCGGGCTCCCTGCTCCACGGGAAGCCTGCTTCTCCCTTTCCCACTCCTGGTTGTGTTCCCACTCTCGCTGTCTCTCTCTCTGTCAAATAAATATATAAAATCCTTAAAAAAAAAAGTTACAGAATTTAATAGTCTTTTTGAGCTGTTCTTCTCAGTAGAACGTTATCCCACAGATTCTGCTAAACTGCTTTTTTGATAGTATTCCATTTTTGTACTTAATTTCTTTGAGAGAAATATCCTACCTCTTTGAACTTAAACCTTTTTCCTTAATCTGCCTCTGCATATCCCTTCCATTACCAGAAGAGGAAAGTATTTTATTTCATAAAGAGTCTTAAATTTGTCACTGAAAGATTTATGTTCATTGGCTGGAGACTTTTTTTTCAAGTAGGCTACACACCCATCATGGAGCCCAAGGTGGGGCTTGAACTCACAACCTGAGATCAAAACCTGAGCTGAGATCAAGAGTTGGACACTTAACTGACTGAGCCACTCAGGCGCCCCTGTGGGCTGGAGACTTTTATTTTAAAAGTCTAAGCTTTTTTTTCTTTTTCTTTTTCTTTTTCTTTTTTTTTTAAAGATTTTATTTATTTATTTGACAGAGAGAGACACAGTGAGAGAGGGAACGTAAGCAGGGGGAGTGGGGGAGGGAGAAGCAGGCTTCCCGCCGAGCAGGGAGCCCGATGTGGGACTTGATCCCAGGATCCTGGGATCATGACCTGAGCCGAAGGCAGACGCTTAACGACTGAGCCCCCAGGCGCCCTCTTTTTCTTTTTTTTTTTTAAAGATTTTATTTATTTGACAGAGAGACAGCGAGAGAGGGAACACAAGCAGGGGGAGTGGGAGAGGGAGAAGCAGGCTTCCCGCCGAGCAGGGAGCCCGATGTGGGACTTGATCCCAGGATCCTGGGATCATGACCTGAGCCGAAGGCAGACGCTTAACGACTGAGCCCCCAGGCGCCCTCTTTTTCTTTTTTTTTTTTTAAAGATTTTATTTATTTGACAGAGAGACAGCGAGAGAGGGAACACAAGCAGGGGGAGTGGGGGAGGGAGAAGCAGGCTTCCCGCCGAGCAGGGAGCCCGATGTGGGACTTGATCCCAGGATCCTGGGATCATGACCTGAGCCGAAGGCAGACGCTTAACGACTGAGCCCCCAGGCGCCCTCTTTTTCTTTTTTTTTTTTAAAGATTTTATTTATTTGACAGAGAGACAGCGAGAGAGGGAACACAAGCAGGGGGAGTGGGAGAGGGAGAAGCAGGCCTCCTGCCGAGCAGGGAGCCCAATGTGGGACTCGATCCCAGGACCCTGGGATCATGACCTGAGCCGAAGGCAGACGCTTAACGACTGAGCCACCCAGGCGCCCCTAAGCTTTTTTTTCTTTAAGATTTATTTATTTATTTGAGGCAGGGGGTGGGCAGGAGGGAGAGGGGCAGAGGGAGAAAGAATCTCAAGCAGACTCCCTGCTGAATGCCTGGGTGGCTTAGTTGGAGCCAGACGTGGGGCTCAATCTCACAGCCCTGAGATCATGACCTGAGCCAAAATCCAGAGCCTGACGCTCAACCAACTAAGCCACCCAGGCACCCTTGTTAATTTATTTTTAGAGAGTAGAGTGCACACATGAGCAGGGGAGGGGGGGCAGAGGAAGAGGGGAAGCAGACTCCCTGCTGAGCACAGAGCCCAACACAGGGCTCTATCCCACAACATGAGATCATGACCTGAGCCAAAACCGAGAGAGTGGGACACAACTGACTGAGCCACCCAGGCACCCCAAAAGTCTACACTTTTCTTGTAAAGATACTTAAATCATTTAGTTTTAAAACCAAACATTACCAACTTTTTTTCAATATTTTATATATATTATTTATAAATTGAGTCAAGAATGCTTAAAAAAAAATCTTGGCTATATGTGATTTGGGCCATTTGTCATATGAAGCCATATTTTTCAAACTGTGGGTTTCAGTCCATTAATGGTCTATGAAATTAGTGCATTCTCATCACCATTTTTTTTTTTTAAAGATTTTATTTATTTGACAGAGAGAGACACAGTGAGAGAGGGAACACAAGCAGGGGGAGTGGGAGAGGGAGAAGCAGGCTCTCCACCGAGCAGAGCCCGATGTGGGGCTCGATCCCAGGACCCTGAGATCATGACCTGAGCCGAAGGCAGACGCTTAACGACTGAGCCACCCAGGCGCCCCTCTCATCACCATTTTAAAAGTCCACTAACATAGCATAAAAAACATCAAAGAAGCAATTTACAAAAGGATTATTTTTATCAAAAGTTCCGAAAAGAAAGTTAAAGCTAACTTCAATATATTATGCAGTTTGAATACGAACCGTAAGTTAGTAACATGGTTTAATTGGTCAGAATATTTAATTCATTTTCTCTTGCAATTGAAAACAAAAACTTAATGAACCATCCTTAAAATTTCAGCAATATTTTGGCGTGATTTATGGGATAACTGATGTCAAACTAGAAGTTTCCAACATCTCTAATAAATGGCCCTGGTTTAATCTTGGCAGTGATTTATTGGTTACCAATATTTAAAGAGCCATATTCTCCTTTGAAACCAGGTTTGGCAGGAAATAAATGTGGAAGCTAAACATGTTAAGGATATTATGAAAACACTGGAGAGCTTTAAGCTAGACAACACTCCACTGAAAGCTGCACAACATGAGCTTCCAGCCTCTGAAGGGGAAGTCTGGTCCTTGCCTGTACCTGTTGAACGAAGGTAAGTCGAGACCTTTTAAGAAACAGATTAGCCCAGGAAACTAATAGCTTTGGCTATATCTAGGAGCGCTGGGTGGCCGAGAGACAGGAACGGGAGGTTTTTTACTGAATACCTTTTAGAACTCTTATGTTGTATATCATGTAACTATGACCCATATTGATAAATTAAACTTAGGTGGAAATAACCCAAAAATATGCTTTTGTGAATGAGCTTGCAGTAGTGGAGACAACATTATCTTATAGAAGGAGCTGGGAATTGAAATATCTGAGCTCTCGATCTCTCTTTGCCACTATCTGTAGTTTTGGAAAAAATATGTAACCTTTTGGGCGCCAGGGTGGCTCAGTTGCTAAGAGTCTCCCTTCATCTCAGGTCATGATCCCAAGGTCCTGGGATGGAGCCCCGCATCGGGCTCCCTGCTCAGCGGGAAGCCTGCGTCTCCCTCTCCCACTCCCGCTGTGTTCCCGCTCTCGCTGTCTCTATCAAATAAATAAAATCTTAAAAAAAAAAAAAGTAACCTCTCTAGGCTTCAGATTTTTCTAACGTAAAGTGAGGGAGTTAGATTAAAACACTGGTTCTCAAACAGGCTATCACAGAATACTGCTGTTCATCAAAATTGTTAAAATGAAAAATGAGCTTTTTAATTCACAGGAAGAAAAGGATAAAATGTTCTCTGTTTTAAGGTTTTTGTTTTTTTTTTTAAAGATTTATTTATTTGAGAGAGAGCATGAGAGGGGAGAGGGTCAGAGGGAGAAGCAGACTCCCCGCTGAGCAGGGAGCCCGATGCGGGACTTGATCCCGGGACTCCGGGATCATGACCTGAGCTGAAGGCAGTCGCTTAACCAGCTGAGCCAACCAGACCACCCATATTTTAGGTTTGTCTTCGGCACTTTTTCCCTCCGCTTCTTATTACCTGGAGCTGGCAAATGAACAATTAGTGAAAGTGATATTTACTGAAATTCTCTACACAGCCAGTAGTGCTTAGTTTCACTGCATATTTTTTACTGACAGGGATCAGATGGATGTTACTTGTCTATTCCACTCACGTAATAGATTTCCTAGTTTGTATTGTGGACTTAAACATGTGAGTGTATAATAGCATTATACAAAAAACACTGACTTGCAGGTCCTTTGCCCCCTAATCAGTTTGAGAACCTTGCACTAAGGAAGACATTGTTCAGATGTTTTTCAGTTTCACATTGTCATTTGTAACTCTCAATTCTTTTTTTTTTTTTTAAAGATTTTATTTATTTATTTGAGAGAGAGAGCGAGAGCAGAAACACAAGCAGGGGGAGCGGGAGAGGGAGAAGCAATTCCCTGCTGAGCAGGGAGCCCGATGCGGGGCTCGATCCCAGGACCCTGAGATCATGACCTGAGCCAAAGGCAGACGCTTAACCGACTGAGCCAGCCAGACGCCCCTGTAACTCTCAATTCTTGATTGTATTTTATGATAGGTGCTAGATATTGAGTGCTCATGTGTCCTAAGCACATTGGAGGCTACACATGTTATTTCATTTATTCACAGTTAGCCTTTCAAATAAGTCATGTGTTCTTTATATTTCAGATAAGATAGTTTGATGTACAGTGAAGCTAGGTAACTTTCCCCCATTATCACAAAGCTAATAACTGGTGGAGCTAGAATTTGAACACAGATATATTTGATTACAAAGCTGGCATTCTCTGCCATACCAGTTATTCTCAAACTCTAGTATACCTAAAGATCTCTTGGGGCACTTATTAAAATGTGGATTCAAGGTTTCCACTCCCAGAGAGTCTGACACAACACAGGCATACCTAGGAGATATTGTAGGTTCAGGTCCAGACCACCACAATAAAGTATCACAGTAAACAAAGTCAAGTAAGTATTTTGGTTTCCCAGTGTGCACATAGAAGTTATTTACACTATACTGTAATCTATTAAGTGTATAATAGGATTATATCTAAAAAACACGGTTTTTAATTGAAAAATACTTTATTCCTTTTTTTTTTTTAAAGATTTTTATTTATTTATTTGACAGAGAGACAGCAAGAGAGGGAACACAAGCAGAGGGAGTGGGAGAGGGAGAAGCAGGCTTCCCGCCGAGCAGGGAGCCGGATGCGAGGCTCGATCCCAGGACCCTGGGATCATGACCTGATCCAAAGGCAGACACTTAACGACTGAGCCACCCAGGTGCCCCAGAAATTTATGTCTTTATTTCTCACAGTTCTGGAGGCTAAAGGTCCAAGATCAAGGTGCTAGCTAGTTTGGTTCCTGAGGACTCTTCCAAACAGACAGCTGCCCTGTCTCTGTCTTTGGGAATAATCAAGCTCCCTGGTGTCTCTCACAAGAACAAAGTCCTCAGATCAAGGCCTTATTTAACTTTATTTCATTTATTTATTTATTTATTTATTTATTTATTATAATTTTTTTTATTCTTATGTTAATCCCCATACATTACATCATTAGTTTTAGATGAAGTGTTCCATGATTCATTGTTGGTGCATAACACCCAGTGCTCCATGCAGAATGTGCCCTCCTCAATACCCACCACCAGGCTAACCCATCCTCCCACCCCCCTCCCCTTATTTATTTATTTTTAAGTAGGCTCCATGCCCAACATGGGGCTTGAACTCACCACCCGAGATCAAGAGTCACATGCTTTACTGACTGAGCCATCCAGGTGCCCCTAACTTTAAGTACTCCCTTACTCTAAATGGTCTCACTGGGGATGAGGGATTTAACATAATGAATTTTGGGGGACACAAACATTCAGTCCATAACAGCCCTGTAACTCCTTTCTCACTTATTGGTAAGAACTTTCCGATGAATACATGTGCCCAATGAAAATTTAGTTCATCTCAAATTTAATGAGTTATTTGGTCACCTCAATCTAACAAGCAGAGGCAGGAGGATTCTCTCTTGGGAGTGGTAGGAAATTGAATTACATGAGCCTCTTCGTCTAAGAAATTCTATGATGATGAGTCCTAGTTTCCGTTCTGATTGCTTTTTGCTTTCTTCAGTATCTTTTTTTGTCCCTTATCTTAAATGCCTTGGATGGATCACTATTAACTGTAAAGTTCTCCTCTTTGACTTTCTTTGCTGCGTCTTTGCTTATTCCTGTAGTTTATTTTACTTGCTTCCTCAACTAGATAGCCCTCAAAACTTTTTGTTTTGTTAGTCTTCATTTGTACTCATGCTTATGAGAACCTACTCTTTGTTGAACTGTTAGTGATTCTAACCTTGTCATCAGCTAGATTTTAGTCCCATTTAAAGAACAGATTCAGTCTCCTCTATGCTCATGCACAGAAATGTTTGTACAAGGAGGTTCACTGAGCCTTTTAGAGCAAAGATTAGAAATAGCTTCAAAGCTATTAAATGTGATTATTTAAAAATGTCTTTTAAAAGCCATTTAGCATCCCTCAGATATCTCATCTCACAATAAAACCCAAAGTTTTCATCATATCCTTCAACAGCACATGCGGTCCGGTTCCACACTACCTCTAGAACCTGAGTTCTTACAACTCTCTTCCTCCTCGAGCAAGTCAAACACACAGATACTTCAGTTCTTTGCACTTGCCTTTCCTTCAGCTCAGATGTTTGATGACTTGTTCTCTCGTTTCCTTCAGGTCTCACCTTAAATGTTAGAAAGGCCATCTCCAACCACCCTACCTGAAATACCCCCGCTCCCCCAATGGGAGCTCCTACCCTTCTTTATTTTTCTAGACTGCACATAACATCATATGATATACTGTTTATGTCTTCATTGAAGCCTCCTCTCCACACACATATATACACACACGGATGTAAGTCCCTAAGGGTAAAGGTTTTATTAAACTTACTTGAAATTTTTTTATCCCCAGTGCATAGAATAATCAATAATAATATTTCAGTAAATTAGTTTTTGGAGAAATGAATACCTAACAGTAAGAAGTGGATAAAATGTGGCATATTTTACATGTAACTGCCATCTAGTCATTAAAAGCCATTTATGAGGTAATGATACAGGAAATGCCTTATGATAGGATCAGAGATAAATATGAATGCATGTATATATAACAGTTTCAGTTCTGTTTAAATGAAAGACAGCTACAAGAAAATAGACTAATATGTTAAGTGGCTAACTCTGGGTAATGGGGTTACAGGTGACTTTTATTCTTATACTTGATTATATCTCAGTGTCTGTTTTATATTATTTTTCTAGTAAGAGGGGAATACATATTTTAAAAGAATATCTCTACTTGGCTATCCAGATGTCTAAATCGAAAATCAAACCCCCATCATTCCTTTTTGTCTTTATCATTCTGCCAAATCCTCATTATTTTTTTTTAAGATTTTATTTTTATTATTTTTATTTTTTTTTAAAGATTTTATTTGACAGAGAGAGAGATAGCGAGAGCAGGAACACAAGCAGGGGAAGCGGCAGAGGGAGAAGCAAGCCCCCCCGTCGATCAGTGAGCCCATGCGGGGCTCAATCCCAGGACCCTGGGTTCGTGACCTGAGCCGAAGGCAGTTGCTTAACCGACTGAGCCACCCAGGCCCTCCCCAGATCCTCATTCTCAACTTCCCATGTCTAGGAGTATCTTTTTTGATAGTGTATCTCTCGGACTTCCATTGCTCATTGCCTTAGGCCAGGCACTCATCTCAGGCCTCCATAACATTTGTAACCTGCAAATATCCCCCGGCTTTCTGTTTCCTTTATCAGTGTATCTTACTCAGCACTGGCCCCATCTTTCTAAAACCTTTGCAGCCAGCAGTTAGCTAAAAGCTAAGCCTCTTGAACTAGTATTGAGATTTTCTACTTACCGAACCACCTTCTCTGTCCAGTACCCTCCCTGAATGCTCACCATTGTCTATAGTTAGTGTCTTTATAAACCTTTATGTAGGTGAAGCTCATTTTGATTTTTTTGCTTTTCTACACTGATTTTCTTGTCTGCAGTTATACCCTCTTGTTTAGTTCATCTCCTGTGTTTCCAGGTCCAGTTTATTTTCTGTCCTCTAGAGGTTGTAGCACTTGGTCTCTTTTACATTTTCTGGCATACTTGCCTAGTTTTACATACCTTTTTCTTAACTATACTGGAGGTATTTGAGGATAGGCCTCTTTTACCTTTTTTATTTTTCACTTTAATGGCCCCAGCCAAGTCGAGGAGCCTGAGAAATATTTGAGAGGTCCGAGTCCTGCCGCAGAAATAAAGATGACATGAGGTGATGTGTGTAAACGTAAAGCGCTCTACATCACTTCTTGTGACTGTCCTCAGCCAGTGGTTATGTCAGTGTTTTAAGCGGGGAAAATGATTTAATTTTATTAATTAAAATATGAGAACTATGATATATTCTAAATAAAATAGTTTCAGCTTGCACATGTACCAGTGGATAAATGTGAATCCTGTACCTGTGCTGTGTTCTGGTTCATTTGATAAAACTCTCTTTGATAATTGCTGTCTTTTCAGTTTCTAAGAATCAGACTAAGTTGTCATTCATCCTTGATGTACACCAGTGATTTCTTCTCAAAAGAGAGGTGATGATCACTTGCCTTCTATTATTCCTACCATATAACCGTACTGCAGTCCATTCTTCTCGTTAAATCACCACAGACCGCTGTGTCAGATATAAACAGCAGATCTTAGATTTCAGTGACTTGTTCGTTCAGTGCTATCTTGTGTTCCGTTATTGCCTCTTTAGTTCATAGACTCTAACTTACACATGATATGTGTACGTCTGTTTTTGGACCACCTCCAGTTCATTATGATTTTCATGATCTTGTGTCTAATTAGACCCTCACCGGGACCTAGAAAACGCCAGTCTCCTCAGTACAGTGACCCTAAGCCACACGGTAACCGTCCAAGTACAACCGTCAGAGTTCACCGTTCTTCTGCACACAATCTTCACAACGACAGAGGGAAAGCTGTTCGTTGTCGGGAAAAGAAAGAACAGAGTAAAGGAAGAGAGGAAAAGGTAAATGTTACTGGTTTTCATAAATGAAATATTTATTAACCATAAAAATGAAGACTGTATAAATTTTAATAATTTTTAGTCATTGAAATGACCTTAGAACCTTAGATTCCACCTAGACTGGGATTTTTCCCACTCACTATTAAACAGATATTTTGGAGTATTTTTTGTATCTTTATATCTTGAAATAATTCCAGACTTGCAGACAGGTTGCAAGAACAGTATAAATTTACCCAGTTTTACCAATTATTAATATTTTGCCCCTTTTGCTTTATCTTCTACTTTCTATATACATTTTTTTCCTGCAGCATTGAGAGTAAATTGTAGATATCATGCCCTTTTACCCTTAAATACTTTAGAGTGTATTTCCTAGGTACTTGGACATTCTTTTACATAAACACAATACAGTTGTCAAAAGCCATACATTTTACAGTGATACAGTGTTGTATCAATCCATAGACCCTCATAAAATTCAGCTAGTTATCCCAGTGCTGACATACGTAGCTCATTGTGCCCCCATGCCAGGACGCAGTAGGGAAGTATACATTACATTTGGTTGTCATGTTTCTTTCATCTCTCTAATGTGAAAACTTTCTCAGCCTTTCTCTTTTTTGGTCTTTGGTATTTTTGAAGAGTACAGGCCAGTTGTTTTGTAGAATGCCTCTCAGTTTGGGCTTTTCTGATGTTTCCTTGTGATTAGATTAAGGGTATGCATTTTGGGCAGGAATACCATGGAAGGGAAGTCTTGTTCTTCACAGTGTATAAGAAGACACAGGATGTTTATTGGTTCTGTGACTTGTGATAAATTGGAGTGCTTCGTTAGGGTGGTGTCTGCCTGGGCTTTCCACTATAAAGTTACTCTTTCTCCCTTTATATTAATTTGGGGGGAGATACCTTGAGACTGTAAATATCCTATTTCTCATCAAAATTTTATCTACTTGTTTTAGCATTCAGTGATGCTTGCCTAAATCAGTTATTCCTGGGGCAGTTAAAAAATCATGATTTTCTTTTTTTTTTTTTTTAAAGATTTTATTTATTTATTTGAGACAGAGAGAATGAGAGAGAGCATGAGAGGGAAGAGGGTCAGAGGGAGAAGCAGACTCCCTGCTGTGCAGGGAGCCCGATGCGGGACTCAATCCAGGGACTCCAGGATCATGACCTGAGCCGAAGGCAGTCGCTCAACCAACTGAGCCACCCAGGCGCCCCTAAAAAATCATGATTTTCTAATGCTATTATTTCTTCTACATTAATTGGCATCCTGCTGTAAGGAAAAACTTCATCTCTTTCTCTTTATTTAATGTTATCAGTATGGAGTCATGGATTCTTATTTGATTCAGTGAATTATAATCTGTTGCTATCTTTTTGATGCTTAAATTGTTTAAGATTTGAAGGGGTGACCTTTGAAACTAGATCACTATGTCTTTTTTGACATGTACTCATCATTCTCTGAGTACCTCCTCGTTTTCTGGCACAGTAGCAATCAACAAATCAGTTGTCCAAGAGATTTTAAATTAATATGATCTTGCTGGTAAGGCAGGAAAATACAAAGCTTTTCAAAAATATAGCATGACGATTAAGAGCATGGGCTTTAGATACAGGTAGACTTGCATTGAAGCACCAACTCTGCTCTGTGTTACCATAAGCCGTTTGGTCTTCCAAAGTTTTATTTCCTCATATATAGAATTATTTTAACACCTGTCTCCTAGAGTTTTCGTAGGATAAGTGCAATAATCTTTTCTGGCCCCCAACACATACTTCGTGAGTGTTAGCTGTTACTATTTCCCACACATTCCAGGTAACTGAGATTTTACTGTATTTACTGTTGCTTAAATAGTTTTATTATTGCATTTTTTCAAAAGTTTAATGAGATATTTCAGATGTTGGCGACTACATTCAAAATGGTCCTTAATGGATACAGTGCAAAAGTAGAAATATTGGGTTAAAATCAAGACAAAAATAAATCCCTTAAAAGGAAACTCACTTAAGAAAAAAGTTCTTGTTTATCAGTGAAAGTATTTTAGCCTTCAGTTTTAAAACGTATTGTGTTTCCACCACTCTTTGGTTCTCTATTGTTTCAAGAAAGAGTAAGAGAAGAAAGTATACTAAATAAACATAAGATTAGCTGCAATAAGAGAGGAGGTCTTATCTGTGTCTCTGCTTAGTGTAGACTGCTTAATTGCTAAAATCCTCAGGACTTTGAGTGAGGGGTATAGGACAGCCGGAGAACAAATGTATAAAATAGGTTTTCTCCCCGAGTCAGCTAGTGTGTCTTGAAAATATGTACCCATTGTTGAGAAATTGTACTTGGGGAGACCAGATTAATATATTTCAGGTAATTATAGAATAATTAGATGCTTAACAGTGGTAGTAACTGATGACTAGAAAGAACAGAATTCTTTTTTTTTCCTCTTTTTTTATGTTATGTTAATCACCATACATTACATCATTAGTTTTAGATGTAGTGTTCCATGATTCATTGTTTGTGCATAACACCCAGTGCTCCATGCAGACGTGCCCTCTTTAATACCCATCACCAAGCCAACCCATCTCCCCACTCCCTTCCCCTCTAGAACCCTCAGTTTGTTTTCAGAGTCCATAGTCTCTCATGGTTCATCTCCCCCTCTGATTTACCCCCCTTCATTTTTCCTTTCCTACTATCTTCTTCTTTTTTTAACATATAATGTATTATTTGTTTCAGAGGTACAGGTCTGTGATTCATCGGTCTTACACAATTCACAGCGCTCACCATAGCACATGTCCTCCCCAATGTCTATCACCCAGCCACCCCAGCCCTCCCACCCCCCCCCCCCCCACTCCAGCAACTCTGTTTCCTGAGATTAAGGATTTGGATTTTGGGTTTATAATGTTGCCAGCTTTTACAATAACTGGTTTTAAACCTGGGTATTTATCTCCTGGGTAATTGGTTCATCTTTAACATTATTTTGAGCACAAGAAGGAGGCTGTGTTCTTTTTAGCCCTTCTCCTGCTGTTTCACCTACTAGTAGTTGTTAGCATTTTTACTCAGAGCAGGTTATTGAGTCAATATGTGCTTCAAAGAAATTGTACTATTTCAGCTAATTACATAAAATCCTATCAAAAACGTCAACACTTGAAATTCCATAGCTCCCTTTGGCTGACCTATTATGTTTCTCCTTTCTGCCTAGCTTAAATTCATTTTGCTTTGTCTACAGACATCCCTTCAGCACTGTGTTCTGTGGGAGGAAAGAAAACAACTAGAAAGTGCTTTTCTATCTGTGTCTTCCTAGGCTCACAGTGTGAGTTCCCACTAATCAGGGACAGTGTCTTCTTTCTACCCCCGCAGCTGCTAGCACAGAATGGGTTCTTGGTAAATATTTGTGAATGAATAACATTTGCATAAATACTTAAAGATAACCATCTCTTTCTTTCTTTCCTTCCTTCCTTCCTGCTTTTCTTTTCTTTTTTCTTTTCTTTCTTAAAGTTTACTTATTTGACAGAGAGCACAAGTAGGCAAAGCGGCAGGCAGAGGGAGAGGAAGGGAAGCAGGCTCCTTGCTGAGCAGGGAGTCCCACGCGGGGCTCGATCCCAGGACCCTGGGATCATGACCCAAGCTGGAGGCAGATGCTTAACCAACTGAGCCACCCAGCTGCTCCTTATTTATTTTTTTAAAGTTTTTGGTTTTTTTTTTTAAATATTTTATTTATTTATTTGACAGAGAGAGAGACAGCAAGAGAGGGAACACAAGCAGGGGGAGTGGGAGAGGGAAAAGGCTTCCCACTAAGCAGGGAGCCCAATGTGGGGCTTGATTCCAGGTCCCTGGGATCGTGACCCGAGCCAAAGGCAGACGCTTAACCGACTGAGCCACCCAGGCGCCTCTGTAGGTCATTCTTGACATTAATAATAGGTGTTGTCTGTTTTTTTCATTTTCAGTGTTGCTAGAGGTTTGTCATTTTCATTCACGTTTTCAAGGAACTAGTTCTTTGTTTTATTGTTTACCGACTGAGCCACCCAGGCACCCCTTATTTATTTATTTTTTTAAAGTTGTGGGTTTTTTTGTTTTTTTGTTTTTAGGTAATGTCTACACCCAACATGGGGCTTGAACTCATGACCCTGAGATCAAGAGTCTCATGCTCTTCTGTCTGAGCCAGCCAGGTGCCCCAACCTTCTCCTAAAGGCTGCACAATACCTTCCTTGAATTTTTTATGTTCGCATTGGATAGTGAATATGTATATTGTAAGACAGACGCTTTTTTGACCATCTAGTTTAAGACTTTGAATATATAAATATTGGTTAAGCATAGATGTTAATATCTACTTTAGATAGCACCACTGACAAATCATGTATGGGCAAAACAATGTTAATGAGACAGGGTAAGAATTCTAGTACAAGACCAAGTAAATGACTGTTTACCTTAATTAATGCAGAGCTTCATAAATTTTCTTGCCTTATAAAATTCATGAGTGTCTGTATGTTTTCACAGCACCTCAAGGACCAAAAGAATACCCATCCATTGGTGAAGAAGTTAGGTTCAGACAACTTTGCTGTGTCCTAACAGCGCATGTTGGGCACTGCTCAGTTTCTCAGACTTTGGAGGCAGAGTGGATATTTCACTCTGATTCCTCTTTCACCTTGATTTTTCCCACTATTTCTTTTATCACAGAAACTGCCAGAAACCCAGCTTCACAAAAATGTGGCATTATTGAAAGGAATGTAGCAGGGTTTTTTGTTTTGTTTTGTTTTTTTTAAACATTTTATTTATTTATTTGACAGAGAGAGACACAGCGAGAGAGGGAACAGCAGGGGGAATGGGAGAGGGAGAAGCAGGCTTCCCGCTGAACAGGGAGCCCGATGTGGGGCTCGATCCCAGGACCCTGGGATCATGACCTAAGCTGAAGGCAGACGCTTAATGACTGAGCCACCCAGACGCCCAGGAATGTAGCAGTTTTAATGTAGAAACGGAACTACCTGGAGCTGGTAATTCACCCAGTGTTCAACAGATAATGCTGGGTTTCACTAAAAAATGTAAAATACCCTGCAGTGCTCTGTCAGTTTGCCGTCGTATCCTGGAGTACTTTAGTACAGGGCTTTGGAACTGTGGTCCTAAAGGTTGCCGTCACAGAGGGTGGGAGGGAATTGCACCAGGGAACTGAGAAGTCTCTTTTGCAGTGGGGTGGGAACAGTGAAAAAAGGAAAATTTTAGGAGCATTGATGAGGGCTGGGTAGGTAGTTAAGAGTGAGCCGTAGATGGGACGCCTGGGTGGCTCAGTCGGTTAAGCGTCTGACTCTTGGTTTTGGCTCAGGTTGCAACCTCGGGGTTGTGAGATGGAGCCCTGCATGGGACTCTGTGCTCAGCGTCGAGTTTGCTTGAGATTCTTTGCCTTTCCCTCTGCTCTTCCCTCAACTCAACGTGCGCTCTCTCACTCTCGCTCTCAAATAAATTAACTAAATCTTTAAAAAACAAAAAAAGTGAGCTGTAATCTTAGCTACATAAACCATCTGTCTTTAACCTTATCTCCTCTAAAGTTTTGAGATAAATGCCACACATATCTGATATTCACCAGTAACCACAGTTCATCTCAGTGTTGATTTTTTTGATTCTCACCAATTCGTATGCATAATATTTTTGTTTTTCTTTAACACTTTTGTCATACTTTTTATGTAAAATTAAAAGTTGAATATGAAACTGTAATAACTCATTCTGATGTTGGTATAGAACAGTGACTTTAATAGTCTTTGACTCTCTCATTACTTGTACTATTATATTAGCTCTTCTAAAAATATCACTGGAGTCCAGTCTGTGTTTCTGAGTATAATCTTTGAGTCAATCAGAAGCTCTTGTGTTTTTCTCCCGATGTAGAACAAATCACCTGCTGCAGTTACCGACCCAGAGACAAGTAAATTTGATAGTACTGGATATGATAAGGACTTAGTAGAAGCTTTGGAAAGAGATATAATTTCTCAGAATCCCAATGTTCGATGGTAAGTTATATCATAACAAGATAATTGGGTGTTGATAATGCTTTTAGGAAAAGCAAAGGGAACCATTACTTTTTCAGTAAATGCACTGAAGATCAGTCCTTGGAGATGGAACGAGAGTGCATGCAATGTGAACCCAGGACTTGGTTCAGGCTCTACCAAATTTTTGTCTGAGCTTTTTATTTAATAAAGTAACAAATGATACATAAGTTTCTATTAAATAAAAAAAATCTAAAGATCACAGAAATTTCATCTTCTTTTGGGGACATCCTCTAATGGTGAAATGGCAGGGATTCTTACACATGTGCATTGTTTGCTTTTGGTTTTTGTTCTTATGTAAGCTCTGTGCTTGAAGTGGGGCTTGAACTCACAACCCCAACCAAGATCAGGAGTTGCAATGCTCTGTTGACTGATGAGCCAATCAGGTGCCCCATTGTTGCTTGTTATCTATAGTTTGTCCCATGGATGTTGCTTGTATTTTCTGACTTTGAGCAGTGATTCTCAACTTGACTTATTATATCTAATCGAAGAACTGTAATTATCACTCTGAATTCTAAAAGCTCCCTTTCAAAAAAAAATTAAAAAAATAAGAGGCCCCCTTTCTCACAAAGTTAGGTACATTCTGTTAAATATTTTTCATTAAAATCTTAACGATTTTTAGGTATGCTTTTGGGGATATTTTAAAAATATTTTTTGGTATTTGGTACTTACACAGTGAACATATATTTTCATGAAAATGCCACATATGCCAGTAATAGTAATAGCAGTAAGAGTTTTCTAGTGGTTGGTGATGACTTCATAGTAGTCTCTATGATACTCTATCCTTGGTGTCTACCTCTTAATAGGGTTGGGGGCAAAGCAGCAATACTGTAGCCTTGTCTCTGCTTTATGCCCTTTTTTGTACTTTTTTTTTTTTTTTAATGGGCTCATTGTTTTTAAATCATGGAGTTTATGGGATGAGCATCACAGGGGCAGGAATTTAAAATGAGACGGCATGATAAATACTTGGGTGCCTATAGACCAGTGGTCTCATTCACCAAGTTGGAAATCATTATTGCCAAGAATTGAAGATTCCGATTGTGCTCCATGTAGACTGGCTGGTGTGGCAGGCCTCATCACAGTGTGCTGGCTCACCGCGCCCAGGCAGGGGCTTCGCAGTCTGGTGGCAGTGTAAGCCATGCTGCTTTTGGTTTGTAAGGATGACTGCATACAGTTAAATATGTCATCTGAGAGGGTACTGATGAAATATCTCCTCTTTCAGGGATGATATTGCTGACTTAGTAGAAGCTAAAAAGTTGCTTAAGGAAGCTGTGGTGTTACCAATGTGGATGCCAGAATTCTTTAAGGGCATTAGGAGACCATGGAAAGTAAGTTTATTGTTGTTAATGGTGTTGTCAAAGTGAATGGCAAGTACATTGCTATAGAAAACCAGTATTTATCTTACTCAGGGGAGTGAGAGGATAGAATTAGGTAAGGAAAATTTTATTTTATTTTATTTTATTTTTATTTTATTTTAAGGAAAATTTTAAATTAAAAAATATGTTACTCCAAATTTTATTTAGACCAAAAGCTTATTGCAAGGTTCCCAGAATAAGAAATAGGTATAGTGTGACCTTTGGAAAGTTGATTTAGAATGAGCTCGTATTTGCAAATAAGAACAAGTTGCCTAATGCAGAACTTCTCCATTTGGTGTATCTGCTACAGAACTTGTATCCTCTACTTCTTGCAGTTGTCCTTAAGAAATTGAGACCTGTCTGCATTAAATGGGTACTTTTTAAAAAAGTCGTGAGCTGATCTGAAAAGAGACTGAAAGAAACTTTCTTGGATTTAGAAAATGTGCCAATGGCTAACTCTGTACTTATTAAGTGAGAAGCAAGCTACAAAATTCTGGACATTCTTTGAGTAACAAAGTTTGTAACAAAAAAACTAATTTGTTTGACCTAAAGACTAGCAGGAAATATATCCAAATAATATTGGTACCTGTGTTAGGGTATGATTATTATAATGTCAGTGTTATAACATTGATTATATTTTTCTCATTTCTGAGTTCCAAATTTTTAATAATGTGGTTACCTTTTATAATGAAAAAGTAATTTGGTGATAAAGTATCCTTTTGTTTATTTTTTATTTATCTTAATATTATATGTTAGTTGAAAATTAATTCTTAGTAATGGAATTCTTGTGAATTAGAACAGTGGCAGGTAAATCTTTCACTTATGGGGCGCCTGGGTGGCTCAGTTGGGCGACTGCCTTCAGCTCAGGTCATGATCCTGGAGTCCCGGGATCGAGTCCCGCATCGGGCTCCCTGCTCAGCGAGGAGCTGCTTCTCCCTCTAACCCTCCCCCTGTCATGTACTCTCTCTCACTCTCTCAAATAAATAAATAAATCTTTAAAAAAAAAAAAAATCTTTCACTTATGTTATTCTTTTCCCTACAGGGAGTGTTGATGGTTGGCCCACCTGGCACAGGAAAGACCCTCCTTGCTAAAGCAGTAGCTACGGAATGCAAGACAACATTCTTCAATGTGTCTTCGTCAACTCTGACTTCCAAATACAGAGGGGAGTCTGAGAAGCTTGTTCGTCTTCTGTTCGAAATGGTGAATGTTTGAGACCACTCTGATGATGCTCTACCTCTAAGCAGGGAGGAAGTGAGTCGTACTATCTCCAGTGTGTAGAAAAGCTAGGCAGGATGGCACTGCGCCCAGAGTGTGAGTCCCGTGCCCTCGAAGCACATGAGTAGCTGGAGTTTTTCTGTTTCCTTTCCTCTAGAGGAAGAGCCATCTCTCTTGGCTTATGGGCATGCTCACATTATGGGATCATTCCAGGTTAGGATCGTGGGAGTTTGAAATTATTATGTTTTTTAAATCAGTAGCCTTATTTATAATATGGTAAATTCAGTGTTGTGACCGTAATGTGGAACAGTGAAAATCAAGTAGTTACGGAATTGAGATCACCTCCAATCTATTAACTATGCTGAATACCTTGAGTTTAATGATCCAGACTTTGGATTGCTACTCCTTTACTTGTTACTTTGAGTTCCTTTTTTCCTTCTTCAACTCCCACTAATCTGAGTATCAGTAGAAGGAATTCAACAAGTTCGTAGTAAGAGTGTTTGGATTAATTTCAACAGCTTTTTAGACTTCAGACCCTGGTAAGCTTCACTGATTGTTTCAGTCTTGCCTCATTTAAGAAATAGTGTAGTTATATGTATCAGGACAGAGTTATGCTTATTATATGGACAGTGACTTGGCATTCTTAACTCTAAAGACTCCCATCGTGGACAAAACCTTAGATGACCATGTTAATAGATACTAGATCTTACTTCCTAGACTCAGAATAAAACAAAACAAGCAAATGAAAACCCATACAATTTCAGGTTATCCATTTTCATTTTCTGTAAAGGATTCTCCCTGTTTCAATTCCCCTTTTCTCCTTCAAGTTTGATAATTCATATGGCAGGATGCAAATTCGAACAGGTTCTTAATAGTTGATCAGTAGTTTATACTGCAGTAGGGGAATCTAGTGGAGAACCTCTTAAGTGAGTTTGGAAAATTAGTTTGCCCTTTGCTTCAGGGAGAAAGAATTCTATTGCCAGGATTCCAGAATATCTAGGCTTTTTAAAGATGTAAGGTAAATAGAATGAATGGCTAAGTATGGAGTCTTTAGGGTCAGGTCACCCGGCTTCAGATCCCACATCTCTTGTCACTTTCTTAGCTGGCTAACTGTGGGCATATTTCCTGATCCTCAGGTGCTTTCTCTGTAAGAGGATGAGCGTAATACAGGAGATACCTCTGTAATGTTCGGATGGTGAAACGAGCTAATGCATGTGAATTGCTTACTACAGAGTCTGACTCACAGGGGCTAATAGATATTAGCTGTTCTGTTTCAGAATTATTTGATATATTTTCTAATGGAGAGTTTATATTCAAGAAAAATGACCATTCTGTGCGGGGAAGCCTCTTACAGAGTGCTAATTTACATTATTTTTTATGGTGAGATTTATGAAGGCATATCAAACGGCTTGTTTTTTACCAGCTTCCCTCATGTTAGCCATCTTTAAATATGTGCCTGCTTCTCTGGAGTCTGTGACTTTGAGTTGCCTACTACTGAGTAGGGGCTCAGTCATAGGCCAGTTTGGAACTTCTGCCTTTGGAACTTTTGATTAGGGCTCATATTTAAAACTCAAATTAAAACTGGCTTAATTTTTTTTTTCCTGTTCATCCTATGGACTCTCCCCAGGAGTGAAGTTGTACAGCCTCTCACATCTTGTTTTGGCTGCTCTGTAGATGACTTGCCTCTCCCCGAGGGCCCAGGCCCATTCCCCAGAATCCCTCAAAGCAAACATGTCTCAAGGCCTGTATTTTCTTCTTTTTTTTTTCTTCAAGGGCTGTATTTTAAATAATGCCACTTAAATATAAGTCTGTCCAGGATTTTTCTCATGACATGGTAACAAACACATACCAAAACTTAATGGTATAATTTTTGTTGTATTGTCAAGAATTTTCAAGTATCAGAAACCTAATCAAATGAGTTTAAACCAAAACAATAATATATTGGGTCACGTAAGTAGGAATTTTCAGAAGTTATGTTCCAGCTTTTTAGACCTAACAGGATCTAACAATTCAGATGTTTTGGGGGATGTCTCTTTGACCTTTGCCTCTCTGTTTACCTGTGCGTTGGCTTTGATTTTATGTGGTGGCCACTATAGCCATGAGTGCCTTAACCCTTGTTTTTATTGTCTTTATTGGTAATCCCCAAGAAATTAGCCCTCGTTGGATATTTCATTTAAAAATAATTAACTATAGGGGCGCCTGGGTGACTCAATCAGTTAGGCGTCCGACTCTCCATTTTGGCTCAGGTCATGATCTCAGGGTTGTGAGATTGAGCCCCACACTGGGCTCTGTGCTCAGAGGGGGAGTCTGCTTCTCTACCTCTCTGTCCCCCTCGTCACTCTTGCTCTCTCACTATAAATCTTTAAAAATAAAAAAGATTGGGGCGCCTGAGTGGCTCAGTCGGTTAAGTGTCTGCCTTCGGCTCAGGTCATGATCCCGGGGTCCTGGGATCGAGTCCCGCATCGGGCTCCTTGCTCCGTGGGAAGCCTGCTTCTCCCTCTCCCACTCCCCCTGCTTGTGTTCCCTCTCTGACTGTGTCTCTCTCTGTCAAAAAAATAAATAAAATCTTTAAAAAAAATAAAATAAAAATAAAAAAGATTAACTGTGAACTTCTTTAGTTACTGTATTGTCATTGTCAATGACAATGTCAAATGAACAATGGCAATTTAATAAGATTTCTTAGAAGGAATCTATATGATTTTATTTAAGGTACTGATTCTCTGAAACCAATTTTTTTTCTAGAACTGTAGAACACTTACCAATATCTGTAAATATTTTCCCACCATTGTTGACCTTATTGTTGTAGCATACATGATAATTCTGTATTTATATCACTCACGAATAAACAGATATCACCTGCCATGTAATATTTAAGGCTATGGTAAGTTTCCATTAGAAGCTGTCTTGTAGCTGCTCCAGTTTATCTTTTCCCAATATTAGGACCAGAGAGAGATGTGGTGTGGTAGGCTCCTGGGCTCTTTTCTAATTGCTGTAGATTATTTTTTAAGTGAAATAAAAATGAAATAAAAACCTGGTGTTACATGGTTTCTTTATTTAGGCTCGGTTTTACTCTCCAGCCACCATATTTATCGATGAGATAGATTCCATTTGTAGTCGCAGAGGGACTTCTGAGGAGCACGAAGCAAGCAGAAGGGTGAAAGCCGAGCTGCTGGTTCAAATGGATGGTATGCATGTGTCTGCATTGACTAAGCGCTACTCCTAGGGCTAAGCCACACAGCTCCTGCCAACTAGAGAGGGCTGGCAAGTAGGTCCTGGAGATCGACAGTATACTGGGGACACGGACTGTGGGGACATGCCAGAAATAATGGCTGTTCATAGAGCACTCATGGGCATATGCTCGGATTTCTTATGTTCAGCAATGAAACTGAAATAAATGCAAATAAATTTGCCTTAGGAATATGTATGCTTTTGAAAAATTTTAGAAATTGGTATGTAGTTAAGCTGAGCTGGTCTTTTGAATAAATCTATTTTGAGTCCTATTTTTTTGCATATTAAAATTTACTTTTCTTGGGCCACAAATTCATATATGTACCATTTAGCTTTAGAAGTCCTAGGGAAGCTTAACAATTACACTACTTTGCAATTTAGTGCTAAATATATGATGATCTTTTAAGTAGTTGAGCTTTATTTTCTATACTCTGACTTCCTGTCTTTTTACATTCTCCTCTCCCTTTTTTTTTTAGGTGTTGGAGGTGCTTCTGAAAATGATGACCCTTCCAAAATGGTTATGGTTCTGGCAGCTACTAATTTTCCCTGGGATATTGATGAGGCATTAAGACGACGTCTTGAAAAAAGAATCTATATTCCATTACCATCAGGTTATCTGCATTTGAATCTTGTCTGAAAGCTCATGTTAACTCTTAGGTAGTTTTGCTTAGAGATTTTAAAATTTGGTAGTAATTAACTTTCCTTTAGAGAGACAAATGTAGGATGTCTTTCCTTATATTAACTGATTTGGCTATATCTAGAACCTGAAAGCCTTGGTACCAGAAATTTTTTTTTTTAAGATTATTTATTTATTTGAGACAGAGAGCGAGTGCACAAGCAGGGGGAGAGGGAGAAGCAGACTCCCCGCCAAGCAGGGATCCCGACGCGGGGCTTGATCCCAGGACCGGAGACCATGACCCAAGCTGAAGGCAGACACTCAGCTGACTGAGTCACCTGGTACCAGGAAATTTTAAATTTAGAAGGGCTCTTAAATTTTTAAGCAAATGAGCTCTAAGAATTGGAAAACAACTTCTCATACAAAGTAGACTTGAGAAAAAAATAACAGTATGTTTATGTTGAAGGCTTACATTTTTAAATTTGTTTCCATGATTAGCAAAAGGCAGGGAGGAGCTGTTACGAATAAATCTACGTGAACTGGAATTGGCTGATGATGTTGACCTTGCAAGCATAGCAGAAAATATGGAAGGTTATTCAGGTGCAGACATTACCAATGTGTGCAGGTATGAATTATTTTGAAAGCATAGGGTTTTGTGGGTATAAACTTCTGTTACGAAGTTTTGTGCTGAATTAGTAAGATGGGTGAAGAATAAAGACCCACATGAGAATCTCTAGTCAGCGACACGAGTTTTGGTATGAAGTTTATGTGATAAGGTGCTGGTAAGAACTTGGGTATCTTGCATGTCACTGAACAGTCTGCAGTGCATTTGAAAGCTGCAAGTTCAAGAAGCTAATGTTAGAACAATTGGTAGAATATCGAAAATCAGTAATTGTCTTGGATTAAAAAAATGTTGGGTCTACTTATTCAGTATACTTTTTACTAAGAAATGTGAAATGGATTGGGCATACTCCAGGAGAGTACAATCTCTTTCAGTACAAGTGTCCTAAATATGATAGGAACAGGAGTAAAAAAGAAAAAAGACAGTCTCTAATCCAGTTGATTCAAGTAGGTTTTGTCCTGAGTATTAGTTCATATGTTTATTAGCAAGGTACTCGTTGTAAAGTAAGCATACTACACAGGCTTGTGGGCGTCAGAATGTGTGTGAATGGAAAGCAGCTGCAGGTTGCTGTCCCTCTGCATAAATGGTGCCTGTTATTAAAGATGAAATTTGGTGAAAGGAGAGGTCCTTGAGTGTAAAGTTTCTTCTTTAAAAACAAAAAACACAACCCCCCCCCCAAAAAAAACCCCCAAAAAGACAAAACTAATACAGAGGGGAAAGCTGAAACATGCTAACTTGATCATTTAGTTTTTCCTACACGTGTAGAAAATAGTTTTTCTCTGGTTCTCTCCTGTCTCTCTGATGTTGTTCAGTCTTCATTTTATTGGACACTTACAATGATTCAATTGCTAGCTTCTTTATTACACCTTTACTCTTTCTTGGGCTCCTTACCTCAGTATCAGTTACTTAAATTGATTAATATCCTTAATTCATCATGGAAGATTTAACTGCTAAAAAACAACTCCAAAGAGGCTCTGTATTCTCTTTTTTTTTTCCTTAAGATTTTATTTATTTGAGAGAGAGAATGAGATAGAGCATGAGAAGGGGGAGGGAGAAGCAGAGGGAGAAGCAGACTCCCCGCTGAGCAGGGAGCCCGATGTGGGACTCGATCCCGGGACTCCAGGATCATGACCTGAGCCGAAGGCAGTTGCTTAACCAACTGAACCACCCAGGCGCCCCAGGCCTTGTATTCTGATAAAAGATTCTGTGCAGTACTAAGTATCTGTGGTCGGATAATTACAAAATAACACATACTGAAAAGATTTTCTGTTCACGGGTTTTTATTCAATCAAAATAACACTTCGTGTGTGTGTTTTCATTAACCTAGGGATGCATCCTTGATGGCAATGAGAAGGCGTATTGAAGGTTTGACCCCAGAGGAAATCAGAAATCTTTCAAGAGAAGAAATGCACATGCCTACAACTATGGAGGATTTTGAAATGGCTTTAAAAAAGGTCTCTAAGTCCGTTTCTGCTGCAGACATTGAAAGATATGAGAAGTGGATATTTGAGTTTGGATCATGCTAAATTCTCACATGTAAACTGTGAGAAGCCTGCCTTAAGTGTTTGAGTAATAATTAAATGTAGTATTTCATTGCACTGAGTGCTATATTTTTTTTAAACTTTGATAATGGTAAGATTAAAAAAAAGTGTGATTCTGAATAAAGGCAATTTTTTAAAGCTGAAAGCAAATTTGTTTTGAGTATTACCCCATTTCTCTCTCACTGCCCACGTTGTTTGCAGCGCAGGTGCGATTACTTAGCTTGCAAAAGTGTCTTTATGTGCGCTTCTGAGTACAGCATCTTCTCTTCCACTGTCCAGCTGCCATTCCTTCTAGGGAGTAAGACTGGCTCTAGCTCCTTGGGTGCCAGTGGATAACTGAAAATTCCCGAACATTTTTACACAAGTAGCCAATTGATGCACAAACCATGCCCCCGTTGTGCCTCCCTGCTTGGGGTTACAGTAGCTTCCCTGCTCTTCCTGGGAGAGCTTTAAAGACCCTTCATTTTATAATGCACTTAAAAAGAAAAAAAAAATACACACATATATACACTCTTGCTTGACCTTATTCTGCCTACATACGAGGCTGCCCTATAGGCAAGCAGATGCTCATAAGCCAGTGCTGCTCACTGTGCTCGAATGAATGAAACTCATGAACCCGTTCACTCGTGGATACAAAGCATAATGAAAGTAATGGTGCAACGGTAAGTTAATAAATGAAAGTTAATGGTATAAGACCTTATAGGTAAGATACCCATTTAGGATTTTTTAAAAAATAACTTACTGTATCATCCCAACCATAGAAAAGAGCAGCATGCCACGGTCCCAGGTCTCACTGGTAGGGAGGGAAGGCAGGACAGGACTCTGCTGAAGCCCACACTGTGCAATGGGCCACGTAGCCCCCTGCAGGATCCTCCTCACTGGAGCCTCTGTAAACTTAATGGATGCAGTAGACCCTGACCCTTGGAGTCAGAACTGGAGATTTCTAGCATCTTAAAGGACAGAGGAAGGACGTAAAGTGTTACTAGCTGGGTGATGTGAGGATCAAACTGAATCTCCTGCTATTATTTATTCTTCTATAATATGGAGAAAGTGTGTTTCACAGGGCTGTTTTCCTTATTAAAAACAGGCAAAATGAAACCTCACTTCTTCACTCTGCTACCTGTCATCCTTCCCCCATACATACATACCTATTTAGCCTAACTCTAAGGGGGTTTTACTTTTGCCCCCCCTCCCTGCTTAAGGTGGTTTTAAAAACCAGTCATTACTTTCTTGAACGATACGTTTAAAATGATGAGTTGCAATAAAAAATTAATAATAGGAAATATCTACCACTTGGAATAAAGGTATTTTATGTACTAGATCACATAAAATAGATGTCAGTGTGAGTGATGGTTAAAAAAAAGACCAAACACTGCTGAAGGGTAAATAGCACTAAGAACCACGAGAGCAAGGGCACGGTCAAATTCCAGGACACTGACGGATGGACTCCTTAACTCATCTGAGCCCTGGTTTCAGCCAGGGTATGTGAAAGGAGCTCTTAAACACAGAAGCAGTTCTTGCCTGGGAAATGTTTTTATACCAAAACTCTATACTGTTTCCTCAAAAAGTTTATTTTAGAGTGAAAACATGTCACTACTATTTTTAAATCCTGGTGCATTCAGGTAAGTAGTCTTGGTTCAGGATACAATCAGATCATGATACACTTCAGTGATTTTATACTGAGTCACATACTTAATATAAAGGCACATTTTACTGAATAAAAAAATATGTTAAATTCTTGAGCTTTTAAATTAGAATTTCATAAAGTGCTTTTCATAAAGTCTCATATATTATAGTAATTAAGTGGACAGAATTTCCCTTACAAAGGCACCTTGAAAAATATTGGCACGTGGCATTTTGTCCTGCCCTTTTTTTTTTTTTTTTGGTAATTTTGAAGTTTCTTCACATCTTCTCTTCTACTTCATTTAAATTTCCCTTAATTCATCATCTGAATAGCCAGCCCTGTTATAGAATAAGGTGAACTTTAACCTGTCACTTCAAGGTCAAGTTTTAGGCAGTTTTAGGAGTTCAGCAATTTCCCTAGTGTATAAACAGATTCTTAGCGATTTAAAGAAAATTCTATTCAAGTGGCAAATTTAGAGCCAAAAGACTAATTCAGAGTCCATGATTTGAGATGGTGTTTTAAACACATGCTTTATCTTCAAGGTTTTCTGCTCTTTTCTCAGGATTATCCGGAAATAAGTTGATAGCTGTGACAGGTATAACACTTACTTTATCCAATTGAAGAATTCCTCTGAAATATAAAAATAGAAATTAAATATTTCCTCTGTCTACAGTTTGATAGTAAGACAAGGCTACCTCAAGGATCTTTAGGCAGTATTTTCCCTTTTGTTACTTAAGTATCTGACCAAGGAGGAGGTCTCTGGATTGGATCCAAGACCTGTTTTGCAAGTTCAGTCTCATCCCAATCAAGATGTCAACAGAAGTTAAGTTGTTTATAGAACTGACCAAGCTGATTCTAAAAGTTCACAGGGGAGTATAGCAAGAACAGCTGCAACATTTTTTTTTTTAAGTATTTTTTTAAGGATTTTATTTATTTATTTGACAGAGACAGAGGTAGCGAGAGCAGGAACACAAGCAGGGGGAGTGGGAGAGGGAGAAGCAGGGAGCCCGATGTGGGGCTCGATCCCAGGACCCTGGGACCATGACCTGAACTGAAGGCAGACGCTCAATGACTGAGCCACCCAGGCGCCCAAGAATAGCTGTAACATTTTTTAAAAAGAACAATAGGGAGAAGAGACAGTTGCCCGGTTTTCTTAAAGCAGTACAGTGATTAAAACCGTGCTAGCGGCACGGCATGAAGAAGAGTCCAGAAATAACACGAATGTATGTGGGAATTTGGTTTATAATAAGGTAACGTTCCGATTCAGGGAAATGAAGAGGTATTTTAAGTTAATTGCTCTCTATATTTCTGTACTGACGTAATCTTTTACTACCAATCCTTAGTACAACTGCCACTGATAAAAGTATACTGCAAATCTGGTTTTTAATTTTACACTGCGTCTCTTCCCAAAGAGAAGCCCGTAACAAAACATTTGGTAAAAGAACTATAAAAAAAAGTGGTTTTCTAGGCAGATTTACCTAATAAAGTTAAAAAAGGTCCTGAGCTTCCTGGAAGTCAAAGGAAAAAGGAAGAAACTATTAAGTTCCAGAATTTTCATTTTCAGAAAGAAACGGGAAATGGGAATTCTTCAGGGGAAACCAAACTAAAAGGTGAGAAGGATACTAGTATTTCTTTACTCCGCAGGCTCTCTGCTTGCATGATGGCCTTTTAACAAACCCTTTAAGGGAGGAATTAGTTCAATGTTACACATGAAGAAATGGGAGTTTCAAAGACCTCACGACAAGCAAGTGGAAAAGTGAATGTTTGAATTGGGTCTTTTTTCCTATAAATCCTATGGCTTTTCCAACATAGTACAATATAATTTAAGCCAAAAACTGTGGCTCGCTGTGTGAGATTTACTTCTATCAAGACTACTAAAATGACTATTTAGCTGCTTTTTTTTTTTCTTCTGAGTAAACTCTACTGCCAACGTGGTGCTCCCACTAATGACCCCAAGATCATGAGCTGCATGTTCCACCAAGTGAGTCGACCAGGTGCCCCCTGACTGTTGTAACTTGTAAAAATGCTAACAATAAATTCGCTTTTACATTTATGAAATAATTTCTTATGGTTAAAAAAATCAAGGGGCACCTGGGTGGCTCAGATGGTTAAGCGACTGCCTTCGGCTCAGGTCATGACCCCAGGGTCCTGGGATCGAGTCCCACATCGGGCTCCTTGCTCGGCGGGGAGTCTGCTTCTCCCTCTGCCCCTCCCCCGGCTCTGCTCTCTCTTGCTCACTCTCTCTCTCTCAAATAAATAAATAAAATCTTAAAAAAAACCCACGAATGCTGGGGCAACCCTCTCGGTCCCCTCCCTCCTTGGGAGCTTTGTACCATCACTTTGCTATCACTCAACAAACCTGGCTTTTTTAAAAAAAATAAAAACACTAATGCTGTTTCTAAAACAATAATTACTTACTTGTATTCACAAACTGGGAAGAGCACCTTTAAGATGGTTATTGCCATAGCTGCTCCCATAATTCCAACCACCATGACGTTGAGAAACATAAAGAATACTGGAAAAACACTGCTCCAGAACCGACACAGATCTTTTCTGAATTTTTCCATCCACTGACACATCACCTAAAAAAGGAGTTTTGATTAGACAAGCCAAGTATCATTCGATCTCTAAGAGACTTTAAAAATCATGTTCCAGTTTTAGGTGATGATAAAATTCTGTATCTTGACTGTGATGCTGGTTACATGGGTGCCTACATTTACCAATAACTGTACATTTTAAATGGGTGCATTTTATTTTAAAATGTACCTTGATAAAATTATTTACAATCTTAAAAATTATGTTCTAATAATACAGGCATAGGAATGTTACTTTGTTATTCTTTACAATTATTTATACCATTGTCTATAAATTAAGTGGAAGTTATTGCTACATGGTAAGAGGTTCGGCTAGTCTACGCAAAACAGACCAAATTTGGGCAACCGTGGATTTCTAACAGTTGGAGGACAACAGCAGAAGAGAAAGACAAACGTCTGTTTGTGGCTTTTGGCCCAGATGGGGAATTCACTGTGCACAAAACATGTTGTTGTAGTTAGAGAGTCAGAGGAGACACTAAGGCGCACGGATGGCGTGGGAGGCCTCGCTCCAAGGGAGGCAGGTGGGCAGGGTGAGGGCGCTGGCGTTCAGGCAGCAAAAAGTGACCAGAGTTTCTCCAGCAACCCCAAATAAGCAATCCCAACCTTCAGTGGGAACTTAAAAGCAGCCTCTGGAATCCTTTGAGACTAACCACAGACCTTGCTCACTTAAATAGAAATTATTTCAAGTAAGAGGCCTAGCTAATACATGCAGAGGTATCAAGATACTCAGTCTGAACCACGAATATATTTCCAGGCAGCCATATCATGCCCTTAGTAATACAGGAATACTTAATAGGTAGAAATACACACTTACATTTGCACCCAGTTTATTTAATCCTGGTAACAACTGCATGATTTTACCGATTAAAGTGGATGCCCCATTGTACAGATAAAGAAACTGAGGTTAGAGAGACTCAGAACTTGTCCAAGATCACACAACTAGTACGTGGCAGAACCAGAATTCAAACCCACGCGGTCCGACTCTTAAAGTACACCCTTCACCTTCACCACCGGCGCTCGGTCCCCGTGAAGATCCCGAGGGTACCGTGCGTGAGCACGCGCATGCGCCAGGTACCAGTCACAGAAGCAATAAATGGGAATATGGGAATGACCCTGGAACTGAAAAGCCCCCCGCAAAATGAAATCCAATGACTTGATAATCATTATCTAACTGTATTATTACATGAAACTTGAAAATGGGAAAACCTGAAAAGCTCACACTGCAACAGCGATGAGTCCACTATTAATAACGATGTTTCACACTCCCAATCCTCATGGTTTCCACCTCATCTGGAATGCTATTTTCTTCCACAAATGTCTGTAATATAAAGATAATCCCAAATACCTGATTTACCTTATAGGAAGATGGAGGCTCTGCTCTGAGAGGAGTCTCAGGCAGTTTGCCAGGTAAAGCGTCTTCATCTACGGTGGTTTCCACATTCCTGATAAGATACTGGCTGGTGGTCTGCAGTGAGCTGACACTTTCTACTGAGAAGGAAGAGCCACGTTACCAAAACACTAGCTACATGCTCCTGTCTTTCTTACTAGTTCTAACGTTACTATGCCAAACACATGCAGGATACTAAGAATATATTTTGCCGTAGGAGGAAAAAAATAACATTTGATTGTTCATGTTTAAATGCCATAAACTCAGACAGTTATAGGAAGCTATACCAGTTATGATTCTATCACACAGAAAGCAGAAAGTCAAATTTTCAAAAAGTTCCATGTTTCAATAGAAAAAAACGAATACTTCTTTCTCTAAATGAACCTAAACAATATTCTTATTGTGTATTTAGTGACGATTGCCCAGAGTAAGGGTAGCTATTTACCACAAAATGTCACCAAGCAGTCATCACTGATCACTTTTTGTTTTGATCACTTTCTATTAAGACTCAAGATAGGTTCCGGAAGTTCTTAAATGGACACATAAAGTAATAGTGGTGTTATAAAGCATTTCTGGAAGAAGCCTACTTCCAAACACATTAACTCCAGTTAGGAAGCTATCCACTAAAGAAATGATTTCCTTAACACTTTAAGTGACAGTCTTTCAAAGTACCTTTTTTGGAGAGGTTGGGAAGGGTAAAAAAAATGTCACTGTCTCGGGAAATAGAATACAGCATGCTTTCCTCCAAAGGTAGGGTATAGTTTGAATGTCTGAGTATTCCCTCGTTCTTAACTAAAATATCAATTTCAGTGACATCCTTTTGTTGAGCCTATGAAAGAAAAACAATTATTCTTTATTTTAAATAATGGCACAACCCCGTAAGACTCTAAACGTAACTTTTCCTCCTTGTTCTCTTTAACTAAAAAACTTACCCTCTTCACAATCACTCTGTATTCCCCACACTTTGAGGCATTTAATTAGCAACTTTAATCTGAGTGTTGTAGCATTCAGTGTTATAAGCTTGCTCTCCATCCCACTTCATTCCCTTCACTCAATTGCTCTATTTACTAATGTTTATATTTTAAAGTGATACAAACATGTATAAATATAATCAGTTTTTTTTTTTAAATTAAGAATTCAAATGCTAAACAAATGTTAAAACAAGTAAAAAATTCTAAATGATTGGGACGCCTGGGTGGCTCAGTCGGTTAAGCGTCTGCCTTTGGCTCAGGTCATGATCCCAGGGTCCTGGGATCGAGTCCTGCATCGGGCTCCCTGCTCTGCGGGGAGCCTGCTTCTCCCTCTGCCTCTGTCTCTCTCTCTGTCTCTCATGAATAAATAAATAAAATCTTAAAAAAAAAAAATTCTAAATGATTGTATACAGGCAACATTAGGGTACCATTTTTCCTTATCAAGCCAGAAATAAATAATATAATAATATAACACATGCATAATACCCAGCATAAATCTTTAGAGTTTAATTCCCAACTAATAATCATATTATCTTACCTGTTTTCCATCAATCTCTACTACCTCTTCTTGAATGACAATTAGTTGCAAACTGGAACCAGATGTCATAGGCCACTCATGAACTAAAATCCTTACACTGACAATTCCAAAATATTCTTTTTCCTCCACATTTTCCAGATTTTCATTCTTCACTATAAAAAAAAGAAGGGACAGCTTTGAACAAAACAAATGCCACCAAATCTATTACTGAATTTGATTATTTTGATGACATTTACATGGAACAAGACAGTTGTGTTAATAATTTCTTTGCCTTTCTTAATCTCCGACTTCACTGATGTTACAGAATTTATGAAAATAAAGACAACTTGACAAATCTTCACAATGTTTACGGTCATTTGAAAAGGGAAAAACGCTTGATGGTCTTTAGACTACCACGCTAGCAACATCATTCCTATTCTTTTAGATAGTTTGTCAAGGAGGAACGAACAAGGCATAACTACCTAGAAGCAGGCCAGAAGACACAGCTAATCCCATGTTATAGTAAAGTAAGTCCATTCATTCATCCCTTCACTCATTCACAAAATCCAGGGATACAAGGGGCCCAAGCAGTAAGGACACGGAGTTGTTTTCTCAATTCTTTCTCCAGGAAGTGACCTGTTGCTGTTGGAGAGGGCAGGAATGGGGAAGAGGATGGGACAGCCCTGTAATCACTCCCCACTAAGGGACAACAGGGCAGGATTAGCTGCTGGTCATACCCCTCTCTAGCGAAGAATCCCCCCCAAACCCAGCAGTGGAGGAGGGGTGTGACAGTGCAGCTGATCCACAGAGCCAGCGACTACCCTACAGAGGCAGAAAACACTACGCAAAAAGATAAATCAATGAAACTAGTGCAAAAGGAACATTTAGTTTCTCAAACGTTAGTCCCTCAAATGTTATCGTATAAGGATTGTTAGCCAAAAAGGAACCCAGATGGATATTCTGCATACAGATCCAGCTGTTTAAATGGATTCTGTGCCTTTATAGGGCTATTCCCCTTTATCTGGAATGTTCTCTACTACTCACTCGCTCCTCATCCATTTTTAATAAACTCCTACTTAAGTAGTTCTAGCTATTGTACCCCTATATCGCTGAGTTCATGCCTTTTTTTAAGCACTAACTTTCTTGCAGTGTAGCTCTTTGTTTATAAGCCTGTCTCCTTGACTAGGCGGCGTCCCCTTGACAGTATGCATCGGGTTTACTGTTCTATGGCTTTTGTTCAGTAGTGATTCCGCCCAGAATTATAAATGCATAATTTAAAAAAATATGCCATCAGAAGTTATCAGTACTATTCAAACACCGGTCTAGTGGTTCTAAATCCGACCAATGCGTCAGAATCAGCTGGGGAATGGTACAGGGGCCAGAGCCTCATCTCAATCTCAATAAATCAAAATCTCTGGGGGGTACAGACTACCATTTCTAACTTTGTAAACAGGTACAGACATTTCCATTGAGAACCAAGTGACCTAACATTTTAGTTCAACCTAAGTCTTCACAAAACCGTTCCTCCTTGACGTCCTTGCTTCTGTAAATGAATCCACCCTTCTCCAGACTTGCAAGGTTACATTTGATTTCTTCACCCTCATTTCCTGTATCCAGTTAGTTGCTTCCTTTGGGCCATTCCAAGTCCAGCTTCTCTTGTATTTGTCATTTCCATGTCCCCGCTACCTCCCCATCCAATATGTAGCTCATCATCTACTTGCCATCATAACAGTTACCTAACTGTTCCCTTCTTTAGTCCCTCCCCTTCACAGCATTCATGTAACGGTGCCAGATTAGTCTTCTGCAACCGAGTTCTGATGATACAGCCGCCTTGCTCAAACACCTTCAAGCAGCATCCCTCTGACTTATCGGCTAGTTCTCTGAATGCTCCTTCTTCAGGCTCCTTCTGGGGGGACTTGCTGCTCTTCTCTCTCCGGTCTGCCTAACCTCCCTCCCATCCTCTACGGCTCCGAACTGTAAAACTTCCCCTCTCCCGTGGTCCAGCTCAGCGTTTTCCCTGGTTGCCCACTGGTCTTGCTCACAGACCAGTAGGCTCCTCGTCAGCTTATCTGTCTGTCCAAAGGCTGGCGCACTAGGCCACAAGAGATTCAACGGATGGGAAAATGCAGTCATATAAAGACATCAAAGTGGTGACTCTTCAGCCCCCAAATCAGGCACCCCTGATGGAGAATAAAATAAAATTAAAACCAAAAAAGCCCTTGATATTCTGACTTTCCTGACTGCGGTAGGCAGCTTTCAAAATGGCTCTCCAGGACCCCTGACTCCGGCAATTCATGTCCTTGCGTGATTCCCTCCCACTAAGTGTGGGCTGGACCTCGTGACTTATTCCTGACAAACAGAATAAAGTGAAAGTGATGGAAAGTCACTTCTGTGATCAGATTAGAAAGGCTGTGCCTCCTGTCTTGTGAGTATTCGCTCCTACCGGCAGTCTCCCTCGTCCTCTCGCTGATACTGCCGGCTGCCATGTTGTGAGACGCCCCCAGAGAGGTCCATGCGGCCAGGGAATGAGGGAGCCCTGCGGCCAACCTCTTGCGAGGAATGGAGGCCTCAGTCCAACGGTTCACAAGAACTAAATCCTGTCAACAACCATGATTGAGCTAGGAAGCAGATCTTCCCCAGCTAAGCCAAGCTCGGGTTCTTGATCTACAGGAGCCATGAGATAATACTGGTGTCAGCTACTAAGTTTAGAATTAAACTGTTACATAGCAACAACTAACTAATACACCTAACAAAGAAGAAGTTTTTAGGGCGCCTGGGTGGCTCAGTGGGTTAAGCGACTGCCTTCGGCTCAGGTCATGATCCTGGAGTCCCGGGATCGAGTCCCGCATCGGGCTCCCTGCTCAGCGGGGAGTCTGCTTCTCCCTCTGACCCTCCCCCTCTCATGCTCTCTCTCTCTCTCATTCTCTCTGTCTCAAATAAATAAATAAAATCTTTAAAAAAAAAGAAGAAGAAGTTTTTAAAAGCATTAAGAAGAAGACTTCATGTTGTTGTATTTGTTTTGAAGATTGTTGTAACTGATAGGATGGGCATTTACTTCAGCCATCAAAGAAACTCAATGCAACAACTGGGATGACCAGCAAGGTGACTGACATACAGTAATACAGAGGGCAGCCAGGTCACACTCCGTGGCAAATTCCTAATGAATATGCCATCAATGGAATCATTACTTAAACCAATAACGGCACTTCTTTTCCTAGCTATGAACAATTAGCTTGTTGTATACCAACCTTCTCGCCGAGAGCCACTAGAAAAGATGTAAAAAAAGAAACACACACATATACACTCAAAACCCACATCTGTCTAGAGGCAGCGGAGAGCTAAAAAGTCAGCCAGAGCCCTCCCAAGGCATTTACTGATTCCCAAGCGGAACAGGTAGAGAAGCTGGAGAGCTCAATAGAAAGTAATGCCTCAGAGGCAGAGAAGCTAAACAGAGCTAAATGGGCAGATTTTGGCAGTCCCACGTAGAGGGGCATACAATAAAGATTATGGCTACAAAGGTATCTAGGACTTGTGACAAGATCCTAGAGAGAAGGGAAGAATAGAAGTGAACATTCTATGCAATCTTCCCCCCCCATCCCCCGCCCCGAAACATGCGCTGATTAGTAAGTCAGGCTAGGCTGAGAAACTGACCCTATACCTAAGACACTAAGAAGAAGTTAAGCAGAACCTCTGGCAGGCTCATGACAGTGGGATTGTGGGAACCACAAAAGGAGGGGCCCTCATAAACACCCCCAAGTTTTCACTTGGGACCTATGATGAGCTACATCTGAGGAATAACAGTTAATAAGAAATAGACTAAGCTTTACAAAGATGAGAATCCAGCCTTCAATCAGCCCAATCCTTGATTTAAAAATTAAGGTATTCTGCCCCTTATTATCATGCCTACCAGGGGTTAAAATAAAGTAAATTCTCTTTGGAGTAAGGTAATATTATCCAGAGACTTTATAACTTTTCATACACAATTTCAAAAATAATATATTGAAGGAGAAGAATCAAAACAAAACAGATCCAGAGGGGCTCAAAAAATTAGACTGGGCAGACATGAACTTTAAATTTACTGAAAGTAATAGGTTCAAGACAAATAGATGATGGGGCACCTGCATGGCTCAGTCAGTTAAGTGTCTGCCTTTGGCTCAGGTAATGATCTCAGGGTCCTGGGATCGAGCCCCACGTCAGGCTCCCCACTCAGTAGGGAGTCTGCTTCTCCCTCTGCCCCGTCCCCTGCTCATGCTCTCTCTCAAATAAACAAAATCTAAAAAAAAAAAGAAAAAGAAAAAAATTGGGGCACCTGGGTGATGCAGTCTGTTGGGTATCTGACTCTTGGTTTCGGCTCAGGTGGTGATCTCATGGCCGTGGGACCAAACACCCCACTGCTGGGCTTATGCACAGTGCAGAGTGTGTTTGAGATTCTCTCCCTCTTCCCTCTGCCCCCACCCTGTTCATGCTCTCTCTAAAATAAATAAATAAATCTTAAAAAAAAGAAAATAGATGATAAAATGGAGAATTTCACCAGATAAGTGTAAGCTATTAAAATCAAAATTAAAAATATAAAATAAAAAAGAGTTGGGCCAGTATCCAGGGCCTGAGCAGAAGATGGAAAATAAAGAAAAAAGAGGGGCACCTGGGTGGCTGCCTTCGGCTTGGGTTGTGGTCCCGTGGTCCTGGGATTGAGCCCCACGTTGGGCTCCCCGCTTGGCGGGAGGCCTGCTTCTCCCTCTGCCTGCCGCTCTGCCTACCTGTGCTCTCTCTCTATCTCTCTGTCAAATAAATAAATGAAATCTTCAAAAAAAATTTTTTAGAAGATAAAATGGACATCCTAGAAGTAAAGTCCAGTAAATGAAATTAACTCAGTTAGGCAGAGCTGATGAATTCGTGTGTGGGGAGGATGAAAAGAAAAAAAGGATAGAAAAAAAAAAACGGAAAACAGTGTAAAATCTATATGGAACCCTGTGAAAACATACATGTAAATGAAAAGCAAGAAGGGAATAAGAAAGAGGACTTGTGGCACTTTTTGAAAAGACAATGGTCAAAAATTTTTCCAGGAAGGCATCAAGTCACAGATGAAAGAACCCTACACCTGGGCACATCACAGTGAAACTACTGAAAACCAAAAACTAAGAAAAAAATATTAAGGGCAACCGAAAAAAACAAAAACAAAAACCCAACCTTAATTTATCCTCCCTGGAGCAACAAGCCTGACGCTGACTCGCAACAGAAACCACAGAAGTGGGGCGCCTGGGTGGCTCAGTTGGTTGAGCAACTGCCTTCGGCTCAGGTCATGGTTCTGGAGTCCCGGGATCGAGGCCCACATCGGGCTCCCTGCTCAGCAGGGAGTCTGCTTCTCCCTCTGACCCTCCCCCTTCTCATGTGCTCTCTCTCTCTCTCAAAAAGAAACCACAGAAGTGAGAAGATCATGAAATTGGTCTTTAAAATGCTAACCTAGGGGCGCCTGGGTGGCTCAGTCATTAAGCGTCTGCCTTCGGCTCAGGTCATGATCCCAGGGCCCTGGGATCAAGCCCTGCATCGGGCTCCCTGCTCCACGGGAAGCCTGCTTCTCCCTCTCCCACTCCCCCGGCTTGTGTTCCCTCTCTCACTGTCTCTCTCTCTCTGTCAAATAAATAAAATCTTAAAAAAAAAGAAAAAAATGCTAACCTAGGAAGTACTAACCTGTTTCCCTACCCAATAAAAAGATCCTCCTAAAATGAAGGCAAAGTAAAGATGTTTTTAAACAAAAGCTCACATACTTCACAGCTAACAAATCTGCACTAAATGGATTTCTTGATCCCCTACTAAGGGGAATTTTTTAGGCAGGGGGAAGATAAGCCCCAAGGGGAACAAGAAACACACACATACACGTTCATTCAGTGTCTATGTGCCTCTAGACAGATGTGGGTTTTGTGGTTCTTGTTCCCCTAAATTTATTTCTTCATTCAGAAAGGAATGAAGAGCGATGGAAAGGGCAACCATTAAGGTAAACATAAATGAGTACTGGATTACACAATATAGTAAGAACAATTATGTTACATAATTACAGGCATGTACGTAGTATTAGAATTTAAGAACACAGAGAGTTAAAATGTAGGACAGTAACAACACAAAAGTAGGAAGGGAATAAATGGAGTTTCCATGTTCTGAGGTTCCTGCTTTGTTTGGGAAGTGATAAAAATACTAGTTTATTGATCTCAGAGGTAACCATTAAGAGAATAGGAAAAGGGGCGCCTGGGTGGCTCAGTCGTTAAGCATCTGCCTTCAGCTCGGGTCGTGATCCCAGGGTCCTGGGTTCGAGCCCCACATCGGGCTCTCTGCTTAGCGGGAAGCCTGCTTCTCCCTCTCCCACTCCCCCTGCTTGTGTTCCCTCTCTCGCTGTGTCTCTCTCTGTCAAATAAATAAATAAAATCTTAAAAAAAAAAATAGGAAAATAATATAAAAACCAACAAGATAGAGGCTAATGATGAAAGAAAAAATAACCTAGAAGAGGGCCAAAAGGAGAAGAAAAAGGGACACGGAATGGGGGGTGGGACACAAATAGGAAACAAATGATTCAGATTAAAGATTTAATATAAATAAATCAAAATCCAAAATGAAAGACAGATTGACAGACTGATTTAAAATTAGACCCACCAGTATATGCTGCTTATAACAGATTCACCTTAATTATAAGGACTCAGAAAGATTGAAAGAAAATGGAAAGATACCACACAACAGTCCACCTCCCTCCCACTTGTGCCTGGCCAAAAAGCAATTACTGTTAAAATATAATATAGATAAAGCTGACTTTAAGGCAAAAATATCACTAGAGATAAAGAAGGCCATATTACAATGATAAAAAAATCAATCTACAAGGAAGACATAATAGTTCAAATCTGTACGAATTTGGTAATATTATGTCAAAATATAGAAAGCAAAAATTGACAAAGCCGGGAGAACAGACAAATCTAGAGAGTAGAGATTTAACATACCATTCTCAATAACTGATAGAACAAGCAAACAAACAGAAAAAGGAGTACTTCTCTAACAGACTGAACAACATGATTAACAAAAAATTTTACTGGATATATATAGAACATCATATCCAAGTAATTATATGATGTACTTTCTTTTCAAGGACACAAGGACATCACCATTTCTTAAAACTGACCATCTGGGGGCGCCTGGGTGGCTCAGTCGTTGAGCGTCTGCCTTCGGCTCAGGTCATGATCCCGGGGTCCTGGGATCGAGTCCCACATCGGACTCCCTGCTCTGCGGGGAGCCTGCTTCTCCCCCTCCCACTCCCCCTGCTTGTGTTCCTGCTCTCGCTGTGTCTCTCTCTATCAAATAAATAAAATCTTAAAAAAAAAAAAAAAAAAAAAAAAACTGACCATCTGCTAAGCCACAAAGCAAGTCTCTAATTTCAGGGGTTAAAATTACACACAGTGCACCTCTGATGACAGAGGTGGAAACAATAAAAACAGAAGTTTCAAAATGTTTGGAAATTAAGCACCTTAACTTCTAAATGACCCACAGGACAAGAGACTATCAAGACAAATAACTGGAAAACACTGTGAACTGAATGACAATGAAAGTACGTAACAAATCAAGCACAAAATACAATTGTTTAGAGAAAAATTTACTGCCTTCAATGCATATGTTACAAGAATACTATACATATTTCTCATATTCTTTATTTCCTCCAAATACTGTGATACAACATAACATATAACATATTTGCTTGTCTTTAAACAACTCAAGATTTTAAAAGGTTAAAAAAATGTTATCTGGACATAAGGGTAGAAGAAACAGAAAACTAGAGAATTAGAGCAACAATTTATTTTTCTATTTTCTTACAGCTGTGATAAGCACTCCTCCAAGATTTTGCCTCGTACTTGTAAATCTCCACTTATTACCTCTCCGTACATTCTTACATTGATATCAACCTACCAGAAATGCAGCTCCAGTCAATGACAATCTCATGAGAAAGAAATGTGAATATGCCAGGAATAACCAATATAAAGTAGGATTTGAACTTTAAACACATTAGTTTTATTATACATTCCAGTAATGATGTACATTATTATTTTAAAATGGAAATACATCACATCAAAGAACCGTGTTTCATGAGTTTAGTATTACTAAAAACGGAACAATTATGGAAATAATTTAGTAGTACTCACCTATCAAAGTCTGACAGCTTATTCGGGTTACACCACTATTTACAGGGAAGTCATTTACATATACCTGTCCACTCTCATAGGTTATGTTAAGAACAACCTTAAAATAAAGCAGCATATACATTAATTCCAATGGTTTGTAAATGATGACAAATTCTTCATGTCAAAAATACATTATCTAACTAAATTAGATGTGCAGGGAAAAATAACATAGGCTGCCTACTACTTCGCTAAGTGATATATTAAAACATAATCAAAAACAGACAAACCTGTTCTTTAGATACTTCCCCAACACCTTTCAGGGTAGTTACATTAATTCTGATGCTGTCCTGCAAAACATATATAAAGTGGATAGGTAATGCATTTCACAAAGTAAAAACAGCTCAGTTCTTTTTCTTTTCCCCTCAACTATATTTATTGTATAACCGCTTATAACATCTAAAGAACATTTTTTTAAAAGCCAGCATTTTTATTTTTACAGCCTTTTTTAGGTCCTCACAATTCCAACTTTTCATAATCTGTATTTCTTCCACTTAATTATGAAATATTTCACATTTACGAGCATATAATATGCAAATGTAGTTTAAAAAAAAATAACACTCACGTACCTACTACCTAGGTTAAAAACTTGAGTATCGTCTACACCTCACAAGTCCCCCGCGTGACCCTCTTTGTCCTGTTCCCCTCCCTCCCCTCAGAAGGAATCCCTATATTGTCTTCCACATTAATCATTTCTTGCTTTTCTTTATAATTTTACCGTGCTTGTCTCTCTCTAAACAATATGTTGTTTAGTTTTCTCTGTTTCTAAGCTTTACATAATACAATTTTGTATGTATTCTTCTAGAACTTCTTTTATTTAAAACTGTTGATGCCTGCAGGTAAAGACATTTATTTACAGTGCTGTATAAAAGCCCATCAAATGATTACCAATTTACTTATGTGTTCCACTATCAAAGGACATTTGAGTCTTTTCCAATTTTTTTGTTTTCATAAACAAAACTGCTCTAACCCTTCTTCTTCTTCTTCTTTTTTCTTTTTTTTTTTTTTTAAAGATTTATTTATTTATTTGAGAGAGTGAGAATGAGAGAGAGAGAGAGAGTACATGACGAGGGGAGGGTTAGAGGGAGAAGCAGGCTCCCCGCCGAGCAGGGAGCCCGATGCGGGACTCGATCCAGGGACTCCAGGATCATGACCTGAGCCAAAGGCAGTCGCTTAACCAACTGAGCCACCCAGGCGCCCCTAAAATTTTTCTATTTTTCCTAGTAATCTCTACACCCAGTGTAAGGCTCGAACTCAAGAGCTGCATGTTCCTCCAACTGAGCCAGCCAGGCATCCCTGCTCTAACCCTTCTTCTTAAATATGTCCCCTAATGTCTGTGGACAAGTATATACTGTGCACAGGTCCGCTTTAGTGCCTCTCAAGGTATGCTCAAAAGCAGTTACTCAAATATTTAAGTTTATTAATGACCTGCTTTCTAAAGAGAAGAAAGCACAATTTTAAGAAGTATTCACCAATACTCACAGGAATTACAATTTGTCATTTGTAAAGCAAATCCTTCCCTATGTTTATTCACAGTTAGACACTGTTATCCTAGAATAAAAAAAATATTTTTTTTCCTGGGGGGTATTCTTAACTTAGAAAATAGGAAAATTATTCATAGTCAAAATAATATACAAGTGTATCTCTTGGCACCGTGACTATCTCTAATACTTTATATATTTCCAACAAATGAGAGAATAAGACTGAAGTGATTTTATGAGGTTGAAGTGATTCTACTCAAGGAACAGGACCCTAAGCATGGAAAGCCTATACCATACATTTGGGACACTTGCCAACTTGCATGGGGGCCTATGAAGCTTCAGAATCAGCCTGGTCCGGGTGCCTGGGTGGCTCAGTCGTTACGCGTCTGCCTTCGGCTCAGGTCATGATCCCAGAGTCCTAGGATCGGGTCCCACATCGGGCTCCCTGCTTCTCCCTCTCCCACTTCCCGCTTGTGTTCCTGCTCTCGCTATCTCTCTGTCAAATAAATAAATAAAATCTTTAAAAAAAAAAAAAAAAAAGAATCAGCCTGGTCCATCCTAATCTAGAACTAAGCATAGGCTAGAACCAGTACACTCATCTCTAGAACAAACCAACATTCAGTAAGTCATCAAACTGGTGGTTATATTTTTTTTGTGTTCTAATTCCAGCCAAGAATTCCTCTTTTCAAACTAGAGGATCTGTTAACTATACACTCTATTGTTCTTCTAACAGCCAGAGATAACCCTCCAATGATCGTATTCTAAGAAACTTTTCCCTAGCTTCTGCATTTCAGTAGTGAACATACACTATATTGTTAGTAATTTACTGCACTTACATATATCACTTGCCTAGTAAAATCTGGGGTTTGTAAAAGACAATTAACAGATATTATCCTGCTGTATTTTGCAGGAACCAAATTCAATTAATTTTTTTGCTCTTTCGAAATGATTTCATTTCAGAGGAGACCCTAATCCCTTACTGCCTCCTGGGGCCAAGTTCGGAGATAGGTCATATTTCTTGCTCTACCTGAGAACCTCCACCAGAACTGGAAGTTCAAGATTGTGAGCCAGGACGACAGATACTTAAAGAGTGGGTGGCAGAACTGAAGTTTCTACCCACCCATTTTCAATTTTTCCTCTAACTCCTTCACTCACAAGATGCCCAGCTGGTTCACATGGCTTCCTAAGGACAAAGGTAATAGATACCGCGTTTAAAATAAATAAATAAAGTCGGGGAGCCTGGGTGGCTCAGTCGGTTAAGCGGCTGCCTTTGGCTCAGGTCATGATCCCAGGCTCCTGGGATCGAGCCCCGCATCGGGCTCCCTGTTCGGCAGAGAGCCTGCTTCTCCCTCTCCCTCTGTCTGCCGCTCTGCCTACTTGTGCTCAATCTCTCTCTCTCTCTGTTAAATAAATAAAAATCTTAAAAAATAATAATAATAAATGAATTAAGTCTCAGGGAAATATATGAAATAAATATTTACAAATATGTGTCCTCTGGATGCCTCTCTTTGGTGACCAAATTATTTTAATATTAGAAGAATGTACTATAAAAATTTGCATTATTTTACAATCTGGGTAACCTTGACTTCTAACAACTGCACATGTAAACAAAACAGAAAAATGCCTATAATCCAGTAGATCTGCATCACTGAGAGAATTTTCCTGACTTTGTTTTCTTACATTCAGATCAGGTTAGATACAAAAATGAACACATGAACAGATAGGTGATAAAGCATAAAGTAAGTACAGTAAAATATTAATGGTGGTCTAAGTTTGCACTATTCAATATGGTATCCAATAACCACATGTGGTTATTTGTATTTAAATTAATTAAAATTAAATAAATAAAAGTTTAAAAACCAGTTCCTCAGTCTCCCTAGTCAGCCACATTTCAAGCACTCACTAACCACAGCAGTCCGATGGCTACCGTAATGGACAGAGCAAACACCATCACTACACCAAAGTCTACTAGATGGCACTCATCTAATGTGGTGACCACCATAACATTCTTTCAAATGTTCTGTACATTTGAAAATTTTCAAAATAGGGGTACTTGGGTGGCTCAGTCAGTTAAGCGTCCAACTGCTGATCTCAGCTAAGGTCTTGATCTCAGGGTCTTGAGTTCAAGTCCCGAACTGGGGCTTAAACATTAAAAAAAAAGAAAGGAAAAGAAAAGAAAGGAAAATTTTAAAAATAAAACACTGAACAATTTAGATCAAGAGGCTTCAGCTTCCCATATAAACATTTCCAAGGAATGAGAGTCTCCCTCTCCCTGCTCAGCTTTCTTTCATCTATGAAATTCTGAGTTTAGATCTGGACTTTCCAAAAGTGGAAGGAGGGCATAAAAAGGGAGAACTGAAATGATGAGCTAAGTTCACAGCGCAGTATACTTTCAGCTTGCAGTCAAAATGCATTTTTCTCAGACTATAGATTTAAGTATCCTTGGATTCACAAGTGATTATGATGAATCTTTAAAATTTGGAAAACAATGGAGTTCCAGAACTTTAAGAATCATTTCATTTTTATTTGGTCTCTTGGCGCTCACCAATCACATTCATATTTTTGACCAGTTGCACTGTGGTCCATAAAATTTCAGATACAAGTGGTTCTTACGGCTTGCATTGTTGTGCCTTCTTGAAATGTCCCAGCAGAATTGAAAGTGAGATATCCTCGTTATTTTTGTTCTCAGAGAGAGTCATGTCATTAAAAGTAAAAAAAAAAAAAAAAAAAAAGTTTTTTAAAGTGATATTTATGGTGTAAGTCACCCCTGAATTTAGAGTATTCAAGTCTTGACCAGTAAGAAAAAGTATACCTGTATTGTTTCTTTTCATTCTGGGAAAACTCCTCTTTTAAAATCCTCAAACTTTCCCCAACCATACATTCAATCGATGAACGGCAAATACTGGTTTATTTCAGCATGACTCCCCGGCAAAAGCGAGAAGAACCAAATACCCTCTAGTACAAGGGCGCAGTGGTTATCCAACTTTAGCTAGCTTCAGAATCACCTGGAGGGCTTGCTGACACAAATTATTGGGCCCCAGCCCCAGGGCATCGGATTTGTGCGTTTCCAGCCGGTTCCCAGTGGATGCTGGCGAGGCTGGTCCCGCCACGCTTAAAGATCCACTCCTCCTAACATGCACCAAAGACAGGCACGACGTCAGGGTTAAGTGTCGGGTCTCCAGCCCTTCTCCTTCTCCCGCCCCGACGACCCGGCGTTGGCGCACCCCGAGCCCTGCACGCCGTGGGGAAGGCAGCGCTTCCCGCCGCCGCGGGAGCAGACAGGTGGCCTGGAATCGCTCTTGTTCTTCACCCAGCCACTTCCACCTTTCCCGAACGCTGCCTGGCCCCAGTGCCGGCTCTACCCCAGGAAGGCGCCATTACAAAAGCCTGAGAGCACTTGTGATCGCGTACTTTCGACGGCAAAACCCCCTCCGGCTGGCAACAGCTGGGACTGCCCTAAGAATCCCTAAGTTTCGCCGCACTAGGCTTAACCACACATTAAGTAACCCTTTTCGCTCTCTCGCCGCCTTCTCCCAGGCTGCCCCCATTTCCTTGGATGCTTCGCCCCACTCCTCTCTTGGGCACCCGGACCCCTGCCCCTGGCCCGCCGGCCGGTGGCAAGAGGCGTCGATGCGGACGCCAAAGTCCCACGGCTCCGGCCCGGGCCTCCCGGGAGGATCCGTGCGAAGGAGCGGCCGAGCCGCGCCCGCCTTGCCCTACCTTCGGGGCTTGGGGCGGCAATGGCAGCTCATTGGTAACCGTCATCAGCCACCCGGCGGCCGGCAGCGCCGCGAGCAGGAGCAGCCGGAGGGCAAACGGTGCCGGTGGAGAGCCCTCCATTTTGGACAGGCCAGCGGCGGCAGACAGCCGGGAGCTGAGGGCCGAGCCAGCCCGAGGGGCGGTGTCAGGGGCGGTGTCAGGGGCGGGGCTAGGCTACCGGGGGGTGGGACCCTGGGGGACGGGGCGGGGCGGAGGCGAGACGGGCCCGGGAAGGAGCCGGTGGCAGCGGACGGCTGGGGCTCCGGGGAAAGCGGGTTGCGCATGCGCGCCGCCGCGAAACGTCGGGGGGTGGAGTCAAGCGGGGGAAGGTCGGCTTTGGTCATTAGACTGGCGGTCTGGATTGGAGAGAAGTGCCAATCCGAAGGAGTGAAAATGTTTTCATTGACATTATTTTTAAAATCAGTATATACGCTTAGGAGACTAGTATGTATACGTATGCACATAGCTATATCTCTGTGTGTACATGTTTTACATATGTATAAAATGAAAATGGTAATATCGCAGAAAACTATACATTATAAACAATATGTCACGTTTAGAGGGGGAATTTTATTACATCGGTAGTTCTCACCCATGACTGCGCATGGGAATTGCCTGGGCAGTTTTAAAAATTACTGACTCTGGGGTCTTACGGGACACCCGAGTGTCTGATTTAGTCTGGGCTGCTGTTCGGCATCGGTGGTTCCCCAAGTGATTTACTGTGCCAGGGTTGAGGATCAACCACGCATCAAATGTTCAACATTCAGGGGATCACTGTGAGACGCCATGGGAACAACACTCAACAGGAAACCACTCCACCTGGGCTCTGGGGGCTTTTCTAGTCAGTTCCTTAATCTACAAAATGAAGATGGTAGACTTTTCTTACCCCTTTAATATTTTTTTTTTTAAGATTTTATTTATTTATTTGAGAGAGAGAGAATGAGAGAGAGAGAACACGTGAGAGGGGATAGGGTCAGAGGACGAAGCAGACTCCCTGCCGAGCAGGGAGCCCGATGCGGGACTCGATCCCGAGACTCCAGGATCATGACCTGAGCCGAAGGCAGACGCTTAACCGACTGAGCCACCCAGGCGCCCCACCCCTTTAATATTTTTTAAAAAATATTTTATGAAACTATCTAAAGCAGAGAATGCCAAGAAATTCGGGCATTTCAGATTAATAGGATTGAATATTGATTGAGAACTTGGAGACATTGCCATTCAAGGCAGAATAAGAAACATTTAACCTTTTTTTAAAATAAAACTTTGGACATGGAAAGAACACAAGTCTCTCTCTTAGCCCTTCTTCTTTATCAACCCCTCTCCCCGTGGATACTTTTCTAGCTAGGGTAATTATAAAATCTTTGTAGGGTGTACTACAAAATCATTCAACTAACTCCTTGCCTACTGTGAGATATGTAACAACATTATTAACTTGCACGTGGTTTCTGCAGTCCCAACCACTCTTGGGTTCCAACTACAACCACTTGGTTTTTCACTCTATTTCAGACTTCTGGGATTAAAAACGAATCTGGAGATCAGAACACATGACATGTGGATCTGCATAATTTGAATTAGTAATATATGTATAAGATTTTAAAGTACATTTATATGAAAAAGTAGACAGGGAAAGTGAAGTAGCCTGTTTCCCAACAGATCACTCCCCATAGTCTGACTATCCATTATCCGTCCACGTGTTTTGTCTCCATAGCTAGCTCTGAGCTCCAGGAAGGCTGTGGACAAAAAACAGTAAAGAAGCTTGCTAGAGTTGGAGTTTGTTGGAAGTTTAGGAACACACCAACAGGCAATTGTCTGCCACACCAACTAAGTGTCCCACAATTTAATTCAATTCTGATATTATCTACCTAGAGATTGCATCAGATCCCACAGGATAAGGGATCAGTCCCCTGAGACAGCCCCCGCCTACTCTCACCCACACACACTTCAGATGCCAATTGCAAGCCCGGGTTATTACCTGTGCTTTTGACCAATCAGCTACAGAGCATAGGTTCCAATAACCCCCTCCTTGGATTGGATTAATTTGCTAGAGCAACTCATAGAACTCAGGGAAACACTTACTTATATTTGCCAGTTTGTTATAGATAGATATAATAAAAGATAGAACAGCCAGATGGAAAGAGATGCATAGGGTAAGGTATGTGGGAAGGGGCAGAGCTTCCATGCCCTCCCCAGGGACACCATATTCCTAGCACCTCCCCCTGTTCACCAACCTTGAAGCTCTCTGAACTGTGTACTTATGGGATTTTAATGGAGGCATCATCAATCATTAACTCCATTTTCAGCCCTTGTCCCATTTCAAGAGTATGAGGGGCAGGGCTGAAAATTCTAAGCTTCTAGTCACATCTTGGTCTTTCTGGTGACCAGCCCTCATCCAGGAGCCAGCCAGAAGCCCACCCAGAGTTACCACAGTAGAACAAAAGACACTCTTATCACCCAGGAAATCACAAGGGTTTCAGAAGCTCTGTGTCAGAGACAGAGTCAAAGAGCAATATTACGGGTGCCTGACTGGTTCATTTGGTAGAGCATGTAACTTTCAATCTTGGGGTTGTGAGTTCAAGCCCCATATTGGGCCTAGAACTTACTTTAAAAAAAACAAAAAGAGGCGGCGCCTGGGTGGCTCAGTTGGTTAAGTGTCTGCCTTCCACTCAGGTCATGATCGCAGGGTCCTGGAATCGAGCCCGTGTCGGGCTCTCTGCTAGGTGGGAAGCCTGCTTCTCCCTCTCCCACTCTCCCTGCTTGTGTTCCCTCTCTCGCTGTGTCTCTGTCAAATAAATAAAATCTTAAAAATAAATAAATAAATAAATAAAAACAAAATTAAAAAAAAAGAGAGAGAGAGACCAATCTTAGAACAAGAGATGCTCCTAGTGTTCTTATCTCTTAGGAAATTACAGGGTTTCAGGAGCTCCATGCCAGGAGCTGGGGCAGGGACCAATATATTTTCTATTAATTCACAGCATGTCTTTTATATGCAAAACAACCAATCCAGAGCCCATATTCTGAATCCCTTCTTCCACCAGGCTTTTACGGTCCAGGAGGCAATATTCCTCTGTCCTAATCATCCCAGACCAGGTACCAGACAACTAGAGACAGCCTATAATATACCCCAGAGCCCACTGATATTATTAAAACTAGCCAATTCTAAGCCTGTTTATCCTACCTTGTCTCACCTTCCCCCCATGGAAACCACAATAAGGACTCCTGCCTATAGTTTCCTCTTGGCTCCTTCCACCTCCTGACCAACCCTGATATTTTCTATTTGGCCCTGCATGGCATGTTGTGCCCCCCCACCCCACCTCTTTGGGAACTGTGAGTAACAAACTATCTTTTCAATGGCAGTCATCTCCTGACCTGTTGGCTTCACCATACATGAATAATAATAAAACCTACATTTTATTTTTTTTAAAGATTTTATTTATTTATTTGACAGAGAGAGACACAGTGAGAGAGGGAACACAAGCAGGGGGAGTGGGAGAAGGAGAAGCAGGCTTCCCGCAGAGCGGGGAGCCCGATGCGGGGCTCGATCCCAGGACCCTGGGATCATGACCTGAGCCGAAGGCAGACGCTTAATGACCGAGACACCCAGGTGCCCCTAAAACCTACATTTTAAAACACCATACTAATATCTACTGAAAAGGCCAATACTGTAATAATCACAACAAAGAAAAGGCGGTTGAAGTTCTTGACAAGGCAGATGAAGAAGCAGGTAAAGATTGCTTCCAAAGAGGGCAAAATGTCCTGCTTTCTAGCCAGCCAGAAATGTTCTCTAGCCCCTGGACTGTCACTGTCCCAGATATCTTACTGTAAATGTTATGACAACAGTGACTACGATGAATCTCAGTTCACCAAACTGAGATTCCTCAGGATGTGAGGAGAAAAAGCAGGAAAAGGAACAGATAAAGAAAATCATGCTGGACTTGTCAAGCACATGAATGCTTCTGCACCATATAATATTATATTTGATCATAAATATGTGTTTTTGTTGTTCATACATTTAATCATTTAAAATCATGATTTTACTTTTGGCAATTTTAGTAAGGCTACAGACATTTGAATGTGATTGTTCAGATTAGTATATGAAATGATGTCAACAAAGAAATTCGTCATAATGGTTGGTGATGTTGATATTCGGAAGGCAATACAAATTTACTAATCTTTTCTCTAGACTAAATCTACTTTAGTAGTTACATTTGGTAGAATTGTGAAGGTTGTATCTCATTTCTTTTCACCTATATATCTACTATATAAACCACTTAAGTATTTATACCATTAGAATTCAAAGTGTAATACGATGCCGACAAGCATAAACTATATAACATCATGAAATTATATTTTTCCCATGAAGGTAGAATATTTGATATTTAGTGATATATCAGTGTGTATATGTGTGTATATATATTCAGGATAGCATAATTTAAAGATATAGCAAATTACACACTGAAGAATAAATAAGGTATTCTATCTTTGGCTTAAGATATCACACCTGGGCCTCGAGTCTGCTAAAGAGTCTGGCCATATCATTTATGGTGATTAGTGTATCACTTTCTATGTTAAAGCATTCCTCGTATTTATTATGTCAATTTCTAATTCTCTTTGAATAGTCCAAATTTGTCTTTAAAAATTATTTAACTTTTCCAAATCCTCTCTTTTTCTTGATCTATTTCTTTTAAGCATACACAGAAATTTTTTTTTTTCAATTTAAATTCAATTAATTGGTGCGCCTGGGTGGCTTAGTCGGTTAAGCTTCTGCCTTGGGCTCAGGTCATGATCCCAGGGTCCTGGGATCAAGCCCTGTATCATTAGGCTTCCTGCTCAGAGGGGAGCCTGCTTCTCCCTCTCCCTTTGCCTCTTCCCCAGCTTGTGCTTCCTCACTTGCTGTCAAATAAATAAAATCTTAAAAAAATAAATTCAAGTAACATATAGTGTATTATTAGTTTCAGAGGTAGAGTTCAGTGATTCATCAGTCTTATAGAATATCCAGTCCTCATTACATCACATGCCCTCCTAATGTCCATCACCCAGTTACCCCATCCTCCCACCCTCTCCCCTCCAGCAACTCTGTTTGCTTTCTATGATTAAGAGTCTCTCATGGTTTGTCTCTGTCTCTGATTTCATCTTGTTTTATTTTTCCCTCCCTTCCCCTATGATCCTGTTTTGTTTCTTAAATTCTACATTATCAGTGAGATCATATGATAATTGTTTTTCTCTGATTGACTTATTTTGCTTAGCATAATACCCTCTAGTTCTATCCATGTTTTGCAAACAACAAGATTTCATTTTTCTGTGAGGGCTGAGTAATATTCCATTATGAATGTATACACACACACACCTTCTTTATCCATTCATCTGGGCTCTTTCCATAGTTTGGCTATTGTGGACATTGCTGCTATAAACATTGGGGTGCAGGTGCCCCTTCTGATCACTACATTTGCATACATAGAACTTTACCAAATATTATCCTGTAATTTCTAGTCTTACTATTAAAATTATATTGGGAAAAGATTAGTATATGTGCTGCCTAAGTGAGCACTATATTGGGAAAAGATTAGATGAGTTTTATACAGTATCCAAAATAGCTGTAGCACTTTATATTCCCATCAACAATCCCATTGTTACTTTAATTTGTATTTTTTTTTAAGATTTTATTTATTTATTTGAGAGAGAGAGAGAGAATGAGAGACAGAGAGCACGAGAGGGAAGGGGATCAGAGGGAGAAGCAGGCCCCCCACTGAGCGGGGAGCCTGATGCGGGACTCGATCCCGGGACTCCAGGATCATGACCTGAGCTGAAGGCAGTCGCTTAACCAACTGAGCCACCCAGGCGCCCTTAATTTGTATTTCTTTAATTAATTGCCAATATTCATCAATTCACTCAACTAATATTTATTCACCCATTATGTGGCAGGCTGTTATAGGCACTAGGGATACAGCAATAAACAAAACTGGCAAGATTGGCTATAACCTTCTAGAGCTTATATTTTAGTAATATAAAAATAATTTATATTTATCATCAACAAATTCATAAATAGCGTGTTAGATAGTAAAGAGAGCCATGGGGAAAAAGCTTTATGGAGAAAAACAAAAGTGTATGTATGTGGGTTTAATTTTAATTATGGTAGTCGGGGAAAGCTTCACTGAGAGGTGACAAGTGAGCAAGAGGCCTAAAGGAGGTGAAGGAGAGCCATGAAAATATCTCGGGGAAGAGGGTTGTAACTGGAGTGGGCAGCCAGCCCAAAGGCCCAGAGGCAGAAGTGCGGCCAACAGTGTTCAAAGAATAGCAAAAGTCTAGTGTGGCTTCCAAGTAAGAGAGAAGCCAGGTAGATACGGCAGCAGAGAGAGTATCATGTATGGCCTTGCAGACCATTATAAAAACGTTGGCTTTTGGTGAGAGGTGAAGTCATTGGAAGCTGTAATTGTACAAAATGGTATAAAAGTGACTGACCTGTTTGGTCAGATTTAGGGGAATAAACTGCATGAAAACCCTCAACAGAGGCCAAAAATCGTTTTGTTTTTTTTTTTTTAAAGATTTTATTTATTTATTTGACAGAGAAAGACACAGCGAGAGAGGGAACACAAGCAGGGGGAGTGGGAGAGGGGGAAGCAGACTCCCTGCCAAGCAGGCAGCCCGATGCGGGACTCGATCCAGGGACTCCAGGATCATGACCTGAGCCGAAGGCAGTCGCTTAACCAACTGAGCCACCCAGGCGCCCCCAAAAATCGTTTTATAAGTCTTCAAATTGAAAGATTACTGATAAACCAGTAGAGATTTGGGGCTGAAGCCTACTGTCTTTTAGCTTGTCGCAGTACGGACCTGTCACTATTAGCAGAGCTTCTGTCCTAGGCACGATTAGCCAGGGAAGAACTCCTTGTTAATCACCTTTCTGGGTAACAAACTGTACATTTAAGGCCTAAAGGTTTTGATTCAGGACGACGAAAAACACTGATCAGGAAATCCAGAGTAGTTGTCCCAATAACGTGGGAGAAGCTGGCGCCGTGGTCGCTCTCGATGCTCCCCGAGGAGCAGAGAAGAAAGGGCTGCTCGAAGGTCCGCCCTGTTCTTGAGAAGGGCACAAAAGGGACACAAAACCCTTTACAAAAGTCCTTTTGAGCGACGGGCTCCCGCGCCAGTCGCCCAGGAAGAACCAGGATTTTCAAAAAAGGCCGCGTCGGAGGCAGCGTGGGTCGGCGCCGACCAGGCGGGCCGCGACGGGAGGGGCGTCGCCGAAGGGAGGGGCGTCGCCGAAGGGATGACGTAAAAAGGCGTCGCGCCGAGAGTGACGCGTGGCGTAGATCACGACGGGCTGCGCCTGTCACACCCGCGGCTTGTTGCGGAGGAGGAGCGGGCGCCATGGCGGTTCTGCTGGAGACCACTTTGGGCGACGTCGTCATCGATCTGTACACTGAGGAGCGGCCGCGCGGTGAGACCCGGGCCCCGCTCACGTCTCGCCAGGGCCACGATCTCCTTTCCCTACTGTCCCTTCGCTGCCCGGTCCCCTTGACTGGGTTCGAGCTTCTAGGCTGCCGGTGCCCACGACTGGGCTATTTTATTAGCGGGCCGTGGTTCGAAAAGTTTTTGTGAGGAGCAGCCTCTCTCCTGTATCTGGGGCTGGCCAATCGGGTGGCGGGTGCTTGTGGCATTAAATGCCTATGGGGTGTGTGTGTGTGTGTGTGTGTGTGTGTGTGTGTGTGTGTGTGTGTGTGTGTGTGGTGCAGGCTGCATATACCATAGCCATAGCTTATGTGGCTTTACTGCGCTTTACTCGTGAGAGGAACACAACCTGTATTCCTTGGCGTGTAATCAGTAAGTCCTAATGGAAGCGGGAAGGATGTGTTTGGAGCAGCGAGTGTGAGCATCCCGCCGCGGTGGAGGAAGGGCTGTCCAGAGATGTGCACGGAGCCCTAGCAAACACTCACTTATCGTCTGCTGTGCAAGACTGCCAAGCTCTGGGATAGGCGTCTTGTCCTGGAGGGTCTAATTTTCCACTGGGAGAAATGGACGTGGGAGCCCCTTTAAGTGTTGTAGGTCTTACAACCCATTGTAAGTGGTGTAGTTGAAGAATGTGTAAGTTGCTATGGAAACCAGTGGAGGGAGTAATTCTTCCCGCTTGGGGGCGGGGAGAAGCGAAGAAAGCCAAGAAAGTAGACCACTTGAACTAGCTCTTTCAAAAGATGAGTGGGAATGAGGGTGGTTTTTTTTTTTGCTTGGAATTTTCTGGAAACAGCAAGTAGTTTGGCATGGCTTGAAGGAATGATGCGTGCTGTGGAATGGCAGACTACGAGTCTGGTCCTATAGGTTATATTGGTTAGATCAGATGTGAATAGTCTTGTGTGCTGTTCTGATGGCTAGGGTCTTTGAAGGTTTTAAAAGCAGGATCGAGGCATGGCAAATTTGTTTTAGGAAGATAACAGGCAACAGTGTGGAGACTGTATCAGAATTGGGAGAAACTAGAGGCCACAGAGATTAGTTACAGTCAGGATCCTGTCCCCTTGGAATGCAGAGTCTATCAAAGAGGATGAAACAGTATGTACAATAAGTGTCTTTCTGCTATGTTACACTCTATCTCACACTGAGTTGTTCCCCCCCCCCCCCCCCGCATGCTCAATCATACATCCATACCTTTCTCATACTGTTGCCTCTACTCCAATGATTCTCTCTACTGTTGTCCTTTTGGCAAACTTCCTGCTTATTATTCAAACCTTGGATCAAGCATGATTTCTTCTGTGAAGCTCTCCCTTGCCCCTAAGAGGAATTAGATCTGTTTTTTTCTGCTGTCTTTTTAAACAGCATGTAACACATTTTGTTATATCATTTACCTGTTAATCCTGGAATTGTTTGCAAAGGCTTAGTTGCCTTCTTGTCTATCCTAAGCACCTGGTGCAATGCCTGCCACTTTGCACACATTAAAGGCTCATTACAGTGACTAATGTGTGTGTGTGTGTATATATATAGTCTAATGTATATATATAGTCTAATGTATATATATACATTATGTCTAATGTATATATACGTGTTTATTAGTTAGGATTCTCAGTGCAGATGATAGAAACTCAAACTGGCTTAAACAAAGAAAATAGTTGATTGCCTCCTGTTACTGAGGTAAGCTTGGCTTTAAGGATGGTGGGATCCAGAAATTCAAAGGATGTTATAGGGAATTGTATTTTTCATCTCTTGGTTTTGCTTTCTGTTGAATTTGTTTGACACCCTCTTCACGTGGGACAGCACCTAGCAAATGAATGGGCCCCTTTCCCCAGGGTTGTGAAGAACTAAAGGGGAGGTAGGGTTATCCTACCTAGTTAACACAGACAGAATAGACAAATAGCGATTCTGCAAAGATAGTTTGGAAGACTAAAAAGATAAGCCCACCCCATTTGTATGTATTTGTAAGCCTGTGATCGGATATTTACTTACATGTATAACTACTTACCGCTTCAGAGTAAATATATCCAGACTTAGTTTTCTTCCTCTTTCCCTCCCTCTCTCCCTTCCTTCTATTTTTTCCTTTTTTTCCTTTTTATTATAGAAAACTTATATACAGAAGGAGAGTCATGAAAATGAGCCCTCATGTGCCAATGACCAGTTAACGAACGGTTGTCAACACATAACCAATATCGTTTCATTTATACTGGATTTTTTGTAATAAATCCATTACATGGGACTTATTTAATCTGCAGTTACTTCAATTTGTATTTCTAAAAAGTGATTAAAAAAATAACCATAAATCAGGGCACCTGGGTGGCTCAGTTGGTTAAGCGACTGCCTTTGGCTCAGGTCATGATCCTGGAGTCCCGGGATCGAGTCCTGCATCAGGCTCCCTGCTCGGCGGGGAGTCTGCTTCTCCCTCTGACCCTCCCCCTTCTCATGCTCTCTGTCTCTCATTCTCTGTCTCAAATAAATAAATAAATAAAATCTTAAAAAAAAAAAAAACCACAAATCATTATCACATCTGAAAAAATGGGCAATAATTTTTTGGTATCATTCATATTTTCCTTTTGTCTCGTAAGTGTTTTAAAAATATTTGGGGGCGCCTGGGTGGCTCAGTTGGTTAAGCGACTGCCTTCGGCTCAGGTCATGATCCTGGAGTCCCGGGATCGAGTCCCGCATTGGGCTCCCTGCTTGGCAGGGAGCCTGCTTCTCCCTCTGACCCTCCCCCCTCTCATGTGCTCTCTGTCTCTCTCATTCTCTCTCTGTCTCAAATAAATAAATAAAATCTTTAAAAAAAAATATTTGGTAATTTAAGGATGCAAACAAGGTTCATTTATTATATTGCCTGATACAGCTCTTAAATATCTTTTAATCTATAGCTCCTCCCCCTTGCCTTATTTATTTATTTATTTTAAATTTTATTTATTTATTTGACAGAGAGAGACACAGCAAAAGAGGGAACACGAGCAGGAGGAGTGGGAGAGGGAAAAGCAGGCTTCCTGCTGAGCAGGGAGCCTGATGCGTTGGGGGGCTCCATCCAAGGGCCCTGGGATCATGACCTGAGCTGAAGGCAGTAGCTTAATGACTGAGCCACCCAGGAGCCCCTCCCCTTGCCTTTTTTTTTTTTTTAAATTTTGTTTATTTGAATTTAGGTGACACATAATGTCACATTAGTTTCAGGTGCAAGATAGTGATTCACCTTCTCTATACGTTATGCTGTGTTCACACCCCCCCCTGCCTATTTTTAAAGACTTTATTTTTTTAGAGCAATTTAAGGTTCATAGCAAAACTGAGGGGAAGGTATATAGAGAGATTTCCCATAGACCCCTATCGCCACGTATGTGCAGCCTCTCCCATTTTCAGTATCCCCCACCAGGGTCTACCTTTGTTGTACATCTGTACCATTTGTACCATTTGATGAACCTACATCGACACGTCATAATCCATAGTTTACATTGAGGTACACTCTTGGGTGTTGTACATTGTATGAGTTTGGACAAATGTATAATACATATATCCACCATTACGGTATCATACAGGAAAATCATGTAAATCATGCCCTAAAAATCTCCTGTGCTCTGCCTATTTATTTGCACCCCTCTCCTCAACTCCTGGCAGCCAGTGATCTTTTACTGTATCCATAGATTTGTTTTTTCCAGAATGTTATATGGATAGAATCATACAGTAAGTAATCTTTACAGATTGGTTTCTTTCAATTTGTAATATGCATTTAAGGTTCCTCCATATCTTTTCATGGCTTGATAGCTCATTTCTTTTTAGTAGCAAATAATAATATTCCATTGTTTGGATGTACCACATACTATTTATTCAGTCACCTACTTAAGGACATCTTGGTTGTTTCCATATTTTGGCAATTGTGAACAAACCTGCTATAAACATGTGTATGCAGGTTTTTGTGTGAACATACATTTTCATCTCCTTTGAGTAAATACCAAGAGGTGTGATTGCTAGATTTTATGGTAAGAATGTGTTCAGTTTTGTAAGAAACTGCCAAGGTCCATACGTTATATTGGTTGATATCTTTTAATCTATAGTTTCTTCCCCACCCCAACCCCCATTTTTCCCTTAACGGGTTTTGTTTTGTTTTGTTTTTGAGAGTTTACTTATTTATTTATTTGAGAGAAAGGAGAGAGTATGAGCGGGGGAGGAGCAGAGGGAGAGGGACAAGCGGACTCTGCATGGAGCCGTCGCAGAGCTTGATCCCAGGACCCTGAGATCATGACCTGACGTGAAATAGAGTCTGAAGCTTAACTGACCGAGCCACCCAGGTGCCTCTACCTTAACAACTTTTTGAGAAGGAATCTGAGTCATTTGTTTTATAGAATTTCCCTCATTTTGGATTTGACTGATTTTATCCTTTTTGTATCTTTAAATATATTTTTATCTCTTCTGTTTCTCCTAAATTGCCACTTAGATCTAGAGCCTTGATAAGGTACCGGTTTAATGTTTTTGGCAAGAATATTTTCATATAAGGTAGTCTGCACTTCAGCTGCATCACATTCAGGAAGTACTTGATGTCTGGTTGGTTCTTACTGCGAAGTTAAAATTGGTCGGTGGGTTCAGGCGTGTCCACCTGATGTATCTGTTATAGTGTCCCCATTAGCTTTTCATCTAAGGATTTTGGCAGCCATTGATCACTACCTAGATCCATTATTTTTGTTTTCTAGTTAAAGGACTACTCTTGTATTTAACAGTAATCCCAGAAATGTATTTTTCTAGGAAAACAATCAAAATCCTGATATTCAAGACCTTTCAATACCTTGGCCCCATCTTACCCCTCTGGTCTATTTACCCTCTATTACTTTGTATTACCAGAGTGTTACAGAGCTGAGACTGGTCTTTTGGACCCTTCAAAAAACATTTATATTTGCACATCCAGACTTATTCATACTGTCTTCCCAGTTTGAAATGCTTACTCTCTACTCGTTGCCTGTCTAGTTCTTGTATTTTTTTTTTTTTTAAAGATTTCATTTATTTATTTGACAGATAGAGACACAGCAAGAAAGGAACACAAGCAGGGGGAATGGGAGAGGGAGAAGCAGGCTTCCCGCAGAGCAGGGAGCCCGATGCAGGTCTCGATCCCAGGACCCTGGGATCATGACCCGAGCTGAAGGCAGATGCTTAACGACTGAGCCACCCAGGCGCCCCGTCTAGTTCTTTTAATGCCCACCTTCAGCCTCTATGAGGTCTTCTAATTTCCCTAGCCAGAAACAATCTTCCTTTTGAACTTTGTGGCTTTTTTAAAACCACTTTTTACCATTTTACTATATAAGTGGCCCAGATGGTATTATTAGATATATCCAGTATTGTAATTATTTTGCTCGGGTGTAAGGACCCTGGACAGCCTCATAGGTCTTTCTGTCTGGTTTCTAGCTTAGTGTTCTGAGAGTTTGTTAGTGTACAACTAGACTATGAACTTGTTGAGGGGAGGGGCTGTGGTTTAATGGCATTTGTGATAGCAGTGCCAGGCACCTAGAAGATACTCCATAAATATTTACTGAATAAATGAGTGTATTTATATGAGAAAGCTGGTACATGATCAGTATATGGATTTTTCCGAAGAGCTGTTTAGTCGTCATTAAAGAAATTGGTCTCAGATATTTGATTTTATCTAATTTATATAATTTGTACCCATTTTCAGATACTCTGATAGATTCTTTTCCATCATAGTATCCTCTTTGGGTTTTTTTTCTCTTGCAAAACTAATCCATTAGTTAATGGTTGCCTGTCCCAAATAAGTGTCAGTTTCCTGCATTAGCTCAGATGCCCAAGAAGTCCTAAGAAAAAGAGAATAAAAAGATAATTTAAAATATATTGCCTTTTTCTAGACTTACTGCCTTTTTTATGATTTAGGATATTTGACCATTGGGGGGTGTTTGTATGGTAATTTAGAAATGAAATTATGCGAACTAAGCATTTACTTGCTTAAAAATGTTTTTGTGAACCACTATGATAAATTTAGTATTTACTTTTCTTTCAGCCTGCTTGAATTTCCTGAAGTTGTGCAAAATAAAGTATTACAATTATTGTCTTATTCACAACGTACAGGTGAGTTGGTGGATATAAGTCATGTCCTTTATTATTGGAACCATCTAGCAAACTCTGAATTAACAAAGTACCTTGTTTATTATAGAGGGATTTTATCATACAAACTGGTGATCCTACAGGGACTGGCCGTGGAGGAGAGTCTGTTTTTGGGTAAGTTCTTTTATTTTTAAATGAGAAAAAATAGAATTGCCTCTTAACAGTGTTATCTAACATATTTCAATCTGCATTTTAAAATACAATTCAAATATAGATTTTTTTCCAAGTTCCCTAGATGTCTATAGCAAATAAAAAAAAAAGAGAATATTTTGAATCATAGTGGCATTTCTATAAAGAAATGGTAATCCTGTTTGTTACTAGTACTTTGTATTTCACGTTGAGAGTACTTATATTTTATAACTTTACTGTATGTATTTTCAGTCAACTGTATGGTGATCAAGCAAGCTTTTTCGAGGCTGAAAAAGTACCAAGAATTAAGCACAAGAAGAAAGGCACTGTGTCCATGGTGAACAATGGCAGCGATCAACATGGATCTCAGGTTAGGAAATGAGTAAGAAGATGAGTTTTGTTTTATTTTTAAATTTTTATTTACTTTTTTTATAGAGAACATTTTTTTAAAGATTTTATTTATTTATTTGAGAGAGCGAGAGCATGAGCAGGGGGAGAGGGAGCCCAGTGCAAGGCTCAATCCCAGGACCCTGGGATCATGATGTGAGCTGAAGGCAGATGCTTAACTGACTGTGCCACCCAGGTGCCCCAAGATGAGTTTTGTTTTAAAATGAAGGACTGGAAAGAGCCACAAGTTATCGCTTTAAGCTATCCAATAAGAAGAGAATTTCAAAGATAATTGTTAGAAGAAAAATATTATACTATATTTTTTTTATATAAAAAAATTATTTTGGGGGGCACCTGGCTGGCTCAGTCAGTAGAGCATGTGACTCCTCAGGGTTGTGAGTTTGAGCCCCATGTTGGGTGTAGAGGTTACTTAAAAATAAAATATTTTAAAAAAATTACTTTGTTCTTTTAAAAAAATTTATTTATTTATTTATTTTTATTAGAGAGAGAAGGGGGGTCAGAGGGAGAGATAGAATCTTAAGCAGGCTCCACCCCAGCATGAGCCTGACACAGGGCTCGATCTCATGACCTGAGCTGAAATCAAGAGTCAGATGCTTAACCAACTGAGCCACCCAGTCGCCTGTACTTTTTTCTTTTAAAGGCATGTCCAGTGTGAGGAGTTCAGAAGATACAAAAACGTATAACATTATCCACAATCCTACTATCCATGGATCATCACTGTTCACATTGTGGTCTCTTTCCTTTTGGTATTTATTACTTCAAAACAGATCATGTTGAGAACCTTTCATTCATTGTCTGATCCTCACAACAACCCATTTTGGGGTAGATGCTTTTTTTCCCCTCACAATTCACATGTGAAGAAACTGAGCTTTGGTTTGCCCAAGTATTTTAAACAATCAGGGAAGCATCTGTATGTGTATTGATATTTTATGTATAAGCTTGTACTTTTTAATTAGTACTAGTAACAAGTGGGTAAGAATCCATGCAGTGAATGTAGAGTATTGTGTTTGTATATTTTTGTCAGTCTGTAACTGATTTCAGTTTGAATTATAGATATATATTTATATTTTTCTGTGTCTTTCTATTCAGTTTCTTATTACTACAGGAGATAATCTAGATTATCTTGATGGTGTTCATACAGTGTTCGGTGAGGTGACAGAAGGCATGGACATAATTAAGAAAATTAATGAGACCTTTGTTGACAAGGACTTTGTACCATATCAAGATATCAGGTGTGGTTGCTATCTCAATGTACTAGAATGTTTTAATACTGTGATGTTTGTGGAGATGGCAAGCATAGAACTGGTTTTTGGATAATTCCAAAATGTGAATTAATACGAGACTATACGAATCCATAAAGTAAAAAAGACCTTTTGTACTTTTATACTTCTTTTTTTTTTAAAGATTTTATTTATTTATTTGAGAGAGAGAGAGAGAATGAGAGAGAACACGAGAGGGGGGAGGGTCAGAGGGAGAAGCAGACTCCCTGCTGAGCAGGGAGCCCAATGTGGGACTCAATCCCGGGACTCCAGGATCATGACGTGAGCCGAGGGCAGTCGCTTAACCAACTGAGCCACCCAGGCGCCCTTGTATTTTTATACTTCTACTAATTATTTATAATTGCTTATGTTGGGAGGAATTATTAATTCTTAATTTAGGTTTAGTTTTTTGTTTTTTTTTTTAAAGATTTTTATTTATTTATTTAACAGAGAGAAAGACAGTGAGAGAGGGAACACAAGCAGGGGGAGTGGGAGAGGGAGAAGCAGGCTTCCCGCTGAGCAGGGAGCCCGATGCGGGGCTTGATTCCAGGCCCCTGGGATCATGACCTGAGTCGAAGGCAGACACCCAATGACTGAGCCACCCAGGCGCCCCTCCTTAATTTAGTTTTAAAAAATGTATATTATTGAGAAATATGGCAAAAGCACTAAGATTTAGACATATTAATATTAGATATATTATTTTAGAGTAATGCAGAGTAGTAAATCTAATATCAAACAATGAAAAACAGTAACACTGGATTGTGAAAGTATACTCTCATAATGTATACTTGTGCATTAAAATTTAAGTGCCTATGATTTTTGGGCATTAGAGATACTTAAGACATTTGTTATAATCTTTATAAAAAGTAAAACATGAATTCTGAAATAATGTAAATGAAACCTTTGACTTGGATTTATTTTGTAAGGATAAATCATACAGTGATTTTAGATGATCCGTTTGATGACCCTCCTGATTTATTAATTCCTGATCGATCACCAGAACCTACAAGGGAACAGCTAGATGTAAGTAGAGTCCTCTTGTAATTGAATGTACATGCATATTAATGCTTTGTATAGATTTTGCTTTTTAGTTTATTAAAACTTATTTCTTCAGAATGACTATCTTGCTTGATCAGTTCTACTAGGACAAGTTTAGCCTTCTTTTTCTATTCCATAGAGATACTAATTTTTCTAGCTATGTTTTGATTTCCCTAATTTCCTTTCTTCAATTTCTGTTCCACCAGAAGAGCCTTAGCTCTGGAAGCTTATGTGAATACCTTGCGAAAATGTTTTTCTTGTCTCCTAACTCTAGGAGTGTAGCTTTAAGGCTAAGGTAAACTATCATCTTGTAAGGGAGTTTTCAACTGGGAACACTCTGGAGCCATGCTAGAACCCAGAAATTTTTGTGAAATAATGTAGACTTTTCCTTCATATTTTTTAAGATATAAGTTTCTGTTTATGAGGCTTTCTCAAAGCGGAATTGATCTTCATAGTTGGGATTTGGTGCTTAATTTTTAAGGTCATTTATTTTCTGCATTCAGCACTGAGTTGGGTACCAGATAATTTCTTTATAATGTTTATCTTGATTTAATAATAAATTAGAAGCTTAGTCTGGCTCATATTATCAAATTAATTTAAATCAATTTTCAGAGGCTTATAAGTTTCAGTCTATTCTAACACATTTGATGGAACCAAGGACAAAGCATCACATCTCCCGTATTTCTCAGATTTTTCAATTCTTTCACTATATGTTTAAGTAACTTCTGCCTTACAGAGTGGTCGAATAGGAGCAGATGAAGAAATTGATGATTTCAAAGGAAGATCAGCTGAAGAAGTAGAAGAAATAAAGGCAGAAAAAGAGGCCAAAACTCAGGCTATTCTATTAGAAATGGTAAGATGATTATCTTTGTTCAGATAGTTGTTCTGCAGTTTATTTAATATACAATTAATTGTGAGTTTATTTTTTGGTTCTTTTTTTTTTTTTTTTTAGGTTGGGAGAGGGCGGGACACAGAGGGGCGAGGGAGAGAGAGAATCTCAAGCAGGTTCCACACCCAGCACAGAGCCCAATGTGGGGCTCAATCCCACAACCCTGACATAATAACCTGAGCTGAAATTAAGAGTTGGATGCTCATCCAGCTGAGCCACTCAGGCACTTCCCGCTGAGCAGGGAGCCCGATGCGGGGGCTCCCTTTAATACTTTGATAGTCAGAGTATTAAAAATTTAGCTAAGAGTTCTTTTCTGGATTAAATTTTATATGACATAATACATGAAAGTAAACAAATTTGGTTCCAAAATCAATACAGTACCAAGTGCCTTTTTAAAAAATGAGCAGTGGATATACAATTTACAAATATGCATTGAATTTCAATTGTTTATATTCATCCCATTTTTGAAGACTGTTTATTGGATCGAATTTTATTTGTATTAAAGAACAATTCTTTGTTCTTTATTATTTTTATATTTTTATTATATATATAATAATTTTTTATATTTATATATAAAATAATTTATATATATTATAATAATTTTATTATATTATATATATAATAAAGATATTATAATATCTTTATATTATTATTATATATGTTCTTTATTTATTAAAGAACAATTCTTTGATTGTGGGGCACCTGGGTGGCTCAGTTGGTTAAGTGGCTGCCTTCGGCTCAGGTCACGATCCTGGGGTCCTGGGATCGAGCCCCACGTCCGGCTCCCTACTCAGCAGAGAGCCTGCTTCTCCTTCTCCCTCTGCCTGCCACTCTGCCTACTTGTGCTCTCTCTTTCTCTGTCAAATAAATAAATAAAATCTTTAAAAAAACAAAAACAAAATAAAACCAAAACAATTCTTTGTTGAAAAGAATTGTTGTAAAGTGTTGAGGTTAAGTAGTTACAGGATACAAGGAACCTGGGTAGAAATTGAGTACTGTAAAACATACTCCTTTGTATTACAGTATGAAGTCATTTGGGGAACAGTTCTTTAGTACTGATTAATTGACCTACTAGACATTTTTTCCATTTGTTAATTTTTTGTGGAATAGGCATATCTGTCCCATAGTAGATCATCAATAAATATTTGAATGGATAATTCAGTTTTTATTATTATCATTGTTTTATATAGTAGAGTTTTCAAATTCTTCATCTGTTTCAAAATTCATATTCACATCACCAGTCTGGAGGAACAAATATTAAAGACTATAATTCAGGGGCGCCTGGGTGGCTCAGTCGTTAAGCGTCTGCCTTCGGCTCAGGTCATGATCCCAGGGTCCTGGGATCGAGCCCCGCATTGGGCTCCCTGCTCAGCGGGAGGCCTGCTTCTCCCTCTCCCACTCCCCCTGCTTGTGTTCTCTCTCTCGCTGTCTCTCTCTCTGTCAAATAAATAAATAAAATCTTTAAAAAAAAAAAAAAGACTATAATTCAAGAAAACTTTACTGAATTAAAAAATATTTGAAAATCTACACTGTGTAGCTGAGACTATTGGCCCAGAACAACCAACAGCATGACAAATTCTTTTTTTTTTTTTTTTTAAGATTTTATTTATATATTTGAGAGAGAGAGAATGAGAGACAGAGAGCATGAGAGGGAGGAGGGTCAGAGGGAGAAGCAGACTCCCTGCCGAGCAGGGAGCCCGATGCGGGACTCGATCCAGGGACTCCAGGATCATGACCTGAGCTGAAGGCAGTCGCTTAACCAACTGAGCCACCCAGGCGCCCCCAGCATGACAAATTCTAAGAAAGTTACTGAACTTAAAAGAAAAATCTTTTTCTCTTTTAAGATTTATTTATTTATTTTAGAGAGAATGCAGTGGGGAGCGGCAGAGGGAGAGGGAGAGAGTGTAAAGCAGACTCCACCCTGAGTGGGGAGCCTGATAAGGGGCTCAGTCTCACAACCCTGAGATCATGACCTAAGCAGAAACCAAGAGTCGAGCGCTTAACTGACTGTTCCACCCAGGCACCCCAAAAGAAGAATCTTTTGAGCAACTGGGCAACAAAAATGACTTATAGGGAAAGAATATTAGATTATCATCAGAGGTTTTTGTGTTTGTTTTTGTTTTTAAAGATTTTATTTGTTTATTAGAGAGAGAGAGCACAAGCAGGGGGAGCGGCAGGCAGAGGGAGAAGCAGACTCCCTTCTGAGCAAGGAGCCTGATGCAGGGCTCGATCCCAGGACCCTGGGATCATGACCTGAGCTGAAGGCAGACGCCCAACCTACTGAGCCACTCAGGTGTCCCTATCATCAGAGTTTTTAATAGCAAAAGTGTAGGCAGTTTATGCCAGAAAGATGTTGGATTAACATAACAAAACTTTATTTTCAGATAATTTCAAATTTATGAGAAAGTTACAAAAAATAGTATAGAGAACTTCTCTATATCTTTTATTCCGATTCACCAATTTTTTTTTTTTTTAAGAGAAGGAGAGAGGCAGGGAGGTGCAGAGAGAGAGGGAGAGAGAGAATCTTAAGCAGGTTCCACGCCCAGTGCCAAGCCCAGTGCGGAGCTCAATCTCATGACGCTGAGACCAAGACCTGAGCCAAAATCAAGAGTCAGATGCTTAACTGACTAAGCCACCCAGGCACCCCCAAATTCACCAGTTTTTAACATTTTTGACAATTCTGCTGATTATTTGTTCTGTCTCTCTCTCTGATTATACATGCACATACACATGCTATTTTCCTGGACTCATAGAAAGTAAGACCTAAACATCATACCTTTTTACCTCTTACATCAGTGTGTATTTCCGAAGATCAACAATATTATACATATTCACAGTACAGTTATCAAAATCAGGATATTTAAAATTGATAGAAATTACAGCCCATATTTCAATTTTGTCAGTTATTTCAGTAATATCTTTTACAGCTTTTCCCATTCGGTCTAGAATCAAGCTCATAATCATCTGTTGCATTTTTAATTTTTATTTTTTTAAATTTTTAAAAAAGATTTTTATTTATTTATTTGACAGAGAGAGTGCACAAGTAGCAGAGTAGCAGGGAGAGGGAGAGGGAGAAGCAGGCTCTCCGCTGAGCAGGGAGCCTAATGCTGGGCTCGATCCCAGGATCCCAGGTTTATGACCTGAGCCAAAGGCAGATGCTTAACCAACTGAGCCACCCGGGCATCTGTTGCATTTAGTTATCATATTTCTTCTAACATCTGGGGGAATTCCTTAACCTGTCTTTATTTTTCGTGCTATTAACATTTTAGAGCAGTATAGGTCATCTGTTTTATAGAATATTCTTCAATTTAGGTTTATCTACTGTTGCCTTGAGATTAGATTCAGATTATGCACACAGCCAGAATACTACACAAGTGACCTTCTCAGATGTTGTATTTGCAGGTGTACAATAGCTATATGCCCGTCACTGGGAAGTGTTCATTTTGATTACTTGAGCAAGGTAGTCCACTGCCTAGTGTCTCCATTGCATACTTTCTGTTTTCCCCTTGCGACTAGTAGCAGTCTGTAGCATTTGAGACCTTTTAAATATCTTGTTCCTTATCAAATTGTCCCTGTGGATTTCTTAGCTGTTCATGATTCTTACCTGAACCAGTGTTGACTCTAATGGGTGCAAAATGGTGATTTTCTAACTCCCCTACTCCTTCCATATTGCCAGCCTGCCTTCTACTGTAAGGAACGGCCCTCCTTTCTTATCTTTTTATTATATGTTCATTTTTAGTATGGACTCATGGATTCCTTTTTTGGCTTTGATTTTAATAAATAGGCTTTATTTTTTAGAGCTGTTTTAGGTTTATTTATTTATTTTTGTATTTAAAAGATTTTATTTATTTGAGAGAGAGAGAGAGCACATGAGCAGGGGAAGGGGCAGAGAGAGAGGGAGAAGCAGACTCCCTGCTGAGCAGGGAGCCAGATGCGGGGCTCATGATCTGAGCCGAAAGCAGACGCTTAACTGACTAAGCAACCCAGGCACCCCACTGTTTTAAGTTTATAAAAAAAATTGAACAGAAAGTACAGAGAATTCTTCTGTGTACTCCCCTCCACGTCCCCAACAGTTTTTCTTATTAACATCTTGCATTTGTGTGGTACAATTGGTGAGTCAATAGTGATAATATTATTAAGTAAAGTCCATAATTTACATTAGGTTTTACTCTTTGTGTTGTACATTCTGTGGGTTTTGAGAAATGTATAATGATATATATCTACCATCATAGTATCATAGAGAATAGTTTCACTCCCTAAAAATCCCCGCATATTTATCCCTCCCTGCCCCCAACCCCTGGCAACCACTGATCTTTTTTATTGCCTGCATACTTATGCGTTTTCCAGAATGTCATATGGTTGGAATCATACAGTATATATCCTTTTAAGATTGACTTCTTCCACTTGGCCATATGCATTTACGTTTCCTCCATGTCTTTTTGTGGCTTGATAGCTTATTTCTTTTGATCAAAAAATTTATTCCATTGTTTGGACGTACCATGGTTTGTTTATCCATTCACCTATTAAAAAACGTCTTAATTGCTTCCAAGTTTTGGCAAGTATGCCTAAAACTGCTATAAAACTATAACTAAATATAAAACTGCAGTTACTAGAATTTATGGTAAGATTATGTTTATCTTTGTAAGAAACTGCCAAGCTGTCTTCAGACTGGCTGTCCATTTTGCATTCCCACTAGTAATGATTGAGAGTTCCTGGGATGCCTGGGTGGCTCAGTCGGTTAAGCTCAGGTCATGATCCCAGGGTCCTGGGATCAAGTCCCGCATCTGGCTTCTTGCTCAGCAGGGAGCCTGCTTCTTCTTCTGCCTGCCATTCCCCCTGCTTTTCACGCGTGCTTTCTTTCTCTCTCTCTGACAAATAAATAAAACAAATAAATAAAATCTTTAAAAAAAAATTGAAAGTTCCTGTTGCTCAACATCCTTGTCAGCATTTGGTATTGTCAGTGTTTTGGATTTTAGCCATTCTAATAGGTGATCCTGTGTTGTTTTGATTCTCAATATTAACAGGTTTCACCTTTTTTTTTTTTTTTAAGTTTTATTTATGTAAGTAATCTCGGGGCTTGAACTCACTACCCTGAGATCAAGAGTCACACACTCCTCCTACTGAGCCAGCCGGGTGCCCCTGTTTTTTTTTTTTTGAAGTAGGCTCTATGACCAACCATGAGGCTTGAATTCAAAACCCTGAGATCAAGAGTCACATGCTCTACCAGCTGAGCCAGTCAGGTGCCCCTCTACTATTTTTAATTTTTTAATTATTGTTATTTTTAATGTGGGGCTTGAGCTCATGATCCTGGGATCAAGACCTGAGCTGAGATCAAGAGTTGGACACTTAACTGACTGAGCCACGCAGGTGCTTTTTTAAAGATTTTATTTATTTATTTGACAGAGAGAAAGACAGCGAGAGAGGGAACACGAGCAGGGGGGCAGTGGGAGAGGGAGAAGCAGGCCCCCCGTGGAGCAGAGAGCCCGATGCGGGGCTCGATCCCAGGATCCTGGGATCACGACCCGAGCTGAAGGCAGACGCTTAACAACCAAGCCACCCAGGCACACCTCCTATCTTCTGTTTTTAAAAATCATAAAACTGAAAGCAAACCAAACGAAAAAAACCATTAGTTCCTTTTACTTTGTGTCTAATAAAATGATAATTCAACTAGTATTTTGCAGTGTTAGTTTTGAACTTCATAGTTATGAATATTTAAATTTCCTTGTATTATTTATTTTTAATTTTTTAAAAGATGTTATTTTTATTTTTTTTAAGACTTTATTTATTTGTGAGAGAGAGAGTGAGCAAGCACAAGCAGGGGGAGCAGCAGGCTGAGGGAGAAGGAGGCTCCCTGCTGAGCAAGGAGACTGATGCGGGACTTGATCCCAGACGCTTAACTGACTGAGCCATGCAGGCATCCCTAAGATTTTATTTTTAAGTAATCTCTACACCCAGTGTAGGGCTCAAACTTAGAACTCCAAGATCAAGAGTCATATGTCCCACTGGCTGAGCCAGTCAGGTGCCCCCCCCATAGTATTTTAAAGTTACTTTTGACTAAGTAGTATATATAGCAAGTTCTTTTTTAACTCATTAACCTTTTTTTTTCTTCTGTGCTTCCTTTAGATGTGGTATTATAGATGCTTTTCAGAATTTTTTACTGATTTGCTCTTCCTCTTACATACTGTGATATTGTTTATTGGACATAGATAATTGTCTTTTTAAAAAAAAATTTTTTTTAAAGTAAGCTTTACGCCCAACATGGGACTTGAACTCATGACCCTGAGATCAAGGGTTGCATGTTCTACTGACTGAGCCAGGCAGGCACCCCGGATTATTGTCTTTTGATGGGCTTCAGAAACACTGAGCAGATCTTACTGGCTCTGTTGCTTATTACTGTTCCTGATTTTTTTTTTTTTTTTTTAAGATTTTATTTATTTATTTGACAGAGAGAGAGACACAGCGAGAGAGGGAACACAAGCAGGGGTGTGGGAGAGGGAGAAGCAGACCTCCCGCGGAGCAGGGAGCCCGATGTGGGGCTCGATCCCAGGACCTGGAATCATGACCTGAGCCGAAGGCAGACGCCCAACGACTGAGCCACCCAGGCGCCCCATTACTGTTCCTGATTAAAAAAAGTTTTTTTAAGTGTGTTTATCCAAGAGGAGACAGTTTACATGATAATGTTATCAGAAATTATCTCTTGAGAGTTTTTGAATATACGTATAAAGGAATATTGTTTTCCTATCTAAAGGTCCATGGGAAATACAGTTTTCCCACAATGAAACCAATTCTATCATCATGGTTTTCTCCCAGAGTCACCCTCACTGGTTCTTCATTAGGAAGTGGGATTCCCTGCTCAGTGCAGTAGTTGTCTGTGAAGTTGACTTCAGTTTGGCCAAAGTAGAAGATGATAGGATAAGAGTAAAAAGCTAGAAACACTGTCCAGGAATTGTTGCGGTTTCGTATTGAACAACAGTGTGGAAAGAATGGGGCATTACTAATGCAGAAGCCTAGAGTCAGGATGATAATATGTTTCAAAAGTTTGTTAAAAACAAGCAAAACTAAAACTCTATTTCTGGGGATACATACATACGTGGGAAAACTGAAGATCTAGGGGAATGGCCAAAAAGGAAAACCAAAAAGCAGGACGTTTGGTATTCTGGTGAGAAAGGCAAAGTCATGGGATCGGGGACATTTTAGTTCTTTAGCTAGTTGTTGGCATCATGGGTGTTTTTTATTTTCATGCTTCGTAACTTAGATATACTTTATATAAATTCTTTTTAAAATATATCAAATACTTGAAAAAAGAAAAACAGGAGATAAAATTGGGACTTGGAAGCCAGACAGATCTGTGTTCAAATCCCAACTGTTGCTTACTACTCTGTGGCCTTAAGTTAGTTATTTAACGTTTTTGAATTTTACTTTATTCATTTTTAAAATGGAAACCACATGGTTGTTTTAAGAATTAGTTAGTAGTTGAGCGCCTGGGTGGCTCAGTTGTTAAGCGTCTGCCTTCGGCTCAGGTCATGATCCCAGGGTCCTGGGATGGAGTCCCACATCAGGCTCCCTGCTCAGCGGGGAGTCTGCTTCTCCCTCTGCCTCTGCCTGCCGCTCTGCCTACTTGTGCTCTCTCTATCTCTCTGTCTAATAAATAAAATCTTAAAAAAAAAAAAGAATTAGTAGTGTATATGAAGTGCCAAGCATGGTGTTCATACAAAGTCAGAGGTAGACAAGTATTAGCTATTAATATTACTACCAGGAACATTGTAATTTCTTTTTTTTTTTTTTTTTTAAGATTTTATTTATTTATTTGACAGAGAGAGACACAGCGAGAGAGGGAACACAGCAGGGGGAGTGGGAGAGGGAGAAGCAGGCTTCCCGCGGAGCGGGGAGCCCGATGGAGGGCTCGATCCCAGGATCCTGGGATCACGACCTGAGCCGAAGGCATACGCTTAACAACTGAGGCAGGTGCCCCTAGGAACATTGTAATTTCAAATTTTGAAATCTTACCTAGATTTCTTTTCCTAAGCCTGTAGATTCCTAATGTAAATTTAGTTGTTTAGAGAAGTCAGCATTTTGGGCTAGATAGGGTATTTAGAATAGAAACAACAAAGGAATTGATTTAAATTTTTGTTTACTTATAATTTAGGTGGGAGACCTACCTGATGCAGATATTAAGCCTCCAGAAAATGTGCTGTTTGTGTGTAAATTGAATCCAGTGACCACTGATGAAGATCTGGAGATAATATTCTCAAGATTTGGGCCAATAAGAAGGTAATCTCTAGAATTAGTGAAAGATTTTAGAAAAACTAGGTATTGGTGGTTTTCTAATGACATTTTTTTGATTAATCTGTGAACTCTGGAATTTTGTAGTGGTGAATTTTACAGATGAGTCTTTTGTACAGTAGGGAAGAAAACTAAGTATATGTGTGTGTATGTGTGCATACAAATATATATATACATAATTGAATGTTTGTCCCACTTCCAGCACACACATTTTTGCTTTAAAACAAGAAGTAAATGGAACAGGCCCCTCATTTCATGTTTTTAAAATGAGACTTATAGGGCACCTGGGTGGCTCAGTCGGTTAAGCGTCTGCCTTCAGCTCAGGTCATGATCCCGGGGTCCTGGGATGGAGGGAGCCCCACGTCAGGCTCTCTGCTTAGTGGGAGCCTGCTTCTCCCTCTCTCTACCACTCCCCCTGCTTGTACTCTTTCTCTCTCTGTCAAATAAATAAAATAAAAAATAAAAAATAAAATAAAAGGAGACTTATGAAATGTGAGGAAATGGACAAGCTGCATGGTTTCAACTCCCATCTTACTGGTCCTTTTACTTACTTGTCAAGATGGATTCATTCTATATAACAGCTATACTTATGGGGTAAAATTTGAGCTTGGTTTATATTAAAATTCAAAAACTACAAAGCATAAACTTATTAAATGTGTATATATGTATGAATGTACATACATTATTTTACAGTAACATTAGATATTCTGTAATTCCTCTACATTTGGACCAGAAGTGAATTATGACTTAAAAGAATTTTTTAGCAGTAGTTTACTTTTGGCACAGGAAAGTAAATAGTTTTATCTTACACTTTCTTCAGTGCATTAGAAATTTAGGACTATAGGGGTGCCTGGGTGGCTCAGTCGTTAAGCATCTGCCTTTGGCTCAGGTCATAATCTCAGGGTCCTGGGATCGAGCCCCGCATCGGGCTCCCTGCTTGGCGGGAAGCCTGCTTCTTCCTTTCCCACTCCCACTCCCCCTGCTTGTAGTTCTTCTCTTGCTGTGTCTCTCTCTGTCAAATAAATAAAAAAATTCTTAAAAAAAAAAATTTAGGACTGTAGGCCAAGATTGGGCATTTAGAGTAGAATTGAGATAATTTTGTTACTACACTGGTGAACTACTTTTTTTTAATTGTTATTGAAGAAATTTGGAGGAGTATAGTTCCACGAGTTTAACTTTGATTTTTTTTATAAGAGGTTTTTTGGTTTTTTTTTAAAGATTTTATTTATTTGTCAGAGAGCACAAGCAGGGGGAGCGGCAGGCAGAGGGAGAAGCAGGCTCCCCTCTGAGCAAGGAGCTGGATGTGGGACTCGATCCCAGGATCTTGAGATCATGACCTGAGCCGAAGGCAGACGCTTAACGCTTAACTGACTATGCCACCCAGGTGCCCCATAAGAGGTTTTCTTTTTTAAGATTATTTATTTATTTATGTGAGAGAGAATGAGACAGAGACAGAGACAGAGGGAGAAGCAGACTCCCTGCTTAGCAGGGAGCCCGACTCAGGATGTGATCCCAGGACTCCGGGATCATGACCTGAGCCAAAGGCAGATGCTTAACTGACTGAGCCCCCAGGTGCCCCTTAACTTTGACTTTTAATAACTGCTTATTTTGTTCTTCACTTTTGAAGAGTAAGGGTGAATGCTTTTTCTTTAAAGTCACTTTTTCCAAACTTTCTTTCAGTTGTGAAGTTATTCGGGATTGGAAGACAGGAGAATCCCTCTGTTATGCTTTTATTGAATTTGAAAAGGTAGGTCATAGTATATATATTTTAAGTTTATATTTATTTTGTTCTTATATAGTGTTAAAATGTGAAAAATTATAGAACTTTCTAGTCTCTGAAATTAGAAAATTAGTTTACCCTTTCTCTAGGCACCCAAGAAAAATAATTTTATTATATTCAAATAGAGGGTAAATTCAACATCTGTTGTTGTTAATATATGTACCTTTAGTTTAGGGTCAGGTGCAGTCTGAGTTTATGTATCTTTAAAACTTTAAAGTTTTAGGTGAAATCCTTCACATTGTATATATACGATGATTTTTCAGCATTGTTTATGTAGATCTGTAATTGAGTAATAGAGAACTGGACTGGGTGTAAAGTTCTAGATATTAACCTGAGCTCTGTCATTGACCACCTATTGTATGATATTTGTCACTTTGTTTAGAACTCTTATTTCTAGGCATTAGCCTCCTTATAAATACAACTTGAATATTGGATTAGATAGTATCTTCTAGATCTATAATAATAATGATGATAGCTTATGTCACTCAAATAACTTTTTTTTAAAAATTTATGTTTATTTATTTATTTATTTATTTATTTATTTATTTGACAGAGAGAGAGATAGCGAGAGAGGGAACACAAGCAGGGGGAGTGGGAGAGGGAGAAGCAGGCCTCCCGCAGAGCAGGGAGCCCGATGCGGGGCTCGATCCCAGGACCCTGGGATCATGCATGACCTGAGCCGAAGGCAGACGCTTAACGACTGAGCCACCCAGGCGCCCCTCAAATAACTTTCTTTAAGCTAGGCATTATACTACTTGACCTGCATTTTACCCTCACAACTCTGTGAAATAGATAGGTACTTTCCTCCTTTTCCAAATAACTAAACTGAGACATATAGTGGTCGTGTGACTTGATTAAAATCATGCCCCTAGTGAATGTCATAGCTGGGATTTGAATTTAGAAAAATCTGACACTGTTCCTTTTGCTTTTAGCCACTGTGTGAGGCTGTGTCATTTCTATGCAGCTTTGGACTGATGTGTGTCCAGTAGTAGCTCCTTCCAAGTGATTGTTATTCCAGAGCATTTATCGAATACCTTCTATATTTTAGGCGCTGCGATAGCAGAAAAAACCAGAATTCCAGAGGCCCTCCCTTCACTGCTACTTCTAACACTATAGACCTGTTTTGTCTAATTTTTAAACTTGCTATAAATGTAAACACAGTATGTGTTTTTTTGTGTCCAGCATCTTGTGCTTAATTTGTAAGATTTATAGGTTACTACATATGTAGTAGCATGTTAACTTTTTTCATTAATTTCCACTGACATGGTATTTCATGGTGTGTATATGGAGTTTTGTTGCTATAGAGTATTTTATTATGTGTATCTAAAACAATTTAGATTTCCATTCAGCTGTTATGGACACTTGGGTCCTTTGTAGTTTTGAGCTCTTAAGAAAGGTTCTACTGTAAGCCGTTTCTTCCGTGTGTTTTGGTGTACAGATGTATGCATTTCTGTTGGGTATGTACCTGTGAGTGCATTGCTAGGTCATAGGGTACTTGTGGCTATAGTAGATTTATTTTAATTAGTTTTCCAGGGTGGTTTTGTTTTTTCCCCCCCGAAGTGGTTATACTAATTTTCGCTTCCACTAGCAATGTGTGAGAGTCCCCTGTCAGTTCTTGGTGTGGTCAGTCTTGAAAATTTTTATCCATTCTGGTGAGTGTGTAGGGGTATCTGATGATGGTTTTATTTTGCATTTCCTTGGTTGCGCCCCCTTTCATACGTTTATTGCATTTGGATGTCTTTTTTTTTTTAAATGAAGTAACTGTTCAAGACTTGGCCACTTTTTGATTGGGTGTTTGGCTGCCTTTTTCTTGATTTGTAAGAATTCTTTACATTTTCTGGATACAAGCTTATTTTTTGGTTATATGTGTTGCAAGTATCTTTTCTATAGATTTGCCTTTTCCCCATTTTTAATGGTGTCTTTTGATAAGCAGAAATTTCTGATTTTTAGTTCAGTTTGTCAATATTTTTCTTATGGCTGGTTTTAAAAAACTTTGTTTACCCCCACAGACATGAAAATATTCTCCAATGCTACCTTTAGAAGGTTTGCTGTGAAAAATCTTTCCCACTTAGATCGGTAATTTGATTTTTGTGTAGTAGGTGTACCGTGTTAAATTTCATTTTTCTTACATTGGATAGCAAGGGCACTCAGTATAGTTTATTGAAAAGGTTGTCCTATCCACACAGCTTGGCAGTGCCATCTTTGTCATAAGTCAGGTGCCTACATAAGTGTAAAATATCTGAGAACTTTCTCTTTAGGGAAAGGGCACAGTGATGCAGTTATGCCTGCCCAAGTATAATCATTACAGATTCATCAAACATACATTGATTGTTGTGGCGTCTGGCTGGCTCAGTCAGTAGAGCATGCAACTCTTGGGTCATGAGTTTGAGCCCCATGTTGGATGTAGAGCTTACTTTAAAAAAAAAAAAATACACTGATTGCCTATCATGTGCCAGATGATGTTCTAAATGATGTAGCTACAAAGATGAATAAAGCTTTATATCTTTATGGAGTTTATAATCCATTTAATTCTTGACATACATGGTAAATAAATAAATTATAACGTAGTTTTTGTTTTTTTATCTTCTTCTCTGAATTGTCTCTAGTAAGTTGTGAGCACACCAAAGAATATGTTTCCAGGAATATAGGAGATAATTGATCAATGCTGGGTTGAAATGCATTACTTCTAGTCTTCAGATGTCAGAAATGGAGATGGGGGTTTGTAAAGTTGCTGACAGGAAGAATCCTTATGCAACACCGACCTTGGTATCTCAGGCCCACAGTCCATTATCCACACCCCTGGGCGTAGCTATGTTTCTGATTTCAGGCTTTTTCAGAACTTAGAAAGGTGTGGACTGTGTAATACTCATCTGGGTCAGCACTCCATAATCATTCACAAAGTATTTCTGCACTGAAACAAATGCGTATTCATACTAAGTGGAATAAATCAAGGCCACGGTCTTCTGTTAGGTCAAGTTTTGTTTTCAAATGGATTTTATTTTATTTTTTTAAAGATTTTATTTATTTGACAGAGAGAGAGACAGCCAGAGAGGGAACACAGCAGGGGGAGTGGGAGAGGGAGAAGCAGGCCTCCCGCCGAGCAGGGAGTCTGATGCGGGGCTCCATCCCAGGACCCTGGAATCATGACCTGCGCCAAAGGCAGACGCTTAATGGCTGAGCCTCCCAGGCTCCCCTGTCAAATGGATTTTAACACCAGATTTATAAAAACAGCTTTCAACTTTCAGAGTATTTTTGGGTTTCGAATGAAAGGGTTTGTGGATGGACGTGTACAGCACGATTTGTAAGTGTATGTATGTCCACTACAATCACACTGCCTCGGCTCAAATCCTGGCTCTCACCTTTGCCAGCTGACCTTTGGCAGCTTACATACCTTTCTAAACGTATGTTTTCTCTTCGAGAAGATGGAGATAATAATAGGTAGTACTTCATATACTTGTTATCAGAGTTAACTGAGCTCATAGATGCAGAGCATGCAACAGCATGTGGTGTGTGATAGGCACTCAAATATTAGTGTTAGTAACAACAGACTTGCTGTATTTTCAGTATTTGTTCTAGCTGTAGAAATTTTTTCCATAAAGATTTATGCTTGAGTTTTTGTAATTACTATCAGGAAGAAGATTGTGAGAAAGCGTTCTTCAAAATGGACAATGTCCTTATAGACGACAGAAGAATACATGTGGATTTTAGCCAGTCTGTTGCAAAGGTTAAGTGGAAAGGAAAAGGTATGTCGGTTCAGCTTCCTTTGTTTCTGTTCACTGTGCATGCGTGTGTGTGCATTGTGTGTGTGCGTTTGCACGCGTGTGCCTCTACTTCTTTTGTCTTAGTGCTGTTCATTAGGAGAAATGTTCATTGATGGAACTCTGCCATTTATGGTTTCACGTAGGTGCTAGCAAGAACCTAACATACAGGGGAGTGTGTGTGAGTGTGTCTATGTGTATTTAAGCTGATAGTGAATATATTTACTATTTTTGTGTTATAAATTACTTATAATTACCCACTGCAAACATGGCATATTTGCAAAGTAATGATTTTGATGGTTGTGATGGCTTGGTTCTTCTAGTTGCAAAACTCTTTTAAGTTTTTTTGAAGTTTGTTTGTTTTAGTGATGATATGGTAGAAAATTGAAAAGGTGGTGTAAAAAACTCTCCCTCATCTATCCATTTCCCTCCCCAGAGGTAACCACTCTTACCTGTTTCTTGTATTATTTTCCACATACATTCTTTGAACATACATACATATGTATTTATTTTATGTTAGAATTTCCTCTTATTTCATGTTTTTATTCCCATGAAGGTTTTATGTATATTTGTAGCTTTCTCTTTTAAAAAAGGAAGTATATATATTTTATACATACAGTTTTCATCTTGGGAGCAGAGGGGCTGCATAGGATGCTTTTTCCTGGCCCTGCCACTGAGGGCCAGTCAAGATATAACAGTAGAGGGGCGCCTTCGGCTCAGGTCATGATCCTGGAGTCCCGGGATCGAGTCCCGCATCGGGCTCCCTGCTCAGCAGGGAGTCTGCTTCTCCGTCTGACCCTCCCCCCTCTCATGTGCTCTCTCTCTCTCTCATTCTGTCTCAAATAAATAAATAAAATCTTTAAAAAAAAAAAAAGATATAACAGTAGGTCCTATTTTTCTGAAGGGATTGTTGATTTCATTTCTGGCACTTGGGAGGGAATATAGGTGACTTAAGCAAGAATTTCAAAGCAGAGACAGTTTATCTTTGGTGTTGTTGCCAGCCCTCCCCTTACACACCCGTTAGTGAACTTCTGTGTACATTCCTGCTGTCCTGCTATCTGCTTGGTGCTCTGGAGATCTTGGTCAGTGTCTCTTCTGACAGATCAGAGATCTTTAAAGCCTCACTTCTTCCAAACTTCTAAGCCTCTCAGATCTCAGACTCCAGTCTCAAGCCCTCAATTTCCTTTGGACCTAAATTTCTCATGGACTTAATAGCCCTACTTAAATACTGTATTATTTCCCAGTGAAATGTATTCACTGTATCATTTAGGATTTGAAAGTTTGATGTTGTAATACTCACATATATCGTTAGGTGGCAGCATATAGCTACTTAGCAAAACGGGTTTCATTTGAAATAGTAATGGAGAATGAATTACTCTTCTTTTGTTTTCTTCTCAGCCTTTTTCTGTCCGCCAATATATATGCCACTTATAAAATAGCTGATGTATTATACCTCTTAAAATTAATTTTTGTTCTTTAATAAATTAGGTGAGTTTTTTTACTAAGTCTTTTTTTTTTTTTTTTTTAATAAATAGGTGGGAAATACACCAAGAGTGATTTCAAGGAGTATGAAAAGGAACAGGATAAACCGTCTAATTTAGTTTTGAAAGATAAAGTAAAGCCCAAGCAGGAGTATCCTTTACAAGAACCAATTAGTCAATATGTATAGACCATCCACTCTGTGTAGAATACTGTGTGATATGTTATAAAAAGTCACAGTCTGTAGAAGACAAGGTTCCTGAATCCAGTGGTTTGTGAAGACATCGTTTAGTTTATTGTAATCCTGTTTCAACATCTTACATAAACTTTTCTTTTTTGGTATATTCTCTAATGTATGGATAAGGTTAGGGTTGAAAAAAATCTCTAGCTTAATTCTTTTCCCTCCTTACTCTTAGGTTAAGGTTAACACTTACTCTGAAATCTTCAGGTAAGATTCGTATTTTGTATACAATTGTAATGTTTTAAATTCCTCATACTCAGAAATTTTCTTCATGTAGCTACGCTAAATTCTTGGTGTTAACCTTCCTCATAATATTTAACTTCTTTGGATGGTAAATACGTAGATTAACAAAATCCTATTGTTCTCTTACATGATTAGGTTGCTTCTTTCTGCTTAGTACATTGTCAGTCTAGCAACAAATATTTATTGGGCTCCTATTTGTATGCAAGAGTTAGCTTTTATAGGATTAAAAAATCCATTGACTTGACCATTTTAATTTAGGTTCTTCCAAGTTTTAGTTGAGACAAGTAAAAATCAGTGAAACATACTATTTACATTATGTCATTTTAATTTGTTCATTGATATTCTCATTATAAATCTATCACTCTTCACATTGCGAAAGTTATTTCTTTTGTGATTCTTTCTGGTAAATGGTTTCTTTGTTTCCTAATTCCTGTTGGTGTTTTAGGGATTCTTTCTCCCACACTGTCTTAGACATTTCTTTTCCAAGTATTCATCAAGGAAAGATGAATATCAGGTTGACTGGTTACATACTCATTTTAAAAAATGTGTTGACTGTCTACAGTGCATAAAGCATTGTAAGGCGTAAGAGGTGTAAGAGGAGGATGAAGTCTGATATGTATTGACATGAGGAGGAGGCTTTCACACGCAAGCACACCAAACAGTAAGCTAAGATATAGTCTAAAAAGATGGAACATAAGGGGGGATATGATTGAAATATTAAAATCATAAAAGGTATGGATGGAATACACTTGAGATTTATTTGACAAATCTTTGAAATTAAATTTAGGCTAACCACTAGTAGCTGCAGCTGGCAGAAGGGACGTGTGTAGGGCAGATAAAAGGAAGTACAGACATAGAGTGTAAGGTACAAGGAGGTGTCATCTTTTCCCTCATAGAGGTAAGTAGTTCAGGCTGAAAAGAAAGAATATGTAGTATTAAAATGTTCTAAATTCAAGATGATAGATTACTAGAAGTTAAGAAAAGAAACCAGGCATGTTTGAGAATAAATCTGTAGCTCAGTTACTATCCAGTAGAAGTTTCTACAGTGATGGAAACTATCTCCACCATCCAGTGTGGCTACTAACCACATGTGGTTTTTGAACATGTGAAATGGACTGAGGAACTGAATTTTAAAGTTTGCTTAATTTTAATTAATTTAAACAACCACATGTGGCTAGTATTGAACAGTGTCTGCTTTCAGTCTTTTGAAATTAATGGAGAAGACAGACATGACCTGATGCAAACCATTGTTAATTATTCTCAAACAGAATATTAAACAAGGAAAAAGGAAATTCTTGAGTCTGACCCGGTAAGATAATCTTTCTTGGTAACTGATTTCATTTTAGCAAGGCATTTATAATCTCAGGTACAATAATAGAGTGACAGAACATGTGTTTGTAATATGTAAGAGATATATATATATATATTTTTCCCCCCACCTTGTATATTATGTATTATGTGACTTTTTTAATATGGCAGGGAAAGGAGATTCAGAGGACAATCTAATAATCAGATTAAGTTTAGTGGGGTTTTTTAAATATATAATTAGATAAGCTTTAAGTTAAAAAGGCGTGGTGGAGATACACTTTTATGGATCTTGAGAGAAAGTGAAATTATTGTAAATTAGACTACTAATAAGATTAAAAATAGAACAAAAGGAAAGGCAAGTTTAATTTGGCCGGGGTAGACCTTGGGGAATAAATTGGGGAAAGGAAGTCAGAGAGATCACAAATCTATGGTTAATTCAAAGGACTTTGGAAAGATTTGACACATGCAAGTGTTGCCTGTAGTAGTGAGTAGAAGATAGTGGGTAAGCGAGGGAGAAGAGATGTGACAAGTGTCTTGGCGATATGGTAAATAATCAAGTACTTATTTGGCGTCTGTTACACACCCAGCTTAGCAGTGAAACATAGCCCCTGCCCTCATAGACCTTACGTTTTATTGTTGGAGGGGTGATGAACAGACATTAAATAATTACCAGGAATCAAATATAAATATGTCTAGAGTGTTGCAAAGAAGTACATTTGTGGGATATGGGGCTTACAGAGGTGAGGAGTCAGGGAGGACCCTCAGGTAACACTAAGAGAAGTGACATTAAAGCTGCACCTTGAATATGGGGGGAGAGCTATGATGGGAGGCTGTTTTCTCTGACTTGATCCATCATTTAAGAAATCCAGTTTATGTTATGCCCAGCACAATCCAAGTACGGCCATTTACACGCACACATAATTGAAACAGAAATGCCATAGTATTTTTATTAGGTGCCATATATTCTGTTTTCTATTCTACATTATTACAAAATGCTGGCTGTGACACACTAAATGGATTTTGGACGGAGGGAGCTGCATGTGTAAAGCAACACAGTGAGTGAAATCCTGGGCAAGGGCTGTTGAATTTGTCCCTGCAAAAGGAGAGGCTCCAGAAGCTACTCTGGAAACAGTGTGACATAGTATAAAGGAGAAAAGAAGTTAGAGATAATGGAGTAGGAATAGGATATGGTACAGGCTGACTGGCCATCTTTAGCCATCTTGTGAAAAGCCAAGAGGATGCGGCATTTTCCTGTTCAATGTTATGTAGAAGTGAGACGTCCCCGAGGAAGGCATAGAGCTGCGGTGTTGTGCAAACAGACCCGACGCTCTGGTCCTGAGGGAAGTGTGTCCCCCATTCCTCTAGTTGCACATACCTCTAAAACAGCTCTGTGTGGTGGGCTTCCTCCTAAGCTTTTTTTTTGAAAACCACTATTCTGGCCCTTGTCAGCCTTCCTCAAACACTATTTTAGAATTTGAGATTATTTTCAACAGAGTGTAACGGTTTTGTATTTTCTCTTATTCTAAGACATAATAGTATATTAGAGAAAATACATCTCTCTGAATTAAAACACATTATCACAATTTTTATACCACATTTATGTGAAATTAAGACAAGATTCACTCATGTCTATAAATATTGAGTCACTGTGTTGTACACCTGAAACTAATACAATATTGTATGTCAACTACACTTCAACTAAGAAAAAAAGATCCACTCACAATTTACCATCTAGACAAATGATACCATTTCTCGTTGTTTCTTTCAAATCTTGATCTTTTATGATTTGTAAAGTTATGATTACCATATGGTATAAACAATTTTTATTTCAAGCTTTTTCCACTTTTAATTTTTCATAAACACTTTTCTGGTTTTTTTCATAGCATTCACTTATCATTGCTAATAACTTTCTTTGTATATCCTGTTGAAGTTCTACAGTATATTTAAGAATGTCCTTATTACTAGGCTTTTGTTACTCTCGGTTTCTGTTACAAAAAATAATTGTTATATATACCTTTGTTCATTTAACTTATTTTAATCTTTTATAAATTCTTCAATTTAAATACGTCGGCTCTTGCGAGGCATTGCTAAATTTCCTCCTATAGGATTGAACTAATTAATACTTCAAAAGAGGTGTCACATGAATGTATCTTCTATCTCCTGTAGCTCCTCTGGCATTGGGGTTTGTCATATCTTAATTTTTTCCGGTGAAACTTACCTCATTTTGTAAGTTTAAGTTTTTTTCATTACTGACAAATAGGTTTCCTTATTTTTTATGGCTACTTAAATTTTCATTTGTGGATTTAGCCTTTTTTGCCCTCCATGTTTTTTGCCCACTCACTTGCCAGTTGTTAATTGTTTATTTAAGGTCAGGGTTCTTTCCATTTTTCCTGAAAGAAAATACGAAGTAGATATGTTTCAGAAAAAGACTCTATGCTATGAGGTGCTTTTTGCTTTAAAAAAATACCTTTAGCCTCATGGCCTCCTTTGGTTACCAGATTCTTATGTTTTGATGTATTATCAGTGTCAGTTCTCACATCTGTCCTTAACTGCTGCTGCTGCAGTGCAAAATACGATCTTGTACTAGATGAGCAAGCCGAAGATTCAAAATCAAGTCACTCACACACAAGTAAAAAACACAAGAAGAAAACTCGTCACTGCTCTGAAGAAAAAGAAGATGAGGACTACATGCCGATCAGAAATACTAATCAGGTACTTGTAATGTCCAGCCTTAGCTGTAGAGAGAAATATTTTATCCCTCTGTAAATTACTTCTGAGTGACATAATATAGGGGGTAAGGGTATAGTTGTGAACAGGGTGGCCATGTTCCTAACTCTAGAACATAGAATGGTTTCACTGGGGTGATGGACTGTAGTTTTTGAGAATGTATCTCACAAATGATAAAAGATTGTTTTCAGAGTAACTTAGTATATCATCCAGTTCCATATTATGAAACGAGTGATTTCTGAACCTGTGGACACTTACTTAACTCCCATCAGGTGCAAGTGTGGTTGTGCTGAAAAAGTGCTCATTTGTCATTTTAACTTACCACCAAGTGCTATGGATAGTACTTACAGCTCTTGAAGTTTTTTTTTTTTTTTAATTTATTTTTTATTATTTATATATTTTTTAAAGATTTTTATTTATTTATTTGAAAGAGAGAGCATGAGCAGGGGGAGGGGGAGAAGCAGACTCCCTTGCTGAGCAGGGAGCCCGATGCAGGGCTTGATCCCAGAACACTGGGATCATGACCTGAGCCAAAGGCAGTCACTTAACCGACTGAGCCACTCAGGCTCCCGGCTCTTGAAGTTTTAAGACCTGTGAAACATTTATGCCCTTCCATATTGTGTATCTGAAATAAAAAGAGCACTCATACTTAACTTGATCATCCCAAATGTGTTCTTGAACAATACATGTTCTTTTTTTTTTAAGATTTATTTATTTATTTGTGTGTGTATGAGAGAGAGAGAAAGAGGGAGAACCATCACTAGCAGGGGAGGGGCAGAGAGATAAGCAGACTGCCTGCTGAGCTCAGAGCCTGACAGGGGGCTTAATCGCAGGACCCTGAGATCATGACCTGAGCGGAAGTCGAAGTCAGACCCTCAGCTGACTGAGCCACCCAGGTGCCCCAACAATACATTTTCTAAGACAGTGATACTAATAATTCCTCAAAGAAAATTGGTTCTAGTGAGAAGTCATTTCTAGCCTGCGTTTTGGCTCTCAGTTAAATGAAAAGCAAATTACAGGACAGCCCCTTGCTTTTGTGTTACCATGGGAGGACTTTGGAGCAGGGCCTGGTGGGTAAAGAGATCTTAGTAGGCAGAGGTGAGAGGGTGAAAATTCAAGATGGTGAGAATGGCACGTCAAGCAAAGACCCAGAGAAGGAGAGATGTAGTATGGTTGGCAAAGTGCAGGATTGGCTTCAGAGAAGCCAGGTGGAAGTTTCTGCACCACTAGCCATTGATGTGACCTCAACAAGGTCCTGCGCTTTCTGAGCCACAGCTGCCTCCTCGGTGAAATTGAGGTTATACTTATCTCACAGGCATGTTGTCAAGATTAAGTGAAGAGAAGTGTGTGTGCACACATTTTCTACATGGCTGTTATTTTACTATTACAGTCAAATTACTGTGTTTTGTCATGATTATTCTTTTTTTGAATTACTGTGTTTTAAATCAGAATAGTTTCTGTGGTAAGGCCGTTCACTGGATTCATATTTTATTTAATTTGTTTCTTTTCAGTGTTTAGAGATTGCTTTATTTTTTATTTTTCATTTTTTTTTTAAAGATTTTATTTATTTATTCATGAGAGAGAGAGAGAGGCAGAGCGAGAAGCAGGCTCCCAAGGAGCAGGGAGCCCGATGTAGGACTCGATCCCAGGACCCTGAGATCATGACCTGAGCCGAAGGCAGACGCCTAACCATCTGAGCCACCCAGGCGCCCTAGAGATTGCTTTAAATAATTTTTTGTGTGTTTTGTAGTTTTAAAAATTTCTTGTATGCTTCCAAAGTAAAGTCTGCGAAGCGGTACGTGTGAAGAACCTAGATTCTTCCCCCTACCCTTCACTTCTGCCCCCACGGCAGCCCCTCAGTGTGTTTCATGGGTTGTACTTCATTTTTAAAAAATTTCAGCAGATATGTATTTTATATATAATATTCTTAGTTTCCTCTGTTCTAGCTAGCATGTATTCCTACTCCTCGCTGTCATCTTGAGGACCTCTCTTTTTCCATAGCCTTTTTGCTGTTTAAAGAGTGCCCTCGTTCATGCCCTGCCCTCAGTGTTTAAGTCACACCTTTCCTCTGTTCCTCAGTTCTCCCAACTAAGACGCCCATGAATCAGTGACAGCGGCGTCTGTGTGCGTACAGTGTGAGGTGGATACGATTTTCCCCATTTCACAACCGAGAAAGTGAAAACTGAAGAGTTTAAGTGACTTGCCCTGGTTTTACAGCGCTGATCAGTGGCAGAGCCACAGTGTGAATCCGGGCTTGTTCTCCTAGCCACTTGCTGCTGCTCTGACCTGGAGTATATTGCTGGCGGTTTTCTGTTGCTAGTCGGATAAAATTGGTCTCCTCGTGTGATAGTCCAGTGTCATCCGCCTGGCACAGCTCCCTCTTAATTTCTGTACGTATTAGTTTGGCCTGAGACCACCCCAGTCTTTTGAAATGGTGGCTGCGTCACATTTCTATGAATATTTCGCATGTTTTCCACTGGAACTCGTTGATCTCCGCCCCCTGCGTCACCCCGGACCACCGTCCATGTTTTTTTAGCCGCGGCTTCCCGTCCTGCACTGGCACATGGACTCCTCAGTGAGTTTAGGCCTGACGTGCAGTATGTTGGTCTATTTGCAATAATCAGAGGTCCAAGAAATCTAAAATCTGGCTGCATTTTAAGTCTCTGATTTTGTGCATCCCTTTTGTGCATCTTTTTTTATCCTGCTGTTTGATTACTTTAAAACTTTACAATAGAAAATATTTTTCTTTTTTGGCATGGAGTAAAAGCCATCAAGTAGTTTTTTGGGGGAATGTGGTTAGAACTTTTAAAAATAATTTTAAATCAGTTGGCAATTACAAAATTGTTAAGTTCCAACTAATAATCTCCTAACTTATTTCTCCCCTCAAAGCAAATGTTTTTTGATTTTGTACTTTGATTTAATAATACAAGTATCCTAATTTTCTTTCCAATAAAATAGCGTCTGTATTTAACAGTTTAGTGGGCCCAATTTTTTGTTTTATTATTCTGATTTTTATCCTTTTGATTTCAGTCTCAAAAATATAATCATTAAAGGGAATTTTCAGTACTAGGTTATTCTCAGGTGTAGCTCAGATTTTCCTATTTGTTGGTATTTTGCTTGGTGGGCCTAGTTTCCTAAGAATATTTTAACTTATTTCTTCAAGTTCTTTGTTTTTTATTGAGTGACAGCCTTACTGTTCAATTTGAAAACTTCTGTGTTTAATTTTTCCACCTCATGTCTTTATTCCAGAGATGGTTACTATGTTGTTGAGGTTTGGGTTTTACTGGGGTTCCAGGAAGTGAGTTTTCGGCTGTGGGTTGCCTGGCTGAGAAGTATGCATCCTGGTTGTCAATCCTCCTCTGTGGCTTTCGTAGGTGTTTATTATTCTTATAATTGGGGACTCTATTTTTGCTGTCATTTTGATCAGTTAATGTTATTTTAGTGATTTAGATTTAACTAAATCTTTGATTTACTCCTAGAGACCTGAGCAAGGATAGCTTTTAGTTTAGATTTTTTTGGACTGCTTTACATGAAATCATTGGATAGGTTAAGGTGATTGCTTTAAATTGTCCACTTAAAAAATAAATAAATTTGGCCATTTTATGGTGTTTTTTCTTTCCTTTTTAGCCACATACTAGTTTAGTCATTTTGTCTTATGGCTTAAGTGTATAAAATGATAGAATTTTTTAAAAGTCTCTACTGGAAGGGACTTACAGCCCATCTAATTCATTCCCTTCCCCTTAGATGTAAAGATCCTGACCCCACAGGCCTGTGGCCCTTTGTAGTTTAATGAGAGAGCTAGAACTTTAACATTATATTGATTCAGTCAGGTATGGGTTTTCTTCATTATTCTGTACCACCCCCTTTTCAATTTTATATGTCAAGTTACTGATCAATTAAAAAATTATCTCCACCCTGTACAGATCTCCTGAGTCTCACTTTCCTTATTTGCTAGAATGAGGGTCATATTGTACTCCAGAAGCACTTAGCACTGTGCTAACACATACTTAAAGGATCAGTTCTGATATGGCTTCATCCAGCCATCTGACCTTTTCCTCTTCATGAACATGGTGCTGATTCTTCCTTGCTTTTCAGTTTTCACTTCTACTCCGTGCATTAGCCTTCTTGCAGCCAATCCACAGCCAAACCCACTCATTCTTTGAGGCTAATCTCAAGTCCTAACTTCTCTATGAAACCTTCCCTGGTAAATCTAACCTCAAGATTATTTCTTGTTTGACACATCTCCTAAATGGCAAAGACCATTTGAACCTAGAGCTGCCCAACTTTAAAGCTTGTATAGCTTTGAAAAATACTCCCAAGTAGGAGAGGTTTTAAGGTTTCAGTGCATTTCAGATTTTCAGCTTCATCAAGTTTTTCAAAGAATTAAATACTGTATAATCTTTTATCTCCTTCTCTCTTATTGTAAACACTCAAAGCACTTAAGTGCCTCTTTGTATAATTACTAAAGATTTTATACTTATACATCAGTTAGCAGTCTCTCCATTTTAAAAGTTTGTTGTCTCAACCAATACAGGAGTTAAGTATACAGACAGAATAGTACACAGATATTTACATTTTGTATATGTTACAGGAAGCACAAAAAATTCTTTTATCTAGGGCTGTCATATATTGCTAGAAAGTAGTAGTTAAAGAGTTAAACCAAGTACTCACTTTCTACCTCTGGGACTCTTACAGAGTGAGAATAACTATTTAGGGATTGTGCAGGAAATCATGAAACAGTTTATAAAGCTGTATTCCACAAACACTGATTATAACAATCATGTTAGATCTATTTCCACATGCTGCAATCTCCATGCCAGGTGTAATATACAGTATCTAGACAATACATCGAATAATTACGAATCCTTTGCTTAAAACCCAGTCCTTAACCATGGGTATTCATCACTCTAGATTTGAAAGCTTGACATTTACATCTATTTTATTTATTTATTTATTTTTAATTTTTTTTAAAGATTTTATTTGAGAGAGAGAGAATGAGAGAGAGAGAGCATGAGAGGGGGGAGGGTCCGAGGGAGAAGCAGACTCCTTGCTGAGCAGGGAGCCCGATATGGGACTCGATCCTGGGACTCCAGGATCATGACCTGAGCCGAAGGCAGTGGCTTAACCAACTGAGCCACCCAGGTGCCCCTACATCTATTTTAATAATGTCTGTGGTAGAGTTGGGACCCTTGGGAACTCAATCCTTAGGATTTTGCTTTCCTCTGAGAGAAATCTTTTAAGGAAGTTGAATTTTATGAACTGTCTCTTGAAAGAACATTGGCTCTGGTCTCTTTAGATTTGGGCCACTTGCTGAGATACTCATTTTATTTTACTTTATTTTTTTAAGTGGGCTCCATGCCCAGTGTGGAGTCCAAGGCAGGGCTTGAACTCATGACCCTGAGATCAAGACCTGAGCTGAGATGAAGAGTCAGATGTTCAACCAACTGAGCCACCCAGGTGCCCCCAAGATAGTCATTTTAATTAGGGATAGAACACAAACAGAAATAGAATTGTTGTAACTAGCCCTCTTCATATAGGAAAATTAGTATTGTTACTTAAAAATTAGTAAGAATAGAATTTAGGGTCACTGGGTGGCTCACCTGCTTAAGATTCTCTCCCTCTACCCCCCTCCTCTCTCTGTCTCTGTCTCTATCTCTCTCACCGCCCCCCCCCGCAAAAGAATTTAATGTATCTACTCTGGTGGCCCATTGTTTCTTAACTCATTTTAAAAGAAATATGTAAATAAATGATTTTATTTATTTATTTATTTATTATTTTTTAAAGAGTTCCTTATTAGAGAAAGAGTGCATGCACATGCAGGGGGAGGGGCAGAGGGAATCTCAGGCAGACTCCCCTCCGAGTGTAGAGCCTGACCCATGAGATCATTACTTGAGTCAAAACCAAGAGTCAGATGCTTAACTGACTGAGCCACCCAGGCGCCCCAATAAATGATTTTAATAAAAAACATACATCAGCCTAATATAAACAAGGAAAATATATTTGAAGATTTGAAGAGTTGTTATAAAATAAACACTTTAAAAATAATCACTCAGACTAAAGTATGCAGTATCTGTTTTATCGACTTGTCTAAAACCTCTTCTGGCTATGTTATTTAAATGTCTTCCTTATAGGGTTTTTATGGGAATTTTAGTAATTCCATTGCAGATCAACTGGGGAGTGGAGGAGGGAGGGGTAGAAAGGTGACCAGCCACAGCCAGAATTCTTGGTATTGCGATTTTCTCTAAACAGTTGTTCTAATTTCAGTTGGGTGGATTTCAGTTCTTTGTTTTTGGATCTGATCCTTCAGTTCAGCTGAAGTAGTAGTTACAAAGCAATGAGATTGATAAGAAAAATGATTAAGTCTTTTTCTGAATTATTTTTGCTTTCTAATTTATGAGATTCTTGGGATTAGTGGTGGTGGTCAAATTTGAGCTGTTATAGCTTCTTGCTATGGTAGACTTTCTGAGTTTTATTAATTGACAGTACCTATAAAATTATTTTACGGATTCACTTGTAACTCTCTCTCCATTCCTTTGACAGGATATCTACAGGGAGATGGGGTTTGGTCACTATGAAGAAGAAGAAAGCTGTTGGGAGAAACAGAAGAGTGAAAAGAGAGACCGACCTCAAAACCGAAGTCGTAGCCGATCTCGAGAAAGGGACGGCCACTATAGTAATAGTCACAAATCCAAATATCAGACTGACCCCTACGAAAGAGAACGGAGTAAAAAGAGAGACCGAAGCAGGAGTCCCAAGAAATCCAAAGATAAAGAAAAATCTAAGTACAGATGAAAAATGAGGAATCAGACATGAGTGGCTAATGCATTCACTGTTGTCTAACTTAGAGCATCAGCTATTCAGATTTTGTGTCAAAGCCGTTAAAGACTCTGCTTGTTGCTTTTTTTCACACTAGGGTTATGGCCCTTTTCAGTTGATACTGATTGTATAGGGCACAGAAAGACAATAAAAAACTGAACATTTTCTTTGTATACTTTTTTACACTAATTTTATTGTTATACATAAACAGTAGTCTTCATTTTTAAAGTCTTTCACATTTTCCACTCTTCTTTTTTTTAAATGAAGTATTTCATACTTACAAAAATTCACAAACATGTATATATAAGGTATAAAGAATAGTAAATATTTGTGTGCCCATGAGCCAGCTTAAGAAATAGAATATCACCTGCATTTTAGAAACTTTCTTTATGCTCTCTCCTCAAGTGATGATTATTCTGAATTTTGTATTTGTCATTCTCTTGCTTGTTATAGTTTTTACACCAATGTATGTATTCTGAAATGAAATGTTAAATTTTGTATGTTTCTGAATTTTATATAAATGGCATAATGTATGTTTACTTCTGTGACTTGCTTTTTTCAACTTAGTATTTTTAGAGAGTCATTCATTTTTATTGCTTTATAGTATTGTACGAATAGACCGCAATTTACCCATTCTTCTGTTAATGGACATTTGGAGTTGTTGGTTTGTTTTTGTTTTTGCTATTGCAAACAGTGCTGCTATGAACATTCTGTATCTAGGAGTGATATTGCTTGCTCACATGGTATGAATATTTTCATCTTTACAAGATAATGCCAAATTATATTCTGCAGTGGCTGAACCAGTTTATACCCCGACCAGCTCTATGTGAATTACCTTTGTTTTACATCATCTCAAACACATCTTAGTTTCAGACTTTTAAATTTTGCCAATGTAGTGAATGCTTAGTGGTACCTTCTTGTGGTTTCCAGCAAGAAGACTACTATTATTCTTATATTTGTTCTTCTATATGTAACTTGTTCTTTTTCTCTGGCTGCTTTTACTGTTTTCTCTTTATCACTGCTGTTGTGCAATTTGATTATGATGTGCTTGGTGTAGTTTTTTTTCATGTTTCTTCTGCTGGGGCTGTTTACCTACAGGTTTATGGTTTTCACCAAATTTGGAAAAACTATGGGTATTATTTATTCAGTTTTTTTCTGTCCCTCCCCTCCTCTCACTCCTCTCCTAAGACTCCAATGACTTGTATGTTAGGCCATCTGATGTTGTCACACATTATACCGATGCTCCATTTGGGTGAAGTCTTTTTCTCCTGTTCCATATTGAATAGTTTCCATGGCTGTGTCCTCAAGTTCATTAATCTTTTCTCCTGAAGTATCTAATCTTCTGTTAATCCCATCCAGTTTATTTTTCACCTCACACGTAATTTTTTAATTTTAGAAGTTCCATTTGGGTCTTTTTTATATCCCCCATGCTTTTCCTTAACAGGCTCATGCTTTCCTCCATTTTTTTTTTTTTAAACACCTGGAGTACGTTAATAATAGCTGTGCTAATGTACTTGATCATTCTGTCATTGGTATCATTTCTGGTCTATTTCTATTGATTGATTTTTTCCCCACCCATTATTGAGTTGTAATTTACTTTTCACTGGTAATTTTTGGATTTTACATTGCTGTGTACTAGAGTTCTTGTGTTCCTTTAAATATATTGAGCTTTTTCTGGAACATAATTAAGTTACTTGGAAACAGTCTGATCCTTTCATAGCTTGCCTTTTAAGTATAATGAGGTAGGACCAGAAGAGCTTTTAGGGCTAATTTGGCTCACTACTGAGGTAATACCCTCTGAATAATCTCCCCTTTGCTTAGTCTCTTAGGAGATTTCTCCTCTCTGGCTGTTGGGAACAAGAACAATTTTGAGCCCTATATGAGCTCCCAGGTTGTGCTGCCTGCTCTTTTCTGGTGGTTCTTTCCCACCTTCGGGTAGTTTCCTCCTGTGTATACACGGATTAGGATTCAGCTGAAGACTCAGGCAAACCCTCTGTAGATGTGGAACTCTCCCTCTGTAGTTCCGTCCTCTTTGCACTACTCTGCCCTACAAACTGCATCTTGGCTCTGCCAACTCTCTCCCCCCAGAGACTCCCAGGCTCTTCAGAGTCACACCCGTCATAGTGCTACAGTGTAGAAGTCGCACAGTTAGCTCAGGCAGTTGTCACTTTCTTGTTGGTTTTCCTTCTCTCAAGAGTCACTGGCTTGCGCTGGCTGCTGTCCAGCGCCTGAAAAACTTGGCAGCAGATCTTTAATTGTTTAAAACGGGGAAGGTAAATCCTGGTCCTGTCACTTCTTTTTGGCCTGAGTGGAAATCTCGCTATTTAAATTTGCATTTCTTTCTTTTTTAAGATTTTATTTATTTGTGAGAGAGAGAATGAGAGACAGCATGAGAGGGAGGAGGGTCAGAGGGAGAAGCAGACCCCCTGCTGAGCAGGGAGCCCGATGCGGGACTCGATCCCGGGACTCCAGGATCATGACCTGAGCCGAAGGCAGTCGCTTAACCAACTGAGCCACCCAGGCACCCTAAATTTGCATTTCTTAAATGCTAACAAGGTTGAGCATTTTTTGGTATGTATTTTTTTTTTAAAGATTTTATTTATTTGACACAGAGAGACACAGCGAGAGAGGGAACACAAGCAGGGGGAGTGGGAGAGGGAGAAGCAGGCTTCCCGCGGACCAGGGAGCCCAATGGGGGCTCGATCCCAGGACCCTGGGATCATGACCTGAGCCGAAGGCAGACGCTTAACGACTGAGCCATCCAGGCGCCCCTTTTCGTATGTATTATATTCATTCCCAGTTGCTCTCTGTGACGTTTTACATGTCTTGCCCATTTTATGTGAAGTTACTGTCTTTCTTACAGAATTCTTCAAGGAGTTTTTCTTAAGGACTGTGGTACTAATCCATTATTACGATTAGATGTTGTAAACATTTTCTCTCAGTTTGTGGCTTATTTTTTCACCTTTTTATTGATGCCCTTGGAAGAGCACAAGGTATGAATGTCTCCTCAACTTTGTAATATGAAAAGTTTCATAATACATAGAAACACGAAAATAATGAACATCCGTATACCTTCCATCCAGATTTAAGTCAATAACACTTTATTGTTGAACAGTTTGTAAGTAAATTGAAAACATCATGACCTTTCACTTTTCAGTATTTCACCATGCATTTCTTAAAAAGCAAGTATCCTGTATAACCACACTTGAGAAAATTAACAATAATATTATCACACTTGAGAAAATTAACAATAAGTGTGCCTGGCTGGCTCAGTCGGTAGAGCATGCAACTCGATCTCAGGGTCATGAGTTGCAGCCCCACGTTGGGTGTAGAGATTACTTAAAAAAGAAAAGTAACAATAATCCCATAATATATAACACATAGTCTATATTTGAATTTCCCTGATTGTCTCAAGAATACCATTTTTAGGTGTTGATTTGTTTTTAAACCCAAACTCAAGGTTCATGCATTGCATGTTGTTCTTGTCATTTTTATTTTCTTAATCTAGAAGTTTCTTACCCATCCATCCCACCTCTTTTTTTTTTTAATGACATTGACTTTTTGAAGAGTTCGGGCCAGAATATTTCATAGAATGTTTCAGATTCTGGGAATTACTTGATGGTATCTTCATGGTGTGTTCTAGCTCTTCTGTTTCCTATAAACTGGAAGTTAGGTCTAAATGTTTGATTAGAATTAGGTTATATATTTTAGGCAGAAATTTTTAAGTTAAATGTCAGATTTATTAGCCTTTCTCTGTGTGTTTTGTGCTTTTTGTATTTTGTTTAAGAAATCCTTAATAAAGACATTCTCCTATATTCTAAAATTTGTAAGTAAAGCTTTGGTTTGTTTTTTTTTTAATTAAAAAAATTATTTGGAAATGGAAGAATGGTTCGGCACGAGTCAATCTATCATTGTAATTAAATGCATTAACAGAATAAAGGGAAAATAACTGATTATTTTATACATTTAGAAAAGAGACGATAAAATTCAATACTCATGATTTTTAAGATACAATAGTAAAGTTTTGTTCTTTACATTTAAATCTTTAATCTACATTGTATGTGTGTATGTATATGGTGTGATACAATAAAAAAATTACCTTTTTTAAAAACCGTGATACAACCAGTTGTCCAGAACCCATTAGTAAATGGTTCATCTATTCCCTGTTGATCTACCCTTCCACTTCTGTCATATACATTTCCATATATAAGTGGATTTTGTTTCATGGGCTCTCTGTTCCATCGGTTTGTTTATCCCACTACCAGTACCAAACATCTACATTTCTGTGACTATAGAAAGTCTTTAAGCAAGTCCCCTCACCTGTTTTATTAGTAATGCCTATGCCCTTTGTTTTGTGCAATTTTGGAATCAGCTTCCCTGGTTTCCCAAAGAATTCTGTTGGGATTTTAATTGCATTTGCATTCAAACAATAGGAACTTGTGTGGAAAAAACAACATCATAATATTAGATCTTCCTATTCATAAAAATAGCATAGCCCTCCAGTTCTTGAACCTTTTAGGATTTTCCTTATGAAGTTTTCCTTAGATTTACTCCTAGCTTCCGTAACTTTTATGAATAAGATTTGATTCTATTCTGTTCTATTATAAATAGTATTCTTTTTAAAGATATTACTTATTTATTTATTTATTTGAGAGAGAGAGCACAAGCAGAGGGAGAGGGAGAAGCAGCCTCCCCGTGGAGCAGGAAGCTGGATGGATACCGGGCTCCATCCCAGGATCCTGAGATCATGACCTGAGCCAAAGGCAGACACCCGCCTGAGCCACCCAGGCGCCCCTAAATAGTATCTTTTAAACATATGATTTTGTTTCCTGACCTATGAGGTGGCACATTTCTTTCAACTTTTGATTTTGAGATAATTTGAGATTTACAGAAACATTGCAAAAATGAAAATATGGAACGCTTTGCTAATTTTCATGTCATTCTTGTGCAGGGTCCGTGCCAATCTCTGTTCCAATTCCAGTATATGTGCTACTGAAGTGAGTACACAAGTTGTTTTTGATCACTGCCCTTAATATCCAGCCATTTTACAAAAGTCTTATATTTAGAATTGGTCTCTAGGGTTTTTTGGGGTCTTTTATGTGGATGATAATGTTATTTGCAAATACATTGTTTTTTTTTTTTTTCTTTCCTCTTTCCCATTTTTAAAGTTATTTTTAAAAATATGTATAGGGACGCCTGGGTGGCTCAGTCGTTAAGCGTCTGCCTTCGGCTCAGGTCATGATCCCTGGGTCCTGGGATCGAGCCCCGCATCGGGCTCCCTGCTCTGCGGGAAGCCTGCTTCTTCCTCTCCCACCCCCCCTGCTTGTGTTCCTGCTCTTGCTGTCTCTCTCTCTGTCAAATAAATAAAATAAATCTTAAAAAAAATATATGTATATACTGGGGCGCCTGGGTGGCTCAGTCAGCTAAGCGTCTGCTTTCAGCTCAGGTCATGATTCCAGGGTCCTGGGATCGAGCCCCGCACTGGGCTCTCTGCTCGGCGGGAAGCCTGCTTCTTCCTCTCCCACTCCCCCTGCTTGTG